ATACTGCTCCAGATGAAACTACTCTTCAATCTATGATAAATATCGATCTACAAAATATTAATTCCTGGGCAAATGATTGACTAGTTAAATTCAATCCAAATAAAACTAATATCATGTTGTTTAGTAACAAAAATTCAAAAAATAACTTGATTTTTGATTTTGGCGGAGTTCAGGTAGATACAGTTACTAGTCACAAACATTTAGGTATATTTTTTAGCAGTGACTGTAAGTGCATGGACCAAGCATATTGATTCTTTAATAGAAAAGGTATCAAAAAAATTAAATGTTCTTAGACGTTTGAAATTCCGACTAAAAAAGGAATATTTAGAAAAAAAATATTTAACTTTTATTAGGCCCGTTCTAGAATATTCTTCTGAAGTTTGGGATAATTGCGGACAGTTGAATTCTGAAAGATTAGAAAAATTACAACTGGAAGCAGCACGTATTGTCACTGGTTTAAAAAGCTATGCTAGCACTCAATCGCTTTATTTAGAGACGGGATGGGAAAAGTTAAAGATTATACGGGAAGTTAAGAAATTAACTTTATTTTACAAAATAATGAAAGAGGACGCTCCAGAATACTTATTAGATTTAATACCCCCTACAGTTGGGAACTTGCAGAAACAAACAATTACAATCTACGAAACAGTCAAAATCAACCAAACCTCTAGTAGACTGTCCCTTTATCAAGAATCATTAATTCCATCTAGTATTTAGAATATAGCAAAGTGCTCTCGACCAATGAAATTGTAGGATTTGATGCCTCTTAATTGTGAAGAATGAATGTAAATCATGTTCTTAGTAAGGGATTATCCTATTATTTGGGTCTATTTACAGTTCAAAACAAAGAGTTTCTATAAATGAGTTACAACTGCCCCGAAGCACATTTATCAGATTGAAAGGATTTATCACATAGTGATTGAAAGTGACTAAAAGTTGAATTGTGAAACAAACAAAAAACTCATAATAAGTTGAAGTTTACTGGTGCAGTAAAATTGGTACCGTGAATGTTATTATGAAAATATTAATAACTTCAAATTTCTAAAAAAATAAAACTATATCAAAGAAATGCAAAAAAATAAATAAAAAAGCTTTAAAATAAAAAATAACCTAAATCTTTGGCTTTCAAAAACATTGATTACTGGATCAGCGGTTGGGAAAAATAGTTATTTTCAATATTCCGATAAAATAAAACAAAACAGGAGTTTAATCTAGGTTTTGAACATATTAAAATCTTTTAACGGCATTTATTTGAACATATTGGCTGTGAAATAAAATTTAGTTGTAACTCAAATGTATTAATTGATTTAAACTGTAAATAAAGAAAGGATAATCCCTCACTAAAATATTACATGATTTACATTCATACTCACAATCAGGAAACATATACAATTCCTACCTTTTCTTTGTACTGTTGTGTCACAGTACTATCTATAACGATTTTTTTTTTTAAATTAGAATATAGCAAAGTACTCTCGACCAATGAAATTGTAGGATTGGATGCCTCTTAATTGTGAAGAATGAATGTAAATCATGTTCTTAGTAAGGGATTATCCTATTATTTGGGTCTATTTACAGTTCAAAACAAAGAGTTTCTATAAATGAGTTACAACTGCCCCGAAGCACATTTATCAGATTGAAAGGATTTATCACACAGTGATTGAAACTGACTAAAAGTTGAGTTGTGAAAATCTCAAAATAAGATGAAGTTTACTGGTGCAGTAAAATTGGTACCGTGAATGTTATTATGAAAATATTAATAACTTCAAATTACTATAAAATTAAACAATACCAAAGCAATGCAAAAAAAAAAGAAAAAAATCTTTCAGATAAAAAATAACCTAAATTTTTAGCTTTCCAAAACTTTGATTACTTGATCAGCGGTTGGGGAGAATAGTTATTTCCAATACATGTATTCCGATAAAAAAAACCAGGAATTTAATTTTGAACATATTAAAAACTTTTAAGGGCGTTATTTTTGAACATTTCCCTGACATAATGAAACAGTATTTGATGTAAAAAGCCGGACAAAATTATTGGCTGTGAAATAAAATTTAGTTGCAACTCAAATGTATTAATTGATTTAAACTGTAAATAAAAAAAGGATAATTCCTCACTAAAATATTACATGATTTACATTCATACTCACAATCAGGAAACATACAATTCCTACCTTTTCTTTCTACTGTTGTGTCACCTAATATCTATAACGCATTTTAAAAAAAAAAATTCCCAAATGATAAGAAAGTCCTCACATCACTAAAACTAATCCATAAATGACATGCCGAAAAAGGAAGTCATGCATCAATTATAAACATTGCACTGACAATGAAACTAATTCTGGAATAGATCATTTGAGCCTTGAGCACTTTACAATATTCTAAGTTTGTAAGAGAATGATAATCCCTTATTTCATGATAAGTACTCGCTAACGCTCGTACTTATTCATGAAGAAAGGGATTATCATTCTCTTACATATACATATTTCCCAAATGATAAGAAAGTCCTTACATCACTAAAACTAATCCATAATTGAAATGTCGAAAAAGGAAGTCATGCATCAATTATAAAAATTGCACTGACAATGAAACTAATTCTTGAATACAACCAATCAAGAGATCATTTGAGCCTTGAGCACTTTACAATATTCTAAGTTTGTAAGAGAATGATAATCCCTTACTTCATGATAAGTACTCGCTAACGCTCGTACTTAATCATGAAGAAAGGGATTATCATTCTCTTACATATACTAAACTGTGGAATTCGCTCGATTTAAGTATTAGAAATGAACTGTCTTTAAATGTGTTTAAATTAAAAATTAAACAGAAATATTATGAAAACAAATCACCCCCTACATATTTCACTATTGGCGATAGATATTTAAATGTTTTGCACGCAAGATTAAGAAACAAATGCAGTGCCCTTAACATGGATTTGTATCACGCAAATATTAAACCTAACGTAATGTGTCAGTGTGGTTATTTATATGAAAATGCTCAACATTATTTCCTTTCATGTAAAAATTATACAGCTCAAAGGAATATCTTATTTTTTGAACTTAGAAAAGAAAATATACCTACTGACTTGGAAACTTTAAATATATAACAATAATAATGTAATTACTTTTTGTTGACTTCGAATGAAATTGTTCATTTTTTCCAAAGACATGGATCATCAATTTGATTTTATATATAAAATCCTATCAGTTGACAACAACTATTTAATTTAATTGCTTAAAAATAATAACTTACCTTTTGAGTGAATATTTATTCCAAATTTAAAACAACCTACTAGGTCTATCATAAATAAATTTACGGTCAACTCGACTTTTAGAAATCGATAAGCCATGTCGTTTAAATTCTTGTTAGTTTCATGTCTCCATATTAATATTGTTTATGATGTTATTATTATGTATTTTATTTTGTTCGGTTATTTATTATTTGTATGTAATAGAGAAGACGTTCTAAGTTGCAAAACTTGTGTCTAATCCTATTGTCGATGTTTTTGGACAATAAAATATGTTTAAACTAGAGTAAATTGTATGTGATTTGATTAAAAATAACAAAAATCCATGGAACATGATATATAACGTATAAAAACAAAAACAAACGGTGAAACCAATCGACTAATACGCACCCATATACAAAAGAAAACAACACAAACAAACTACAAAATTCAAAAGAACAAAAACATTAAAACTACCAGTAAAACTAAAAAAAATAGGGTACGTTTCTGAGGAAGGATAAACGGTTTCTCCTTTAAAGGTACATGTAGTATTGGAGTATAAATGAAAAGATAGAATTTTTTCATATTTTGCAAAATGTAGAATACACTATGACATGTTGAAAAATTGATAGGTTACCAACTTGTTTTCAAACTACAGATGTGGAAAAATGACACGTTTTACATAGATAAAACAGGTGGACCATCATTATATGAATAGAAGGTAAACTAAACAATAGAATTTTGAAATAACATACGAGAGTAGATCTTATAAAATGCTTATAGCAGCTAAGGACAAAATAAGTTCATCGTAAGTTGTTTTCCTGCTATAACATATAATGTTGTCTCTTTGACAAATTCCACATCTCCATTCTCTATTCTATATAATAGAAACATTTCCTGAAGATCTTTTGTAAATTGTACAATTGCTGAGTTACCTCCCCTTAATATGCAAAGGTTAAACAAACATTTAAATTAAGCAAAACTTCTTCTTTTGTCAAAATATTAGTAATTATTAGATGAAATCACATTCAAATCGATTTAAATGATTTTTTTCATAAGTAAATTTCATTCTTACATCAAAGTTTGCTGACTTGATTGAAAATCTATACCTATTGTGGTCTGCTATTTTACAATCCAAGATGGCGGAAGACTCCCATACCGCCTTAAGTCCTCGTATTGTTTGAACGAGTAAGTCTATTTCATTCACATAATTTTGACTCTTTCTGTTGGCTGGTCAGTTCTTCGACTTCACGTGGTATAGCCCAGATAACGAATATTCCAACAAGCTGACTATTTTCGATAATTCTGAGTCTACTAGCTGTCACTGTTTAAGATGTTAGTATAATACTTTGTATCCAAAGCCTCTAACACATTTAAACCTGTATTCAAGTTGTTGAATCTGTATGTGTACTGTAAGATTCTATCCTGCATAAAGCATATATAAATAAAGCATAAAAGAGATGATAATGATCGAAACCAAGTTAGGCTTTTTCAGCCCACACCCGTAGCTAGGGGGAAGGGGGGGGGGGGGGTCATACGAACCCGCCCCCTTGAAAACAAATAAGCACAAATAAACAAATAAAGTTGAGTATGATTGTATCGACGCCCCCCCCCCCCCCCCCCTAGTGTTTCTTATTTGTATTATTAATGAACAAAGTTGAATCTTTTTGTTTAAAAAAGCACTGTGGTGTAATTATGCGTCACATGGTGTTTTTAGGCCGTTGTAGTTCGTTCTATTATAAGAATTTTTATCGGTTTTCTGGTAAATTTTCAGATTTAGGACAAGAAAAAAACAAGCACGAAGAACTGAGAATTCTGCAGATTTTTATCATTGAGATGCAAACATATGGCTGCGGTTATGCCATTAAAGAGTTCGCGAATTATACCAGGGTTGTTGGAATCGGATAGCAGGAGTATGGACATTAAACAAGAAGTGGGAGACCCCGACTCATGCATTCACAGTGGTCATTTTATGTTGAGTCGAGTACATGACCCCAATCTAGATGAAGATGATGAAGATTCGTCCTCACTAGCGGCTATCGATAAACCTCCACCCTACGATTTTACTGCCTCAAAGAAAGAGCCCACAGAGTCTTATGAATTTAAGGAACAGCCTTCACAGACAATTGAAACCTCACTTTCAAAACTGTTTGACTGTTTAAGTTTAGCTTACAGGTATATAAACATTTCAGATATGCCATAGAAAGTTATTCAATGGAAATAACCCAATCCTTATGTGTCTCTCATTACCTGTAATCATTTATTCAAAACCTCTCCCAAGTCCCATAATTCGGTTCTTAAAATGCAAATAAGTAGGTAAGCATACATGTGCAGCAGTATAAGGTCAATTTCATGTCGTAGATAAAATTGTATAAATTGAAAACATAACCTGTTTCAGACTTTTTTGTTTAAGAGTATCGAATCAATTAACATGATCGACAAAATCAGTCTTTCTGCTGTCGATTTCACTACTTTCACTTTTTCAACTGACATTCGTTTCATTAATCACTGTACATGCTAAACACAAACTTAAACTATCACAAACCATGGAGCAATAAATGGTCACATAAATACATGGAATATAGATCAATGTATAGATTCAAATGAGTTCGAATTATTGACTTGCAAGCCAAAAAAACATCAGTCATTTTGTTGAGGTTACATATATTTTAACAAAATTGAACCAAGCGGACTGCTATTAGCGAAATATTAATTTTATATTCTGCTTTTGTAAATATTTGAAACAAAAACAATCTTGTTTGAATTTTTAATCTTAATCTAATGACACTTCAAAGTTCATCTGAACATCCTTTATTTTCTTTAGGGGACCCTGTATTTTAAAGTTAGGGTTAAGTTTAGGTTTATGGCTTGTTTTAGGTTAGGGATAGACCATTTTTCTTGGAAGATTGCCTACCAACTTTTACATGAGTAATCCCCCTTTTCCTTACAATATGTACAATGTAAGTAAATTTAGATAACAGTAACAAAGTAAAGTTCATTTTAAATAAAATGTATGTTATTTTTTTCAGTGGAAAGTTGGTATCTCCAAAATGGAAGGCATTTCGAGGACTTCACATGACAATCAAGGACAAGGTCAGATTAAACAACATCATCTGGAGGGAATGGTACATGCAATGTATGTTACTATTGTTACCACTGCATTTTGTAAATATGGAGACAACATTTTTAAGTTGAGAAACTTGCGTCTGATCTAATTGTTTTAGTGAAATAGTATGAATTTAAACTATTTGAACATGTTGAAGGGGCATGAGTAGCCATATTCATTAGCACCAAAGTGACACTAACTCTTTAATTTGAAATATAACCATGATACTTAAATTTTTACCAGAATATATGTATGATAAGGTAATAAAGTATCGGCTTGTTATGCATAGTTTAGATAAGCTATGCAGACTACCGATGGTCATGTGACCCAACATAAACATAAATACAAATAGAAATAGACAAATAACATAAACAATGATGAATAAGCCTGTGAAATAGTATAAAAGATAATTTTTTTTAGGTCTGTTAGATTTTATGTCATAAATTAAAGAAACATGAAAACTGTTGCTTTACCTTTGCAAAATGTATAAGAATGATTTTTCAGTCAACAAAATATTTCTCTCTGATGGCTCTCCTGTTTCACACTCAGTTTTGACATTCTTTTATTTTTAACATGTTCAATAACTGAACATGCTGAGCACAAGCTCACACCATCTTCTACTAACGTTTATTGCACTAATTTTTCAGATATTTATGGGAAAAGAACTGTGATCTGCCAGTTTGCATCACCTATGTCTGATGACATACACACCAAACCAGAGGTAGGTATACTGATACTAGTAAATCCATTTCTTACACAGCTAATCTTTTGAGACAGGGGCCTCATTGGCTGAGTTGTCTTAGTATTTCATCTACTGTATCACTAGTTTGTCAACACTGAGGTTGTGAGTTTGAATCCCACACATGGCAGGTTCATTCAAATCCAATCTTAATGACAAAGATTGTGTCAGTTTTCCTGCTGAAGGTCATCATTATCTAATCACTGACAGCACTGGGCACTACAGCTTCCTGCACCAATAAAAACTGACTACCACGCTATAACCAATAGTGCTGAAAGTGGTGTTAAACACCAACAATCAATCATCAATCAATCAGATTCATGGCTCAACAATTTCCTATTTACTGAATACTTGTATATTCTTACACATAATTGTACACCTTTGAAATTTTCTTTACAAATCGGGTCTTTCTGAAATTTGGAATCAAGTTTCACCTCAGGCCAAAAAAAAAATGCATGTGTTTCCGCTAATGTGCTGAAAAAAATAGGGTAGGTAGGTAGGTAGGCAATATCATTTTATTTTACAAACATATTTTAGCTGGTTACTACTAGGGAATCAGTCTGACTATAACAGTGCTTGTCCCAAAATGGCATAAAAAGTGTTAGGGTAGGTAGGGTTAGCGGAAACACATGTATTATTTTTTTTGGCCTTAGCATGCTGTAATGTGTGACGCATATACACATCCATTGATAGTCAACTTCCTGTTTACCAAAAATACTAATAGCAGGGGTATCATTTGTGAGAAATAGCTCACAGTTCAACTTGTTTTGATAATGATGGTAATATTCATTCATTTGAAGAAAAAATAAGGTTTAAAAGGAGACATGATATCAATGAAAATACTTTTCAGAGGCAACTCTTCTATCTGTACTATGGTTGTTTAAAAAAAACAAAAACTGGAAAGACTAAAATTATTCCTGGAATAAAATTGCTGCATTAAACTTTTAGTGTCTGGGAACAATTGGTTTTAAATTGTGAACTTTCAATTTCCATCCTGTGCCTTAAAAGATTTCCATTTACAATATACTTGTGATTTCTGTTTATGAAGCAGTCTGTGCCAAACGGTCCTGACTGATGAAATAGACGTAGATCCGCCATATCGTATTGTCAATTCCGGTCCGTATGTCCGGTGTTTTCACCGTCTCAGTTTTGTGAATATACATAACTTATTTGATTTGGTTGAAATTCCGTTGCATTGATTGGTCTAAATATCAAGTCACGTTTGCGAGAGTTCGCTAAGCATGTTTTTGATTTGTCAAGTTATCAAGTCGTTTTTGAGAGTTCTCATTGCATGTTTATTGGTCCAAATAATTAGTCACATCATCGACGAAATTTCGATTATTAAAAATGTCAGCCACATACATTATAAAAGTTAAAATGATATAAAATGGAAAGATTTCTTAACAAAGTGCCTAAATTAAATAACTCCAGAATTGAAAATCAAAGAGTTTATGAAAAAGATGGTCGAAATGGGGAATATTTACTTAAATGGGAGACTGCAGTAGTTTACATTATCTCTCATAGATGAACAAGGTCGGATGGCCAATTTTCTTCCAGTTGAAAATTATTAAAAAAAATTGCATGCAAACTATCCAATAAATGCAATTGCTTGACTGTACCTTAAATTGAATATCTATATCCAAATTAAATCAACAAAATCTGTAATGTTGCAAACAAACCATGATCACATGCAACAATTGTGTGTTTACTTTTTTGACAGCCATGTGCTTTTTATAGGGAAAATAAGGGAAAGATTATCAAAGACAACTGTTTACATTGTATCTGGTTATTTATATAAATATATTTATAAAGGATTTCAATTTGATAAATAGCTGTGATTGGAATGCCATTTGAATTTATTAAAATAATGAATACTATATTGGGAAAAAAGTGAAACTGCAAATACTTGTATATAAACTTACTTTACATATACATGTGTACATTTATTTTATTTTTTTTTAGGGGGGAGGGGGGATTTCATAATATTGTCATGTTTTATTAATATGCATATCACTTTGAAACAAGTATTTTTATTTAATGAAATTTATCAACTGCTTTCCTGAAATGCAATTTTTACCATGAATATCATCATAAAACAACACAGTACATTTAAAAACATAAACAACACAATAAGCTTAATTAATTGATTTTTTTTCGGACAGACAAAAATCTGTTTGGTCAGACAAAACCTTCAACACTGTCTGACTGAATGTCAGACAGAAACTAAAAGAGTTTGGCACAGACTGATGAAGGACCAATATTTGTTTTGTGTTCTGTATTTGATATAATAAATAAAACTTTCACATATGAATTTTTTTGTAGGCTATTGTGTTGGAAGGAAAATATTGGAAAAGAAGATTGGACACAGTTACACATGAATACAAAAGATGGAGAAAATTTTTCAAAAGCAAATTTGCTCGATCCAAACCTGATCCATCTCTCAGTGAGGTACTAAGAATGAAATATGTATCTCCCTTGTTTAAATGTAAAGTCACATGAAGAAGTCCTGGACAAATTAAGAAATGTCTCTTGTTTAAAGTTAATGTTTGGAAAAGTACTGTACAAGGTAATGTCCCATTAGAACTAGCTATAGATAGGTAATGAAACGATCAAAGGAAATATTTCATAAATGAAATATTGATTGGCCTTTGTTTCCAGTTAAGGCCTAAACAATAATACTGGTGTTTCTAACATGCTGAAAATACTTAAAGATAGGTAGGTAGGTAGGCAAGTAATTTTATTTTCTAAAAGTTTTTTAATTGGTTTAAACAGGGGAAACAGTCTTACTTTAATGTTCTAAGTTTTTTGTTCATAAAGGCTGTCTCCTGCAGAACTCCTGGACAAGTTATAATATGTTTAATGTGTCCTTTGTAGAGTATATCTCCTACAGAACTCCTGGACAAGTTATAATATGTTTAATGAATTGTGGTTGTTCATATTGCAGGTGATGTCCCATGCAGAACTACTGGATAGACTGAGAGATGTGCATCAGATACCATATAACGTCCAGCACAACTCAGCGACAGATCTTATGTTGGAGAGTATGGATATAGATTTTACTCAGGATTTCTTCTCCCAGCTCAATCAGAGTCAGCCATTTGCCTTCCCTACTGCAAAAGAATTTAGTAAGTACATCTATAATAAAGGTACAGCCATTTTTTGTCTGTCACATTGTAAGTTAGAAACACTTTTTCAGGGTCTTTACGACTACACAAGATTTAAAAAAAATGTATTGGAAATTTTTTTTTTCAGTTCTTGTCATTCAAATATTGTAATATTTGATTATTTATAAAACAGATTTTGCAGTGATGAAACTCATTCGCATAAATAATCTCTTGATGACAACTAGTGTGGGGTTCAATGTTAGATTGAATTGGACAAGATATTTTATATACGTATTGTGGATTCATTATTATTCGTGGGATACAAATTTTTATACGACCGCAAAAAAATTTTTGTGGTCGTATATTGGTATGACGTTGGCGTCGTCGTCCGGCGTCGTCGTCGTCCGAAGACGCATTAGTTTTCGCACTCTAACTTTAGTTTAAGTGAATGGATCTCTATGAAATTTTACCATAAGGTTCAATACCACAAAACACAAAAGGAAGGTGGGGATTGATTTTGGGGGTTATGGTACCAACAGTTAAGGAATTAGGGGCCAAAAAGGGGCCAAAAATAAGCATTTTCTAGTTTCCAGACAATAACTGTGGAACGGTGTGTGGATCTCTCTGAAATTATACTACAAGTTTCCATACCACAAGGGATGGTTTGGATTTGCTTTGTGGGGTTATTGCTCAAACCGTTTAAGAATTAGGGGCAAAAAAGGGGGAAAAACAAGGTTGTCCTCATTAATGGACAAATACATTAGTACAAAACATAATTTAAAGCAGTGTAAGGGAGATAAATCAAATACATCATTGAAATTATCTCCCTTACACTGCTTTTAAATTATGTATAAAGTAATGGTTAATGAACAATTAAGATAATTTAAAACAGTGTAAGGGAGGTAATCCAAATACAACATTTTGGTTACTTCCCTTACACTGCTTTTAAATTATGTTTAAAGAAATGCATATTTATAAAGGAAGACCAGTATGGCGCATTAGATTTGTAAAATCTTTGACCACATTTATTTATTTGTTATGCCGAATCTAACCGTGTATTTAGATTTTTAATTTTGGGTCCAGTTTTCAAATTGGTCTACATTAAGGTCCAAAGGGTCCAAAATTAAACTTTTGAAGACCAGTAAAAATATCTGCAAATGTTGCATCTTTTTTTTTTTAGAATAAAATCCATATGAAAGATTTGACACTATATTTTTAATTCTATTATAAAATAGATTAAGTTAGCACTATGGTAAATTTAAATGGGTAATTATGGTTGCCAACTCCATTGGAAATTTGAATTGAGATTATGACCATATCTTGAGGGAAAGAATTTTTTGGGGGAAAAAAGAGGGAGGGGGGATAAAAAGAAATTGTGGGGGGTCAATTTTTTCTCATTTCAGATTTCAGAAATTAAAAAGAATTATTCTTCAAATATTATTTTTTTTTCAAATTTCAAATATTGAAAAATTTCAAGAAGTAATCTTTAATTGCACAGTATGGCGCATTAGATTTGTAAAATCTTTGATCACATTTATTTATTTGTTATGCCGAATCTAACAGTGTATTTAGATTTTTAATTTTGGGTCCAGTTTTCAAATTGGTCTACATTAAGGTCCAAAGGGTCCAAAATTTAACTTTGTTTGATTTAGCAAAAATTGAATATATGAGGTTCTTTGATATGCTGAATCTAAACATGTATTTAGATTTTTGATTTTTGGCCCAGTTTTCAAGTTGGTCCAAATTGGGGTCCAAAATTAAACTTCGTTTGATTTCAACAAAAATTGAATATATGGGGTTCTTTGATATGCTGAATCTAACCATGTATTTAGATTTTTTATTTGTGGACCCCGTTATCAAATTGGTTCATATTGAGGTCAAAAGGGTCCAAAATTAAACTTTGTTTGATTTCATCAAAAATTGAATTATTGGGGTTCTTTGATATGCCAAATCTAACCTTGTTTATAGATTTTTAATTTGGGTCCCGTTTTTCAAATTGGTCTTCATTGAGGTCCAAAGGGTCCAAAATAAAACTTAGTTTGATTTTAACAAAAATTGAATTCTTGGGGTTCTTTGATATGCTGAATCTAAACATGTGTTTAGATTTTTGATTATGGGCCCAGTTTTCAAGTTGGTCCAAGTTGGGGCCCAAAATAAAACTTTTTTTGATTTCAACAAAAATTGATTATATGGGGTTCTTTGATATGCTGAATCTAACCATGAATTTAGATTTTAGATTTTTGGCCCAGTTTTCAAGTTGGTCCAAATTGGGGTCCAAAATTAAACTTTGTTTGAATTCAACAAAAATTGAATATATTGGGTTCTTTGATAAGCTGAATCTTACCATGTATTTCGATTTTTTATTTGTGGGCCCGCTATCAAATTGGTTCATATTGAGGTCAAAAGGGTCCAAAATTAAACTTTGTTTGGTTTCATCAAAAATTTAATTATTAGGGTTCTTTGATATGCCAAATCTAACCGTGTATTTAGATTTTTAATTTTGGGTCCTGTTTTTTAAATTGGTCTACATTAAGGTCCAAAGGGTCCAAAATTAAACTTAGTTTGATTTTAACAAAAATTGAATTTTTGGGGTTCTTTGATATGCTGAATCTAAACATGTGTTTAGATTTTTGATTATGGGCCCAGTTTTCAAGTTGGTCCAAGTTGGGGTCCAAAATTAAACTTTGTTTGATTTCAACAAAAATTGAATATATGGGGTTCTTTGATATGCTGAATCTAAACATGTATTTAGATTTTAGATTTTTGGCCCAGTTTTCAAGTTGGTCCAAGTTGGGGTCCAAAATTAAACTTTGTTTGATTTCAACAAAAAATGAATATATAGGGTTCTTTGATATGCTGAATCTAAACATGTATGTAGATTTTAGATTTTTGGCCCAGTTTTCAAGTTGGTCCAAATTGGGGTCCAAAATTAAACTTTGTTTGATTTCAACAAAAATTGAATATATAGGGTTCTTTGATATGCTGTATCTTACCATGTATTTAGATTTTTTATTTGTGGGCTCGCTATCAAATTGGTTCATATTGAGGTCAAAAGGGTCCAAAATTAAACTTTGTTTGATTTCATCAAAAATTGAATTATTGGGGTTCTTTGATATGCCAAATCTAACTGTGTTTTTAGATTTTTAATTTTGGGTCCCGTTTTTTTAAATTGGTCTACATTAAGGTCCAAAGGGTCCAAAATTAAACTTAGTTTGATTTTAACAATAATTGAATTCTTGGGGTACTTTGATCTGCTGAATCTAAACATGTGTTTAGATTTTTGATTATGGGACCAGTTTTCAAGTTTGTCCAAGTTGGGATCCAAAATTAAACTTTGTTTGATTTCAACAAAAATTGAATATATGGGGTTCTTTGATATGCTGAATCTAACCATGTATTTATATTTTTTATTTGTGGACCCCACTATCAAATTGGTTCATATTGAGGTCAAAAGGGTCCAAAATTAAACTTTGTTTGATTTCATCAAAAATTGAATTATTGGGGTTCTTTGATATGCCAAATCTAACCGTGTATTTAGATTTTTAATTTTGGGTCCCGTTTTTTAAATTGGTCTACATTAAGGTCCAAAGGGTCCAAAATTAAACTTAGTTTGATTTTAACAAAAATTGAATTCTTGGGGTTCTTTGATATGCTGAATCTAAACATGTGTTTAGATTTTTGATTATGGGCCCAGTTTTCAAGTTGGTCCAAGTTGGGGTCCAAAATTAAACTTTGTTTGATTTCAACAAAAATTGAATATATGGGGTTCTTTGATATGCTGAATCTAAACATGTATTTAGATTTTAGATTTTTGGCCCAGTTTTCAAGTTGGTCCAAATTGGGGTCCAAAATTAAACTTTGTTTGATTTCAACAAAAATTGAATATATAGGGTTCTTTGATATGCTGTATCTTACCATGTATTTAGATTTTTTATTTGTGGGCCCGCTATCAAATTGGTTCATATTGAGGTCAAAAGGGTCCAAAATTAAACTTTGTTTGATTTCATCAAAAATTAAATTATTGGGGTTCTTTGATATGCCAAATCAAACCGTGTTTTTAGATTTTTAATTTTGGGTCCCGTTTTTTAAATTGGTCTACATTAAGGTCCAAAGGGTCCAAAATTAAACTTAGTTTGATTTTAACAAAAATTGAATATATTGGGTTCTTTGATAAGCTGAATCTTACCATGTATTTCGATTTTTTATTTGTGGGCCCGCTATCAAATTGGTTCATATTGAGGTCAAAAGGGTCCAAAATTAAACTTTGTTTGGTTTCATCAAAAATTTAATTATTAGGGTTCTTTGATATGCCAAATCTAACCGTGTATTTAGATTTTTAATTTTGGGTCCTGTTTTTTAAATTGGTCTACATTAAGGTCCAAAGGGTCCAAAATTAAACTTTTTTAGTTTGATTTTAACAAAAATTGAATTTTTGGGGTTCTTTGATATGCTGAATCTAAACATGTGTTTAGATTTTTGATTATGGGCCCAGTTTTCAAGTTGGTCCAAGTTGGGGTCCAAAATTAAACTTTGTTTGATTTCAACAAAAATTGAATATATGGGGTTCTTTGATATGCTGAATCTAAACATGTATTTAGATTTTAGATTTTTGGCCCAGTTTTCAAGTTGGTCCAAATTGGGGTCCAAAATTAAACTTTGTTTGATTTCAACAAAAATTGAATATATAGGGTTCTTTGATATGCTGTATCTTACCATGTATTTAGATTTTTTATTTGTGGGCCCGCTATCAAATTGGTTCATATTGAGGTCAAAAGGGTCCAAAATTAAACTTTGTTTGATTTCATCAAAAATTAAATTATTGGGGTTCTTTGATATGCCAAATCAAACCGTGTTTTTAGATTTTTAATTTTGGGTCCCGTTTTTTAAATTGGTCTACATTAAGGTCCAAAGGGTCCAAAATTAAACTTAGTTTGATTTTAACAAAAATTGAATATATTGGGTTCTTTGATAAGCTGAATCTTACCATGTATTTCGATTTTTTATTTGTGGGCCCGCTATCAAATTGGTTCATATTGAGGTCAAAAGGGTCCAAAATTAAACTTTGTTTGGTTTCATCAAAAATTTAATTATTAGGGTTCTTTGATATGCCAAATCTAACCGTGTATTTAGATTTTTAATTTTGGGTCCTGTTTTTTAAATTGGTCTACATTAAGGTCCAAAGGGTCCAAAATTAAACTTTTTTAGTTTGATTTTAACAAAAATTGAATTTTTGGGGTTCTTTGATATGCTGAATCTAAACATGTGTTTAGATTTTTGATTATGGGCCCAGTTTTCAAGTTGGTCCAAGTTGGGGTCCAAAATTAAACTTTGTTTGATTTCAACAAAAATTGAATATATGGGGTTCTTTGATATGCTGAATCTAAACATGTATTTAGATTTTAGATTTTTGGCCCAGTTTTCAAGTTGGTCAAAATTGGGGTCCAAAATTAAACTTTGTTTGATTTCAACAAAAATTGAATATATAGGGTTCTTTGATATGCTGTATCTTACCATGTATTTAGATTTTTTATTTGTGGGCCCGCTATCAAATTGGTTCATATTGAGGTCAAAAGGGTCCAAAATTAAACTTTGTTTGATTTTAACAATAATTGAATTCTTGGGGTACTTTGATCTGCTGAATCTAAACATGTGTTTAGATTTTTGATTATGGGACCAGTTTTCAAGTTTGTCCAAGTTGGGATCCAAAATTAAACTTTGTTTGATTTCAACAAAAATTGAATATATGGGGTTCTTTGATATGCTGAATCTAACCATGTATTTATATTTTTTATTTGTGGGCCCGCTATCAAATTGGTTCATATTGAGGTCAAAAGGGTCCAAAATTAAACTTTGTTTGATTTCATCAAAAATTGAATTATTGGGGTTCTTTGATATGCCAAATCTAACCGTGTATTTAGATTTTTAATTTTGGGTCCCGTTTTTTAAATTGGTCTACATTAAGGTCCAAAGGGTCCAAAATTAAACTTAGTTTGATTTTAACAAAAATTGAATTCTTGGGGTTCTTTGATATGCTGAATCTAAACATGTGTTTAGATTTTGATTATGGGCCCAGTTTTCAAGTTGGTCCAAGTTGGGGTCCAAAATTAAACTTTGTTTGATTTCAACAAAAATTGAATATATGGGGTTCTTTGATATGCTGAATCTAAACATGTATTTAGATTTTAGATTTTTGGCCCAGTTTTCAAGTTGGTCCAAATTGGGGTCCAAAATTAAACTTTGTTTGAATTCAACAAAAATTGAATATATTGGGTTCTTTGATAAGCTGAATCTTACCATGTATTTCGATTTTTTATTTGTGGGCCCGCTATCAAATTGGTTCATATTGAGGTCAAAAGGGTCCAAAATTAAACTTTGTTTGGTTTCATCAAAAATTTAATTATTAGGGTTCTTTGATATGCCAAATCTAACCGTGTATTTAGATTTTTAATTTTGGGTCCCGTTTTTTAAATTGGTCTACATTAAGGTCCAAAGGGTCCAAAATTAAACTTAGTTTGATTTTAACAAAAATTGAATTCTTGGGGTACTTTGATCTGCTGAATCTGAACATGTGTTTAGATTTTTGATTATGGGACCAGTTTTCAAGTTTGTCCAAGTTGGGATCCAAAATTAAACTTTGTTTGATTTCAACAAAAATTGAATATATGGGGTTCTTTGATATGCTGAATCTAACCATGTATTTTGATTTTGGACATTGGACCATAATAGGTAAATTAAAAAAATTGTAGTTCTTAGACCACTTTCTCTCTGTGTCAGAAACCTATGCTGTGTCAAATATTTAATCACAATCCAAATTCAGAGCTGTATCAAGCTTGAATGTTGTGTCCATACTTGCCCCAACTGTTCAGGGTTCAACCTCTGCGGTCGTATCAAGCTGCGCCCAGCGAAGCATTTTATTGTGGATTATGTGGGTAAAGGTGAACCACCTATCAAAATGTTCAATTAGGTATAAATTCTGGAGTGTCCATCTGCCTTTAGGGGCCTCGGTGGCCAAGTGGTCTAAGTAGTTCTACTACTGTACAGTAATCATTAGCCAGTCAACACTGAGGTTGTGAATTGGAACCCCGCTCGTGCAGGTGCACTCGACTCCGATCTTAATTGACTAGGATTGTCAGTTTTCCTATCGAATGGTGGTTTTTTCCGGGCACTACTGCTTCCTCCACCAATAAAAACTGGCCGCCACGAAATAGCCCATATGTGGCGCTTAAAAGTGGCTTTAAAACACCAACAATCAATCAATCAATCAATCTGCCCTTATAAAAATGTAATGATTTCATTGAATCAGTGTTATTTTCCTCTCTGTTCAATTTACCATACGAAGAAATTATGAACGATATTCAAATATGTCTTGACATCCAAAAAATCACTGCTATCACTTTTACTATCACTTAAGGAAAAACAATATGTGTTCATAAAAAAACCAGTTTCAATTCAGCTTTTACATTTTGAAAGAAGAGGATCCCTTACACAAATGATAGAAACATCAAAATAGTGGAAAATATGTCATGCTGTACGTATCCAATATTTCCTTAAATATTGCAGTATGTACTGAAATAATTTGTAGCGTATCATTACATATGTTTTGAGCATAATGGTTATAACTAATACATGATTCTGTTTACAGCTGGTTTTGGAATTGCAGACCTTACACAGCCTGGTTTGTTGTCTTTACAACCAACATTAGAAGACTTTCCCATGGATACGTTTGATCTCCAAGGTAACAGTATTTCTTGGTGCTTTCTTTTTAGTGAAATTCACTTTTACAATTTTGTTCTTGTTTCATGTTTTACAATTGGGACAGTGTTTACAAATTGACAACAACCTTATTTATAAAAATTAACATATAACTGTAAGATACTTTGCATCTTTTGTCTTTTAAAAAGAAATTTTTAATTAAAAACAAAAATGTGATATTGAGGTCATGTGATCTTTAGTCTGAATTCACCATTATTGACCATGTGATACCCAAAGAACCAGGATGTAGCTACAAAAGATAAATATGGTATTTGTTAATGCTCTGCATAATTCAGAAAATGTATGACTTGGTATCCAACATTGTATATACTCGCTAAAACAACTGGAGAAGTAGAAGATGAACTTTTTTGATGTTTGCATTAACTTAGACAGTAAGTTTTGCCCTTATTCCCTTTGAAATGCTTATTAATCTGTTCTTATATTGTATTAAGTTAAAACTTTATTCCAAAGTTTTTCTATTCCTTTATCTCTTTTAGATATGATTCAGTTCTCACAAAGTCAGTCCTTGACAAACAACGTGATACAGTTTACTGGTAACAGTAGTAATGAACCCGACAATCTCAGAGTAAGTTTCTATAGAATACAATCACAGGGTGAGTTTCCATGGGAATAGTGTTTACAAAAAAGATAATCTCATTTTCCATGATTGTAGTGGTCAGGGGTCACCACACCAGGCGAAGTGAGCGATTTTGTCGCCCTAAGATTCCTGACTGCTCTAAAGAAGCTATAAGGAGAAGTCTCCCTAGATTTTCAGTGGTTATGAAATTAGTAAGGTCAGTAAATTTAAAGTAGTGCACAGTATCAAGTTAATTTATCATGCCAGCAGTGGTAATACACCAGAGGACATGTCTAGGTTAGTGTCACTGATGAAAACAGTTATGAATCAAACAACTTTGGGATATATATGTTCCATGCTAATGTGGGAATTTCGCTGTGGTGCAGCAATCTTGTTGGCAATAGCTTTATATATCCAAAACACAGCATGTTAGATGATTCTTTTCTTTTCAATATGAAAAAAATAAAATTTTCAATTTCTGATATTATTGGTGATTATTAAATGTTTATATTAAATAAGCACATATTTCAGGGCAAAAAAATATGATTATGATATAAATTAATAGTTTCAGGTACCAGTGCAGCAAGACATTGAAATGAAGCCAGACTTTCTTCAAGGTCAAACTAATACTGACGGTCAGATGAATATCAGTGGTTTGAACCTTATCAATTTATTGTTAACTGGAGATACTTCTCAGCAGTCATCTCAGATACAAATAAACAATACACAAACACTTTTAAATCAGTTTCTACAGCAACAAGGGCAGCAATTGATACCAGATCAAAATCTGCCGGCAATAGTGATACCAGACAATAGTTCGGCTAGGTTATCTGGTAGTCAAGGTCAAGCCAAGGACACAACGTTATCAACGTTACAGGCGGCTCTTTCTGGAAATTTGTCCAATAAAAAGACGAAAGATAATAAATCCATGGTAACTGTAACATCAGCAACATCAACCCACCCAAACAAGACAGGAGGGACTGGAGCCACAAGTAAAAGACAGACTAAAAAAGACGGATTTGTAGTACCTCAGGTATTATAGTTTAATAGATTATTTGCCCCTGTGCAACGCATTGTGGGGACATAGAAATACGGGGCGTCTGTCCATCTGTCCGTCCGGTCTTGTTAGTGCTCTCACATGTACAATTCTTGCCAGATTTTTATAAAACTTATATCATAGGTTTCTTTCAGCAATGTCTCGGAAGAGTTCGAAAATCAGTGCCGATCAATAATTTTTTAAAGAGTTATGCCCCTTGGAAACATTAATTATATGGAAAATTGCATTGTTAGCGCTCTCATGTGTACAACTCTTGCCAGATTTTTATGAAACTCATATTGTAGGTTTATATCAGCAATGTCTCAGACCTGTTCGAAAATAATTACCGATTAAATATTTTGAATGAGTAATGCCCCTTGGAAATATTAAATATATCAGAAATTGCTCTCTAAGATAATTTTAAAAAGTTAAAAAACAAAAAATATTTTTTAGTTGTTGACCTTGAAGAAATAAAATATGTGCAACGCGGGGGACATTGAATCTTTTATTGAAATTCATACACAAGTGTAAGAGGGTGAGAATGCCTTTCATTGTCAAGTGTCAGTTGCCATTTGAGGACTCCATAAAAAGTTGTGTGCACCAACAATCAAGTCAGAAAAGCGCTAAAAACTGATTTTCATTTGACAGCAAAACAAATGTTTGTGAACCATTGTTTATAACTATTTGACTTTTACAATTAGGGAGAATATGACAAAACAGATATGCCAACATGTTTGGTAGACATTCAATGTAGTGATTCCTTGGCTGGTTGTTCGCCTTGGGGAAAACACTTTTGAACACCCATCATTGAATTGACAATTCTGGATGTATACCAAAAATACAGGTCGTAATTGTTTAACATGGCAATGTACATTATTGTTTTATATCTAGGAAATATTGTCACATCATAGTTATTTACTTCTTACTATGGTTCATCTTTGACAAATTTTAATGACATGGCTTAATTAGAATATTCATGGGTAAATTGTTTTATAATAACCTTTGATGATAAAAAACAAAATTGAAATGCAGAGTTATTCAGTAAGAGTAAATAGAGATATGGGGAATAAATTGATTAGACAGCATCCTCACAAAAAAAATGAACTACAAAAGACATGAAGTTTTCAACAAATTACAAGTGTCTATATCATATGGCAAGCTTTAAATTATCCAGGGTATAGAAAAGTTCAGTAAAGACGACCACAGACCACAGATGGTCATTCAACTATACATATTGTAAGCAACTCAATATTGATAATTTAATGGTATTATTGCCAGAAAAAAAGTATGGTTGTCTCATTAATGAACAAATGACTTTCATTTCAGGGAAAGCCAGTGACAGTCAGAAGTAAATCTACAATGAGAACTATTGCGCCTGCACCTGTTGTACAGAAGACATCCTACTCTGCCTTAGAGGAACTTCTTAAAACAGGTAAAACTTGTGAAGGAGAGCATTGATTTATTGGGATGTTATCTATTATTTTGTATTGTAAAGGAGAGCATTGGTTTATAGGGATGTTATCTATTATTTTGTATTGTAAAGGAGAGCATTGGTTTATAGGGATGTTATCTATTATTTTGTATTGTAAAGGAGAGCATGGATTTATTGGGGTGTTATCTGTTATTTTGTATTTTATATTGTACTTAATATTAAAGGTGTATTTGAAAAAAAGAAAGACTATGGTAATGATTATATACCATTATTAAAGATAAAATTATTTTAGTATTTGAAAGAATGTTTTGTTTGTTAATTGATTTAATTTAATTGTTTAATATAATAACTGTTAAAATGGGATTTAGGTTCTAGGGTAATTTCCTTAAAACAAGCAATATTTAAAATAAACCATGTGAACTTTCAGTCGAACACCTAGAAGAAAATTTACACAATTATTATTATACTTGAATGATTCAATAAAATATAACAATGAGTCAAGCTCTTAATTGACCCTGATTTCTGTGTTTTTGAACTGAGTAATAACAGCCACAGGATTTTAGACAACAATCAATCTGTGCTATAAGTTTTCGTCTTTTTAAAAGAACTGATTATTACATAAATGTCTGTTAAGAAACATACTTACAGGAAGAGAATAGAACCTATTTCATTAAGGCCGTTATTTTGTTGTTGTAGAATTTGATTTTAATTGTGTTTTATGCATGTATGTAGAGCCAAAACACTACTGTGGATTCATAATTATTCGTTGGATACCAATTTTCGTGGGTACAGGTGAACCACGAATTTAAATGTTCAACGAATTAAAAATTTTCTATAGGCTTTGTATGCAGTCATTGGCAAAACCACAATATCAAATATCCACGAAAATGCAAGTTTTCCTCATTCCACGAAAATTGAAACCCATGAAAATGAATGAATCCACAGTATTCATCAGTTTATTTGTATTATCTTTCATGGAAAAATAGACAAAAACTACTGACTAGAAAGATTTTCACAAGCAATGGGTATGCAGCTGATTATATCCACAGTGTTTTAGAAAAGTCATTAAAATTTGACTTATTGAACTTTTGCAGGAACTTATCCAGGTGCAGTGATTAGTGTGAAGAATGAGGGCAATAAAGCATCAGCTACCTATGTTTCATCAACTCCAGTCAAACCAATTAAGCCAGCCTTATCGACTCCAGCTCTGTCATCAGTCATTGATAAAACAACTTTACCAGTAAGTAGTTATATTCTAGTAAAACCAATAAAGCCAACTCCTTCTCTATCCCTGCTGTCAGTCTATGTTAATTGATTACTAGTCAAACAGACCCTATATTCTCTATCCTTGCCATCAGCTAATGGTGATTTGATTACTCCAGTCAAACAGACCATATCTTCGCTATCCCTGCTTGTCATCAGCTAATGGTAAGTTGATTACTCTAGTCAAACAGACCCTATATTCTCTATCTCTGTCGTCAGCTTATTGTAATTTGATTACTACAGTCAAATAGACCCTATCTTCTCTATCCCTGCCACCAGCCAATGATAATTTGATTACTCAAGTCAAACAGACCCTATCTTCTCTATCCCTGCCTGCCATCAGCTAATGGTGATTTGATTACTCCAGTCAAACAAACCCTATCTTCTCTATCCCTGCCTGCCATCAGCTAATGGTAAGTTGATTATAAAATTGAGAATGGAAATGGGGAATGTGTCAAAGAGACAACAACCCGACCATAGAACAGACAACAGCAGAAGGTCACCAATAGGTCTTCAATGCAGCGAGAAATTCCCGCACCCGGAGGCGTCCTTCAGCTGGCCCCTAAAAAAATATATATACTAGTTCAGTGATAATGAACGCCATACTAAACTCCAAATTGTACACAAGAAACTAAAATTAAAAATAATACAAGACTAACAAAGGCTAGAGGCTCCTGACTTGGGACAGGCGCAAAAATGCGGCGGGGTTAAACATGTTTATGAGATCTCAACCCTCCCCCTATACCTCTAGCCAATGTAGAAAAGTAAACGCATAACAATACGCACATTAAAATTCAGTTCAAGAGAAGTCCGAGTCTGATGTCAGAAGATGTAACCAAAGAAAATAAACAAAATGACAATAATACATAAATAACAACAGACTACTAGCAGTTAACTGACATGCCAGCTCCAGACTTCAATTAAACTGATTGAAAGATTATGTCTTCATCATATGAATATCAGGCACAATCCTTCCCGTTAGGGGTTTAGTATCATACCATCATAACATATATGAGAAGGACATAACCCGTGTCATGCCAACAACTGGTTTTTAAATAATTGTGTTTAGTGCCGATGCAAAGACCCTATAAGTGAATCAATATTAACGCCAAAATATGCAATCTTTAATGACCTGACAACAGTATCGTAACTATATCCCTTCTTAATAAGTCTATTTAAAGGTTTTGTTAGCTTCAGAGGTGAATACTGACATTTTTGTGCTTTATAAAGAATATTTCCATAAAAAATTGGATGTGAAATACCTGAACGTATAAGAAGTCTGCATGTTGAGCTATATTTACGAATGATGTCCTTATACCGATGATAAAATTTAGTAAATGTTTTGACTAGTTTGTGATATCGAAAACCCTGATGTAATAATTTTTCAGTAATACATAAATTTCTCTCGTTAAAATCTAAAACATTGTTACATACACGAGCGAATCGTACAAGTTGAGATATATAAACACCGTAAGATGGTGACAAGGGAACGTCACCATCTAAAAATGGATAATTAACGATAGGAAATGAAAAATCATCTCTTTTATCATATATTTTAGTATTAAGCTTTCCATTAATGATATAGATATCAAGATCGAGGAAAGGGCAGTGGTCATTGTTAGTATTAGCTTTATTTAAAGTAAGTTCAACAGGATAAATTTCTTTAGTATACATACTGAAGTCGTCATTATTGAGAGTCAAAATATCATCCAAATATCTAAAAGTATTATTAAATTTGTGTATCAGATGTTTCGATGGGTCTTTGCTGATTTTTGTCATAAATTGTAACTCATAGCAATACAAAAAAAGGTCTGCAATAAGTGGTGCACAGTTAGTCCCCATTGGAATTCCGATAACCTGACGATATACGGAATCTCCAAAGCGAACAAAAATGTTATCTAGTAAAAATTCAAGGGCATATATAGTATCAAAGCATGTCCAATTGACATAGTTTTTTTGTTTATTGCTACTAAAAAATGACCTAAAAGAGTTTGAACATATATATTCACATTCTGACTTTTTAAATGCCCATTTAATTAGGTGTGTGAATTTTTTCTTAATGAGAATGTGAGGCAATGTGGTATATAGGGTAGAAAAATCAAAACTTTGAACAGATTCAAAATCACCAATATATGCATGTAATTTATCAAGTACTTCCAACGAGTTCTTGACACTCCAAAAGTAATTAATTCCACTATTTTCGAAGGCCTTATTTGAACAATTTATTATCAGGTTTTTGATTGTACCAAGTGTACTGGTAAGAAGAATAGACAATTTAGTAGTGGAACAATGGCTTGAAGACGAAATAAATCTATATTTGTAAGGTGTTTTGTGTAGCTTCGGAAGCCAATACATAGTTGGGACTTTCATTGTATTTGGTTCTGCTTGTAAAGCGGTAGCTAAAAGTTTATGTTTGTTACAGATGTCGTTTTCTGAAAATGGAGTCAGTTGGAATGTTGGTGAATTGGTGATTTCTTTTTTCAGAACCTCAATGTAAAATTTACGTCAAACAATAATAATATTATTAGCAGCTTTATCGGCCAGGACAAAAACAAATTCCTTGGCTAGTTCTTTTAGTTAATGTTTGATACGAGAAATAGGTTTATTGTGGTTATTGTTAAGAGTAAAATGTTCTTTAAAATGTTGAATACTCTAGTCAAACAGACCCTATATTCTCTATCCCTGTCATCAGCTAATTGTAATTTGATTACTACAGTCAAACAGACCCTATCTTCTCTATCCCTGCCTGCCATCAGCTAATGGTAATTTGATTACTACTGTCAAACCAATCCAAAATTCTCTATCCCTGTCATCAGCTTATGGTTATTTGATTACTACAATCAAACACCCTATATTCTCCATCCTTGCCATCAGCTAATGCCAATTTGATTACTACAGTCAAACAGACCTTATATTCTCCATCCTTGCCATAAGCTAATGGTAATTTGATTACGCCAGTCAAACAGACCCTATCTTCTCTATCCTTGCCATCAGATCATGATAATTTGATTACTCCAGTCAAACAGACCCTATATTCCTATATTCTCTATTACTGCCATCAGCTAATTGTAGCTTGATTGCTTCAGTCAAACAGGCTCTATCTTCTCTATCCCTGCCATCAGCTAATGGTCACTTGATTACCCCAGTCAAACGGACCTTATCTTCTCTATCCCTGCCATCAGCTAATAATAATTTGGTAACTCCAGTCAAACAGACCTTACTTCTTTATCCTTGTCATCAGCTAATGGTAATTTGATTACTGCAGTCAAACTGACCCTATCTTCTCTATTCCTGTCATCAGCTAATAATAATTTGGTAACCCCAGTCAAACGGACCTTATCTTCCTTATCCCTGCCATCAGCTAATAATAATTTGGTAACTCCAGTCAAACAGACCTTACTTCTCTATCCTTGCCATCAGCTTATGGTAAAATGATTACTGCAGTCAAACTGACCCTATCTTCTCTATATCTGCCATCAGCTAATAATAATTTGATACCTTCAGTCAAACAGACCCTATCTTCCTTTTCCCTGCCATCAGCTAATGGTAATTTGATTACTACAGTCAAACAGACCATATCTTCTCTATCCCTGCCATCAGCTAATAGTAATTTGATTACTCCAGTCAAACAGACCCTATCTAATAGTCCTTTCAAAGTGGAAATGGGGAATATGTCAAAGAGACAACAACCAAACCAAAGAGCAGACAACAGCCGAAGGCCACCAATGGGTCTTCAACGCAGCGAGAAAATTCCGCACCCGGAGGTGGTCCTCAACTGGCCCCTAAATAGAATTGTGTACTAGTTCAGTGAAAATGGACGTCACACTAAACTCCAAAACATATAAATGAACTAAAATTAAAAAACATACAAGACTAACAATAGCCAGAGGCTCCTGACTTGGGACAGGTGCAAAAATGTGGCGGGGTTAAACATGTTTTGTGCTGAATTTTTAAGGACTGCTCTTCTTTAATACAACCAGATTAAACAAAATGTTTAAGTTATAATCTGTTGAAAAGCATTTTGATCAAATCTGACCAAACAGAGAAGAGTAGGAGACATAGTATATCTTGGGTTAATCATGCTTACCTGCCATCATATCTGTCTAGGAGATATTTGATTTCCCCTTTTCAACTGACCCCAAACTTAAAGTTTTCAGTAAGTTTGTGCAATGGATAAAGCTATCTAGGGAAATAGCTGTACTTTTTTCAATCAAATGCATCTACTTGTAGCTATAATGTTACATATGATATATCAATAAATCTTGTATGTATTTATCTTCCACAGACTGTAAAGACAGACAGCAACTTACTGAAGTCCAGTATTACAGATGACAGTGAAATGTCTAGTATTTTATCATCTATTGGTAAACCTACTTTTCATAGTAAGTAATTGTATAACAATATTTATTATACCCTGTGCTAGCTAATGCAAATCACATAGTGCATAATTATCATTTATTCTTTTTTGTTCTTTTATTTATGATTTATTAACACTCTTTTATCCTTTAATTCTAAGTCTCTGACTTAATTTTCCAGAAACTTTCAGAAAATCTTCAATTTCTTAAGCATTGTGATTTCCTTGTTCTAAGGAGTCTTATAACAGTTTTTGTCATCATAACATTTCATAATAAATTTCTCCCAAGTTGATGTCAAGAATTTACCATACTTCATAGTTCATTGTCGAGCCTTCGACTTTAGTCGAAAAAGCGAGACATAGCGATCCTACATTCCGTCGGCGTCGTCGTTGTCGTCGGCGGCGTCCACAAATATTCACTCTGTGGTTAAAGTTTTTGAAATTTTAATAACTTTCTTAAACTATCCTGGATTTCTACCAAACTTGGACAGAAGCTTGTTTATGATCATAAGATAGTATCCAGAAGTAAATTTTGTAAAAATAAAATTCCATTTTTTCCGTATTTTACTTATAAATGGACTTAGTTTTTCTGCCGGGAAATATTACATTCACTCTGTGGTTAAAGTTTTTAAAATTTTAATAACTTTCTTAAACTATCCTGGGTTTCTACCAAACTTGGACAGAAGCTTGTTTATGATCATAAGATAGTATCCAGAAGTAAATTTTGTAAAAAAAAAAATCCATTTTTTCCTTATTTTACTTTTAAATGGACTTAGATTTTCTGCCAGGAAACAACACATTCACTCTGTGGTTAAAGTTTTTAAAATTTTAATAACTTTTTTATACTATTTTGGATTTGTACCAAACTTGGACAGAAGCTTGTTTATGATCAAAAGCTAGTTTCTAGAAGGAAATTTTGTAAAAAAATAAATCCATTTTTTCAGTATTTTACTTTTAAATGGACTTAGATTTTCTGCCAGGAAACAACACATTCACTCTGTGGTTAAAGTTTTTAAAATTTTAATAACTTTCTTATACTATTTTGGATTTGTACCAAACTTGGACAGAAGCTTGTTTATGATCAAATGCTAGTAATTAGAAGGAAATTTTGTTTTCTTCCAGTTAACATTACATTCAGTCTGCAGGTAAAGTTTTTAAACATTTATTAGATTCATAAACTATCCTCGATTTTTACCAAACTTGGACAGAAGCTTCTTACAATCAAAAGATAGTATCAAGAGGAATATTTTTGTTGATTTACTTCCTCATTGTTGTTGAGCCTGCGATTAACAGAAAAAGTAGGCGAGACACTGGGTTCCGCGGAACCCTTACGAATTTTTTTATATAACAAACTAAAAGCTTGATAACAGTTTATTTTCAGTATTTTATACTTATTTTCTTACTACAGTTAATACATCCCTAAGTGCTGACATACATGTACCTCTCAGTCCTGTGTCGTCTGCTGGCAGTCCTATACAGTCCATTGACAATCCATTGGATACATCACTTGTAAGTTCTTTGAGTGAAAGGAGGAGTGTGATATTTATGAGACAGCAACCCAACACTTGAGAATATACTCAACTTGTTCTTGCATTAATGAATTAAAAAAAGAATAATAGTATTATCATGATTATTAATTATTATTTTTAGCTCAGAAAAGAAAAATTTGAATTTCAATACAATTATCAACTTTGAATTTCATTCTTTATTAGTTTATTTAGACATCAGTATAGATGTTTAAGGATAAATGCTGCTGAAATTTGAAATAACATCAATTTTATAATGTGCATATGTATAAATTGTAAGATATTTCAGATTTTAAGAAATTTTGTATGCATAAAGAACTCGTTGAACTGCATCTGAATTTAGGAAATATGATATATGTACCAGCATTTATATGGTTACAGTGATACAATCAATTGAAAATTTATGAAATAGACCAAAAAATATATGTTAAAAGCAACAACAAAAAATGCATTACAATTGAGATCTCTGAAAATTTTGTATAAACTTTAAGATAATATGTTATTGCTGTGAAAATTGTAGTTTATTTGATATGAAAAATAAAGTGGAAGAAATATATGTAAGAATATTATAAATACATATTATATACATGTATATATTTATAAAACACAATTAAAAGCATAATAAACAGTTGTCATATCTGTAGTTGGAATTTTTTTTTAAATCCAGCACCTGTGCATTTGATTTCAGGGTTCTCCTACAGGCTACAACAAAGACAAAGAGGCAATACACAGGTCATCAGAGCAGAAGAGAAGATTTAATATCAAGGTTTGTGTCTTTAAAATAGTCTGTGGTAATCTTTTATTTGAAGGGGCCTTAGTGGCCAAGTGGTGTAAGTAGTCGTACTATTGTATCACTAGCCTGTCAACACTGAGGATGTGAGTTCAAATCCCGCACAGGGCAGGAGCACTTGACTCCAATCTTAATTGACTAGGATTGTCAGTTTTCCTACCTAAGGTCAGTGGTTCTCTCAGGGCACTCCGGCTTCCTCCACCAATAAAAACTGACCGCCATGAAATAGCACAATAGTGTTGAAAGTGTCATTAAACACCAAATAATCAATCAATCAATGTTTTATTTGACTCAGCAAGACAATGTTCCTTTTAAAATTATACTAGGAAATAAAAATCATACAAAATATCTGTTTTACCTTTGTCTGTCTGTACGTCCGTCTGTACGTCTGTTCGTCCCGAAATTGGTTTCTGTGTTCTAACTTTAGTTTGCCTTAATCAAATGTTATGAAACTTATACACAATGCTTATTACCACAAAACACAGATCAAGTTTGAATTTTGGTGGTGTCACTTTTACCGTTCGAAAGTTGTGCCCCTTTACAAATGGAAATATTGCTGAATTTTTCGTTTCCGTTCTCTAACTTTAGTTTGCTTCAACCAAACTTTATGAATCTTATACACAATGCTTATTACCACAAAACGTAGATCAAGTTTGTATTTTGGTGGCGACACTTTTACCATTCTAGAGTTATGCCCCTTTACAAATTTCCATTCTTTAACTTAAGTTTGCCTCAACCAAATGTTATGAAACTTATACACAATGCTCATTAGTCCCCTACCGACGAAGTCGAAGGGGACTTTAGGTTTGCTCTCCGTCTGTCTGTCTGTCTGTCCATCTGTCAGGCCGGCAAATAAGTTTTCCACACTTTTTTTCTTCGTGCTTGAAGATATCGATTTGATATTTGGTGTATTTTTTTATCATGACAAGTTACAGATCAAGTTCGAAATTTGTTCAGGTTTAATTAATTTGTGCAGAGTTATGGTCCTTGGACTTAGAAAATTCACTCAAATGATTAGTTTTCCACACTTTTTTTTCGTCATGCTTAAAGATATTGATTTGATAATTGGGATATAGAATTATTACGACAAGTTACAGATCAAGTTCGAATTTTGTTCCTGTCTGATGATTTTGTGCAGAGTTATGGTCCTTGGACTTAGAAAATTCACTTAAATAATCAGTTTTCCACACTTTTTTTTTGTCATGCTTGAAGACATTGACTTGATATTTGTTATATAGTTACAACATGACAAGTTAAAGATCAAGTTAGTGTTTTGTTTAAAAACAATGAGATTTTAACCGATAGGGGACTATGTATTGTCATGCAATACTCTCAGAATGCTTGTTACCACAAAATTCAGATCAAGTACAAATTTGGGTAGCGTAACTTTTACTGTTCTTGAGTTATGTGCCTTTATAACGTTACATGCAAGCAGGGGCATCATCTGTGTCCCATGGACAAATTCTCCATTTATTTTGTTGTTGTTTTATTACAAATTCTAGGATAAAACAATTTATTTTATGACAATTTACTAAATCTAGCTGTGCATCAAACATTTTACCATAATTATACATTTAAAAACACATGATGTTTAGCACCTTGAATATGCTGTTTTATTCGAAATCCAATTCATATTTATATGGATAACATGTTTTATCATTATTTATATTTATAATTTTAGCATGGTTTTGATACCCTTCATGTTTTAATCCCAGCAATAATGCAAAACAGTAATGCCAAAATCAGTAAAGCAGCTATGTTACAAAAAAGTAAGTAAATTTTAAAATACTAGTGTCAAGTGTAAATATTGATTTAAAGATATACAAGCTGCCACAATTGTTTAATTTCATACTGACACATTTTGTAGATAGAAATGCTTATGAATAATGAAAACTTCCAGTAACAATGTTTGTTCGAAAAAGTTAAATTTGTGGTTCACCTGTCCCCATGAAATCCTCGAAAATTGGTATCCCACGAAAAATAATAAATCCACAATAAATTGCAAAATAAAGATTGTATGAATCAGTTAATTGTTGATGCCAAATTAAATCTCGTCAACACAGCCATAGTTTGCCAAGCACTGGTAACACATGTTTTTGGTTGATCCAGTAATCTAAAAGTAGAAGAGGCAAGAACTTGTTTGTTTATTAAATGAATTAAAATGTTCTCATGATGATACTGTATGTATTGAATGTTTGAATATATTATTTTATTAAATCGATAGTATTTGAATATTTTACGGTAAAGGTCATCACTTGTTCCTTTTTTTTTGTAGCTGCTGAGTATTGTAAAAAGTTAAAACAAGAAAGAGCACAAATGCACAATGAAGCAGAAATCTTGAGGAATGAGATAGAAACATTAAATAATGCGATAGGGTAAGATACATATTAAATTACTTAATAGTGCAAAATTTGGCTTTTAATAATTTTTCATGTGCGTGTAGTGGTTTGTGTCATAAATTGATACACAAATCTGTTCTTTTCTATTCCAACAACTGCTTTTTAATAAAGAATGTGTTAAGAAATGACTTAATGGAGTAATTCAAATGTATGGATGTTCAAATCAGATTGGCTGCCTTACAGCACCAACAGTGCTTTGATTTTTTAGGGGTGATAATTGGATAAATTTAACAACAATCAATAAGTAAATGGATTCTTTATATTTACAGACAATGTCAAGCACAACTTCCGGCCACTGGTGTTCCTGTGACTAGGCAGAGGGCTGATCAGCTCAAGAAAATGTTTGACGAATATGTTAAAACTAGAACCCTTACAAACTGGAAATTCTGGATTGTATCCTTTGTAACGAATATGTCACATGCATAAAGTGCTACTTAATACAAATGACATTTTACACTCAAAAGGTCCAAAACCTTATCACAAAAATATCATCTGATTTTTTTCTCACTAACTATTAAAGACTATGGCATCAAGATTTTTCCTTTTTCGATGTAGATCTTTTAGAATAAGCTGTCGGGTAACGTGGAGGTTTTAAAAGAGGAGAATTCACCTTTTTAGAATCTAAAGGGCTATGGGTAATCTAATTGTTCATACACCAAAATAAAAATAACGTTATGTCATTGGTTGAAGTTCCATTGCTTAGTACGTTTTAAACCAATCACAACGTCTGGTGTACACTTTTGAAAATATTACCCAGAATGCATTAGATTCTGAAACGGCAAATTGGATATCCCATGATAATAACTCAAGACAATTAATATTGATATGATAATAATCAATCCTTTGGCAAGTTTTTTATTATGCCCCCGCCGTAGCGGAGGGGGCATTAAGTTTTACCCTTGTCCGTCTGTACGTACGTCCGTCCGTATGTCTCAAAGTTGGTTTCCGTTCTCTAACTTTAGTTTGCCTCAACCAAATGTTATGAAACTTATACACAATGCTTATTACCATAAAATACAGATCAAGTTCGAAACTGGGTGGCGTCACTTTTACCGTTCTAGAGTTATGCCCCTTTCTAAACATAAAAATTGCTGAATTTTTTCGCTTCCGTTCTCTAACTTTAGTTTGCCTCAACCAAATGTTATGAAACTTATACAGAATGCTAATTACCACATAATATAGATCAAGTTCGAAATTGGGTGGCGTCCCTTATACCTTTCTTGAGTTATGCCCCTTTATAAACATAAAAATTGCTAAATTTTTGGTTTCAGTTCTCTAACTTTAGTTTTTCTCTACCAAATGTTATGAAACTTATACACAATGCTTATTACCATAAAATACAGATCAAGCTTGAATTTTGGTGGTATCACTTTTACCGTTCTTGAGGTATGCCTATTTACAAATGGAAAATTTGCTGAATTTTTCGTTTCTGTTCTCTAACTTAAGTTAGCCACAACTAAATGTTATGAGACTTATACACAACACTTATTACAACAAAACTCAGATCAAGTACAAATTTGGGTAGCATCACTTTTACTTTTCTTCAGTTATGTCCCTTTATAACTTCATTATGATATGCAAGCGGGGGCATCATCTGTGTCCCATGGACACATTCCCCATTTATTACTTTCTTAACTAAATAACAAGAGTTGATATCAAGAGATATCCCATTATCACCAGTTGTCCAATCTATTTCTCTTATGTTAAACATTCTCTTTGTGTTAAATAAAAAATTCTGCGACTTGTCTTTTGCACATACCAGTATGATTTCACATGTCCTATTCCTGCGCTAAACTTGATCATCAGACATTTAAAAAATTTTGTATACTTCAAAATGTAATAAAATTGACAAAAAGAAGATTTTAAGGTGAAAAGTGTGAGTGTTTTGTAAATTATTAAAGAAAGTATTGTTTACAAAAAGAAAAGATCCTTGACATTTTATTAGTTTTCAAAGATAATAGCCCACCTGTTTGACACGTTTAATGCCATGGTGTCTACCAGTAGTACAGAGGAGCTGTGTAGAACTACACTGAGTTGGTTAGATCAACACTGTTCCTTGGTCAACCTTCGACCAGGTAAGTCACCAGTTATTATACCCTCACTCTAGGAGTGGGGCTATGTTGCAATCAACTTTCTTGACCATTTGTGCCAACAAATATTTTTGTCACATATTTCTCAGAAACTATTGAGTGAGCACTTTTCAGATCTGTCAGATACCTACTTCCTGTTGGCAGATAATAAAAAAAAATTGAAGTTTTAATATTTATCCAATATTACTGAACAGAGTGAGACTTATTCATATAGGGTCAGCAGCTCAACAGGGTTGATTGTAATGTGTATGCCCGGGCCCCCTCTTATGGAGCATAATTTATGGTTAATCTAGACTTTTTAACGGTTTCACTACAAATTTTTTCTAGTTTGGGGCCTGTGCCCCCCCCCCCCCCCTCCTTTTTCAAAATCCTGGATCTGCATTTGACTGGAGACATAACTATAAAGTGAACATTTTTATATATAAAACAGGTTTCCATAATATTCAATATATTTTCTAATCAAATTAAAATGGTAATTGAAACTTGCATTTAAAAGTTGTAGTAGATTGGTTTGTTTTCTTTTCAAGTCTTTGAGGAAATTGGAACAGGCAAATAAAAACGTGGCAGGTATAAAGTATTGTTAATATCTCAACCCTCCTCCTTATAATCTATATTAGTGGAATACTGAAAGTACATAAAAGAATGTTCAATAAAAATTAGTACAGAAATACTGTGGATTCATAATTATTCATGGGATATCAATATTCATGATTTAGGGGAAACACAAATTTAAATGTTCAATGAAATAAAAATTATATTTAGGTTTGTATGCAGACGTTGGCAAAACAGCGAAATCAAATATTCATGTAAATACAATTTTCTTTCAAACCACGAAAATAAATGAATCTACAGTTAAGTTCAACGATTTCATTTCAGATGTGACTAACGCCTTGACATCACTGAGTACAACAACCAGTATTCTATCTGATCCCTCCAAACTGCCTGAACAAGCTACTAAAGCTGCACTCAATCCTAAATCTGAACCTCGGTGACCAAAGGACAAAAAGGGAAGATAACCCTTAAAAATAGTGCTTTCAAGATGGCTGCTTCAAGCTTTTTGTTGGATATGCAGAAACATAGTCTTGAGAATTACCTTTGTACTTAATGAGAGAAGTAAAACAGGGTTGATTTGTGTAGTGTTTGATAGTAAAGTGTTATATTGGAATGGAAATATAAAAAAAAAAGTCCTGTATCAGGAATAAAACGTTGTTATTTTTAAAGATTAATTTGTAAATGACACATAAGACATACAAAGGTTAGTGTTTTCCTATAAGTAGGACCTACATGTATGTATATTATTATAGGGTTTGAGTGTTGTTATGAAATATTTATATGTGTGAAAATGAAATCAAAATGTAGAAAGTATGAAGTATTAGTTGGTAAATCCATGTACAACCAAACCTGTTATAAAGGTCACCTTCATTAAGCCAAAGCCTTTCTTGTCTGTCACCATCATCTTTTCATACTATAGTTTATATACATATGCATTTTGAACCTCAATTTAAAGATCACCTGAGGGTGACCTTTATATACAGGTTTGATTGTACCACTTTAGATTTAAACTTAGTATGAAAGGCTAATTCTTTAAAAGCTAGAATTAAGTATCCAAGAAAATCCATTGTACAATGAACCCTGTCTAAACTGAACTCATATGGAAAGGTTAAAAGCTTAGCTCATGTATTTTAAGTCAGATCATTTATCTGAATCTAAATCTCTAAATTTTCTAAAGGCTAAAAGCTTAGCTCATGTATTTTAAGTCAGATAATTTATCTGAATCTAAATCTCTAAATTTTCTAGATTTTATTTACGTATGAAAGTAACTATATTAATAGTTGTTTGCCCTTAATTTGTATGAAGTGGAAGTTCATCTCATTTGTTGCTATACATTTGAAGTTTCATTTAAAGGAATGCTTGCCATACAGTATGGGAATTGGTGCCATAAAATTAGGACCAGTCAAAGTATCAGTACCTAGTCAAGACAGTCATAATCAATTCATTGGTCTGTGATTACATTTTCGTGTGTTACCATTGATTGTGAACTAACCCCTTTTGTAGTACCTTTTAAATTGTTTGTACAATGACACCTTCCACCTGTTTTATGTTGAGTTCTGTTTTGACAGGACTCATTGTTGTTTATGATAGATATTGAATATATGAGGGTCTAGATGGGGGATCCTTCATTTCTGTATTCTTTATTTTTTTAGGTCATTTTTCTGTATTCTTTATATTTTTTGCCCATTATTATCTATTCTTTATATTTTAGCACCCAATTATTCGCTATTCTTTATTTTGTTGACCTGTTTTTCTCTATTCTTTATTTTTTTGCCATTTATTCTGCATATTTTGCCCATTATTCTCTATTCTGTAAACCCCATCCAGACCCTCATATATGTTTTTTTTTTTAATTTAGATGATATGAAATGTATATTTTTTATGAAATATTTATTTTGGATGGGTTTAATTTAATTATATAATTAGAGACTTTGTTATAAAAATTGTCACACATTTGTCTTTGGTGATTAATTGATGGATGATATATAATTGTAAGATTCCATCTTGTGATGGAATATTGTAAAAAATAAAATTTAAATGAAAAATTGACCTTTTTTTTTCAGAGTTTTTCCCGAAACAGATCCTGGTTAGGTCTGAAACTGGGAAACTCTTAGAAATTTTACTTTTTCGGTGAAAGGTTTTGTAATTTCCACCAACTTGATTTACAGGATTGATTGTGGTTCCAAGGAATAGTTATAACGCAATACATTTACGTTTGTACCCTGCATTGATAAAAAAATTACCCAATCAGATACAGCTAAAAAAGTGGATAATGATAGTTTCTTTTTAAGAACATTAAAAGAGGGCTATCTTGACATTTTCATATGAGAAATAAATTTATAGTATTATCCTTTTGTATGACCCCGGTAATGGTTTGTTCAGTGATCGGATGAATTATAGCTTTAATATATAAGTAAATCACCAAATCATAATTGTATATATATTTTATTCAGTATAGTAGAACTCTTTCTGTCATCAACTTGAGTGTATATTTTTTTCACATGTAATGTATGAATAGGGCAAATATTGTAAAAAGTAGTTTTTAGCAGATTAGAAAGACATGCACTTCTAAAAAATGTTACATAGCTAAGTTTCACTCATGGAATTTAATTTATTTATTCATTAAATTTCTACTTTTTATAGGACCGCTGAAATTCACTATGTCCATTTATAAACTGAATTAATCTGAATTATTAGAAAAGTTTCATAAATTAAAAAAAATATTCATAATGAAAGCTAATCTTCAAAATTTGAATGAGACAAGTTGTCTAACATCATCACAATTTAAGTTCTTCAACAAAAATGTCCTATTAATGATGTTGTCAAGATGTTTTCTGGAAATCTCATCTTTTTTACTGTAAGATGACTTTACAATTTTTTTTTAAATAAAACTTTGAAATTGTTTTTAGGCATCATAAATTATTTTTAAAAATAAGATATCATTCAATATTGAAACTTATCTTTGATATTGGAAAAAAATAGTTGTCTAGCATTAAAGCAATAAAGGTTCTTCATTAAATATGCCCTTTTTGTGAGAATTTGGTTGTTTTTTTCATTACTAACACTGGTGATCTCTACATTTGCAATATACTTTAAAATTAATTGCTTTTTTGCAATTGTCCTCAAAATAGTTTACTTTCATCTTTATACGACCGCAAAAAATTTTGCGGTTGTATATTGGTATCACGTTGTCGTCGGCGTCCTATGAAGACATTTGGTTTCAGAACAATAACTTTAGTTTAAGTGTATGGATCTCTATGAAATTTAACCAAAAGGTTCAATACCACAAAAGGAAGGTTGGGATTGTTTTTGGGGGTGATGGTCCCAACCGTTTAGGAATTACAAAACAAGCATTTTTCTAGTTTCAGGACAATAACTTGTGTATAAGTATTTTGATTGCTCTGAAATTGTACCACAAGGTTCAATACCACAAGTAGAAGGTTGGGATTCATTTTGGGGGTAATTGCCCAAACTGTTCAGGAATAAGTGGCCAAAAAGGGTCTAAAACAAGCATTTTTCTAGTTTTCAGACAATAACTTGTGTTTAAGTGTATGGATGTCCCTTAATTTGTACCACATTTTACAAAAAGAAAATTTCTTCAAAATTAATTTTTTTGGACGGGAGGGGAGGGGTCACTTTTTTTTTGGGGGGGGGCAATTTTTTTTCCTCAAAAGAAAATTCTCTTCAAATATTTTTGGAGGGGGGATAAAAAAAAATTTTTTTGGGGGGGTCAATTTTTTTTCCAAAGAAAAAAATTGGGGGTCACAATTTATTTTGCTAATTCTTTGTATATAGTCTGAAAACAGATTTACTAAGTATTGCACAACAGCACAGTGTATTGCACAACAGCAAGAAATCTTCAATTGAATATAAATTCAAATCATATAACCAATTTCAAGTTCTTTGACTACATTTATTCTGTGTCAGAAACCTATAATGTGTCAAATATTTAAATACAATCCAAATTCAGACCTGTATCAAGCTTGAGTATTGTGTCCATTTTTGCCCCAACTGTTCAGGGTTGGACCTCTGAGGTCGTATCCAGCTGTGCTCGGCGAAGCAGTTTATTGTAAGTTATAGCAATGCAATTTTGAAATGAATAATACTCCTTTTTTCCATGAACCTCAAATTTAGTTAATGCTTGCCCTAAATCATTGAATAATTATGATTTATTACATTTATACATATAATGAATTTAAAGTTTCAATTTTCTGGTAAGTTTTAAATGATGAAGTTTATTGTCTGAATGTGATCATTGTCGGGTGGGATTCCATTACATAAGGATAAAAAGTTAGAAGTCACAAAAACACTTGAGTAGACATAAACTACCTTTCCAGTGCTCCAGCACTTTGATTTAAATTGTAGCATCAAATCTGCTACTTGTAAGCCATTTGATAATATGATTAACCAAGAATCTGCCTTTATAATTCTGACTACCGTGGAAGGCAAGTATATACAATTTTTAATTTGAAACTTTAAAGATACAGAATTGTATTAAAAAAAATACGTGTTACACCTTTCAAATTGAACTTCCAAGCAAGGTTACATTTTCTATGTTTTGATATACAACATTTTATAGGTTGCAAAATTTTAGAAATCTAAATACGGTTTAACTACAGATAAATTGATTAGATTATAGAATGGCAAATTCCATTTTAAATTCACTGAGGGTCGTTAAAGGAGGGGTATTTATGTGCACAGAATTACTGGAAATAAAATGGCCATTTCACAATGAAAAAAAGCTTGTTAAAAAGCTTACACATTGCTTTATTTTTTTTTATCAATTTGCACAAAACATATCAAATAATATTCTTCAAGCCTGTAAACAAGTGAAATTTGACATTGCAAACATGTTGCATAAAATAACCCTTTACAACAGACTAGAGCTTGTCACTTTTTTAATTGGCATTATTTCATGCACATTTTATATATTAACTACCTCTTTCAAGTTTTATTGAAATCCAGCTTATTATTTTGGAGTAGATGCACTTAGATTTGTATACAATTGTTCATTTATTCTTAAATTGTGAATTACATAGACACTTTCAGACACAAGTTAATCCCTCAAGATAAATTGAATTTTAATAGACCATGAAAGGGGAGTTGCACCTACACAGGACAGAGTGATTCCTCTGTATACCCTATCATAAACTTTTATTATACTTGTTCATGTTGAAACTTGGTTTTACTGAAGATATTGTCCAATGCCTCACTCCACCTACTTGCATTATGTTTAAAATCTGTGAATGCTGTAAAAGTAATTAGATCATAATATATTGTGCAATATGTACTTTTTCAGAATTAGTTGGGTGGGTTTACTATTAAATGTCTGTTTTATTTTGGTTAATTAAAGCTGTACCCTGAATCAGTTTTTCAATGCTTCAATCCTTTTGTACAGCGGCAGATTTATTAGGACATGAATCAAAAATTAATGTAAAATGTTAGTTCTAATCATGCCAAAAAAAAAGAGGCAAAAATAATTTAAAAATCTACATCCCTAAAAGCATGAACATGTACCTGTATTTCTCTAATTCTAAGGTGATTAGTTCTTTTCCTGACCTTTGATTTTTTTTAATCAACATTTGGTTCTTTTGATCTCAGTTCTTCATTGGTCAAAATTTAATTATAAAAAGAAATTTTCTTGCTTTCCTCTGAATTACCGGTTGTGACGTCTCTTAAAAAGAACTTAACTTTTTGCGATCATTGGAAAAGAATGATTAAGTTTGTCTAAAAACCATTAGAGAAACAGATTCCACCACCAAATCCCATGCAAAACAATATTTCTCAACTCTTGACAGATAAATTTTAGATACTTAAAAATGCTCGACTAGCCTTATATTTTAAATTTTTAAATTTAACTGTCTGGAATGAAGAAATATGGTATCACACTTGATGTAGTGATAGAATCATATATATTTATAGCAGCTTTTTTTCTTTATCTTTTCATTGATCTTAGACAGGTTCTTTTCATTTCGCTATTAAAAGATCTTTAAATCACAATTTATTTGCTCAATTTTGTTCAAGTCACTTAGTAGTATATACATCATGATAAAGATTTTTGTGTCATATAAATAGAATATGTATGTGGCATTCAGTTTACGACCATCTTCATGCATTTTTTTCTGTGTCAGAATAGTAAGTCAGTTTAGTTTTAATGTTTATAGTATGTTGTTTAAATTATTAGCTTGTGTAGTGGCTAATAAGCATGTGCTGTTGTTTATTGTATATTATTGAAGTGACATTAATGATCATGTGTAAAGAATGTGTACATAAGTCACATGGTGTTATAATATAATAAAATATACTATAGCCATTTGTAATTCTATCATATTCAACATGAAATGGGTCAGAAATATTATTAGTACAATGGACATTTTATTTGAAGACCTAAACTTCTAAATTTCTAAACATTATAAAAATAAGATATGGTATGATGCCAATCAGACAAATATCCACCAGAGTCCAAATGAAGTGGATGTAATAAAATGTCACTGTACAGCCTTTAACAATGAGCAAAACCCATACTGTATGGTCAGCTATGAAAGGCCCTGGCATGACAATTCAAAGGAGAAAACTAACGTACTGATTTATGACCAAACAATTCAAAGCTCATCATAGGTAAGTAGATGATTGCATTGTTTTGTCAACAAAACAGTCATCATGGAAATTATCAACTGACTCCTTATAGAAGTTATTGCCTCTGAATGATGATTTTTATCCATTTTTCTGTCAAAAACTATAGGTGTTAGAGAGAAATTTTATAAAGTAAAAAAGATCAGCAAAATAATATCTACACGTCAGTCAACATGGCCAAATTATCACACTAGTTATATGATAGATTGTCGTTCAACACTTTAATAGATTGGTATAAACTGTAAACAGCAAAAATGATTATCAATACAAACCCTACAAAAAAATGCCACAAATTAATATAGATCTACAGATATGCAAACATTAGGATTGCCACAAAGGAAAAAAATAAATATCAAAATGGCATATTTATTACCAGGTGAGTGATTCAATGAGCCTCTGGTTCCAATTTCCACCAAATTTCAGATGACTTCTTATATACAATGGATAGACAGAACCTTTAAACAGCAATACAACATCTACAAAAATGCTAATTTGACCGAAACCATCAGATTACTCTTTCTTTGAGTCATTGCCCTTAAAAGACAATTTTTGACTAATTTTTGTGTTAAGAACACAGCAAAAATGATCAGCAAAAAGTCCAATTGATCAAAACCATTTTAGGAGTAATGGCCTTTAATGACAATTTTTTTTACTAATTTCATGTTTTTTTTACAAAAAAAAAAGATGTGGTATGATTGTGGTAAATGAGACAACTATCCTTATAAGACCAAATGAAGTAGATTTAAGCATCAAAGATCACCGTAGGACCTGCAACACTATCTGCCTTTTACTAGTATATCAAAACTATAATATATTAGTCTATAGGCAAAATCTGCAAACAACAAAGATCAATCAAAAATACCAATATGACCGAAATCATCCTTAGTTATTGGTGTTATTGCCTATCAATGACGATTTTGACTAATTTTTGTAATTTTGTCTGTAATATTGAAAACTATAATGTGTAGGCAGAAACTGAAACAGCAAAGTGACCAGCCCATAACAAGATTCTTTTTTTCTTTATTTAATTTCTGCTTTGCCCTGCATTTAATTGGAGGCTTTTCGTTCTCATCATCCTCCTGTCCCCTTAAATATCAAGTATGGTAATCCCTAAGGTGTATCAGTCAATTTAACATATCATCTCCACGCTTTTGGCAATGGTATGGCAGGCATTAATTCAGTGAAATACGTTGATATATAAAACTAGAGGCTCTCAAGAGCCTGTGTCGCTCACCTGTATTTACTGATGCTTTGGAAACCATGTAAAATAAGGTTAAAATCATAATAAATAGTATTAGATATTAGATATTATAATGATATCTAAGATAATAACAAAAAACTGCAAAATTTCTGTAAAATTACTAACTCAGGGGCAGCAACCCAACAACGGGTTGTCAGATTCGTCTGAAAATTTCAGGATAGATAAATCTTAATCTGATGAACATTTTTGCCACCTGTCAGATTTACTCTAAATGCTTTAGTTTCAGAGATATAAACCAAAAACTGCATTTTACCCCTATGTTCTATTTTTAACCAAGTCGGTCATGATGGTTGGAAGGCGGGGTCATCGGACAAATTTTTTAAACTAGATGCCCTAATAATGATTATGGCCAAGTATGGTTAAATTTGTCTCAGTAGTTTCAGAGAAGAAGATTTTTGTAAAAGAGTACAAAAATTTACGAAAAACTGTTAAAAATTGACTATAAAGGGCAATAACTCCTAAAGGGGTCAACTGACCATTTTGGTCAAGTTGACTTAATTGTAGATCTTACTTTGCTGAACATTATTGCTGTTTACAGTTTATCTCTATCTATAATAATATTCAAGATAATAACCAAAAACGACAAAATTTCATTAAAATTACCAATTCAGGGCAGCAACCAAACAACGATTTGCCTGATTGGTCTGAAAATTTCAGAGCAGATAGATCTTGACCTGATAATCAGTTTTACCTATGTCAGATTTACTCTAAATGCTTTGGTTTCAGAGATATAAGCCAAAATCTACATTTTACCCCTATGTTCTATTTTTAGCCATGGCGGCCATCTTGGTTGGTTGGCGGGGTCATCGGACACATTTTTTAAACTAGATTCCCTAATGATGATTGTGGCCAAGTTTGGTTAAATTTGGCCCAGTGGTTTCAGAGGAGAAGATTTTTGTAAAAAGCCAACGACGACGGACGACGACGAAGACGACGGACGACGACGAAGACGACGGACGACGGACGACGGACGCCAAGTGATGAGAAAAGCTCACTTGGCCCTTCGGGCCAGGTGAGCTAAAAAAGGAGATGGAGTATGTTTGCCAATGAGACAACTACACACCAAAGTTCAAATGAAGTGGATGTTAGCCATTTATCAGTCTGGCTTGTGTCGCATGACCTTGACCTTATTTTCATTCTCCGATAATCAAGCTTTTTGGACGCTTCTCGGCGTGCATACCAAGTCAACTTTCTGTTTGGAGAATATGCAATCATCTGTATGATATATGGCTTTTTGCATTGAACCCATTTTTTCATGATTTTCATGATTATGGCTGTATCTCATAATTATTTGTGTTTTCTTATGAACTAAAGGCCTTGAGATGCGGGATATACGCCATGGCGACATCAACTCAATGATGAAAATAATCTAAAACACATTTAGAGGGCAACAAACCGTCTTGGACTATAGATAGGTGTCACATCTAGAGGGCAACAACCCGTCTTGGACTATAGATAGGTGTCACATCTTGAGGGAAACAAACTGTCTTGGACTATAGATAAGTATCACATCTTACAAAAGGTACATCAAAGAGCATTTTATAAGAAATAAGTACAGAAAAAATGTATAACAAAAATACCGAACTCCAAGCTAGGTAAATTCAAAAAGTGGGAAGTCCATAAAACTGGCAAAATTAAATGTTAGACTTTATCAACCAACGGAACGAATGGCAAATAACTGTCATATTCCTGACTTGGTACAGGCATTTTACGAACAAAATGGTGTGTTAAACCTGATTTTATAGCTAACTAAACCTCCCACTGGTATGACAGTTGTTTATAGTTCCGTGTTATTGACAAAAGCACTTCACTTTAAAATAAAAGAATAATAGACAAGTATAAATATATAGTATCATACTGTATCAGAGTTTTCTTAGAGTTACTGAAAACAAGCTTAACTTGTGATTTAAAATCATGCTGTCACTCATATAAACAAAAGTAACACAAAAAAGAATGTCATACAGTATCAAAGCAGGTGCGCCCCCTTAAAAAAATGTAATTTATAGGTAAAATTACAGAGATTTTTTGGCAATTTTTTGGTCAAAATATAGTCTTCTTACTCATAATTCGAAAGAGCGCCAATCCTTAATATCAAATTATGGATTCACGCTTGCTAAGTATACTTGCAGTTACTCAATCTTAGAGTGCATTTGTTTCTAACCCGAAATATTGTCATCGATGAACGTTAGGCTGCTAGAAAAAAATACATCGTTTAATGACCTTTATCGACCCCGCGTAGTGAGACACAAATAGATTACATACAAGCACTGTAAACAAACAGTTAAAAGTGCAGGAAATTAATGACTAGGAGTTTGCGAAAACAACACGTGCTCGAATTAGTTGAACGACAGATGCAGAAATAAATGCATCGTTTATACGTCTCAACGATAAACGATCAATAACTACGCGGCTATTTTGCGCGTACATCGTTTATGTAAACGATGTCAACGTTGACCAAAAAATGTAAGAAATAAATTTCTCTAATTTTTGTGCTATTTTCACATTTCTTGATCGGTGTGAGAAAAATATTTCTCCTCACTAGTGAAATATCTGTTCTCGGCAAATGATTGGTCGAAATTTAATTATGACGTTAAATTTTCTTGGTTTCTTCTGAATTTCCCATTGTGACGTCATGAAAAAGGGCGACCATGCCTGATGACGTCACATATAAAGAACACAACTTTCTGCAAATCTTTGAAAAAGGAATGATAAAAATCATTAGAGAAACAGATTCCACCACTATAACTCGTGTATTACGATATTTCTCCACTCTCAACAGTTAAATTTTAATTTTTATAAACCAATATTATGCAAGAGTCCTGAAAAAGGCGACCATTCCTGATGACGTCTTATATAAAGAACACAACTTTCTGCAAATCTTTGAAAAGGAAGGATAAACTTTGTTCGAAGAATCATTAGAGAAACAGATTCCACCACTATAACTCGTGTATTACGATATTTCTCCACTCTCAACAGTTAAATTTTTATTATTCAAAAAGTTCGACAAGCCTCGCGCTTTAAATATTAGAATTTAACTGTCTCGAGTGGAGAAATATCGTAATACACTTGATGCAGTGGTGGAATCTATACGGATTAAACGACTATGCGCGTAATCGTTTACATCTTAGGTAAGAAACAAATGCGCTCTTAACCTGGTGGTATGAATTCATGCCGTTCAACACTGTGATATCAGTTGTTATACTTCATAGAAGATTTCATACATCAACCCTTATGTGCAATATATGCAGACAGGATCATGTGCAATGCCTAGAACAATGAACAACATGAGTTCACTACATAAAAACAAAAGGAATCGCATTTCAGTATTGCTTCAAAAAACGAATTGGTTCATCCAAATATATCAGTTGCACTGATTGAACAAACAACATTAAATTGTAGTCGCTATCAATAAGTTTATTAAGCCAAAGAGAAATGTTTGATGAACAGTTTTCTGAACTAGTTATCTTCATGGCCGATAACCGTAAAACATTGGATGCAATACATCCCTTTTTATTAACTCGTGCAAGCGGAATTCCCGGCCGTTGTCAAGTTTAAATATTATATATTTTTTTTTTAAATGGAAGGAAAAATATGCATTGCCAATTGTATAAGAGTCTTATTGACTTTAGGTAATGAGTAAAATATGATGTACGATTGATTCTGAGACAGAAGATACCAAGGAGACAATCAAATATCATAATTTGGAAAAAACAGACAATGCCTTGGCCAAAAGAAAATGCCGAAAACAACAATCTACAAACATAAGACTACATAGAAAAAAGTACTTTTTAAGTCATATAAATAATTAAGAAAGACTGGAAAGTCCAGACACGCACGCAAAAGATATTGGATATATTAATATAAGCAACATAGGCTCCGCTGTTAAAACATGCGAGTCAGTGATACGATGTGCTCTGTATGGGTATGCATAACCTGCTCTGCGTGTCGACATACAGGACCCACGGTATTGCAATTGCTGAAACGTCAGTGCGAATTCAGGGGGCGTAAAGGACTTAATCCTCCCATTTGTTTGGAAAATGTGTCATTTTTAGCATAAAACATAAAATCGTTTAAAAAATCGCCTCGCTCAGCTCGGCAGTATATTTTCCAATTCTGGTAATTACGACCCCTTTCAAAAATCCTGGATCCGCCATGAACGTCTATCTCTTGAATTTACGCTTTCTGGTCGACCCTTGGTGTTTTTAAAAGTTTCTTCTACTACGAAGGGATATACATCTAAAATAGTACATTTATTATTATTTTTTTTAATGCAAAGAATGGTGAAATAAGGATGTCTTTGGTTTATAGTTATCTTTTAAACCAAATCAATCATTTAATGTTCAATACTTAGTCGGCTATAGTTAAACATACATAGTTGGCAATCATACCACGTACATCTCCAGTTTTTATTTAGTAATAAATTAACATTCTTCTCTTAAGGGCGGATTCTAACAGGATGCTTACAACTTATGATACGAGAAAAGGGCATTTTTGAGGTATTATAAACTTGATATCAGCCATTAATGCATTCTTCTAGTATTATATAACTTTACTGGTTTACTGACTCCCGTAACAAAAGAGGTAAGCGACTTTATATGTAGATCTCTCAAGGTTCAAATCTCACAATTTTCATTGACTTCGGTTTTTTTTACATTTGTAATAAACCAACTTCATTTTTAATTTGAATGAAAATCATTGTGACCTTTCATCTGCTTAACACATTTAACAGGATTTACGCTTAATTTGAATATCTAACAATGTGTTTATTACTATTTATACAGTAATTATAGATGTTTTAGGGTTATTCATCGCAAGAACAAAGCTACAAGATGTTGCGGATTAGTTTGACCGTCATTGTAGTAATTGTACTGATCGGAATATCTTACGGTAAATACTATACACTTTTTTTTAATTGTTCACTTAACAAAAAAATGGTTGTCTATTATGATTTTTCCTTTTTACTTGATATTCAATTTTGAATTGTTGTTCATTTCCGAACTTTAATTATGATGTGATTTGATTGCTAATGGGACAACTTTCCACAATAAAATTAAAACAAAGACTGATTGAGAATTTGAAAAATTAAAATCATTTGATATTTCAAATAAAACAAAAATGTTGAATATGTTTTATATACTTGAATGGCTAAGTTTTGCTATACAACACGTGTACACAGTCTTTCTTTTAAAAGAAAATCCATTATTTTATCAAAATCTCCAAAAATGTATTGCTATTGAAATATTGTCTTTCCGTACTCCGTATTCAACGACATAACCATGCCATCGTTAGTTAGAATTTCGGCAACCACACAGCACAAGTGCGAAGGAAATCTGTAATGAAAGATAAGGTTAAGCTGGGACATAATATACTGACATTAGTATACTGACATTAGTATACTATTCCCAGGGTAAACAAATGTGAAAAGAAGGTATTATCAATCGATTATGAACGAAAAATTTGAATACACCAAATCATTTAACAACTGTTATGACATATTTTATTAAGTTTAATTAACGAATTGGAACGAATTGGACAATGTAATAATAATAAAAATAATAATCATCGCTCTATAATTTCATTTTTATCCCGTGCTCCATTATATAAATGGTACACAGAGGACTTAGTGCAGTATATCTACACGCATAGGTTCATTAGTTTCCTTAACATTAAAATAACCAGAAACTCCGACGGTTTCATTTAACTTTATGGGGATCGTTCAATTTTCTCTATCCAAATAGCAATTGTGAGCTACAATTTAAAAGACCCATAAATAGCAAAAGTGAAACAATTCAAAAAAGGTATAATTTAAGTAAATAACATAAAATCAGAAACTCGTATGGATGACGGTAACCAAAATCAACCACTATTCTACAGGCTCATGGTTTTGGCAAGGTTTGGCGCAGGTACTTTAAAAATGTAATGGGGTTAAAATAAGTGTAAGTGCTCACCCCCTCCCTTTTAACAGGGAAAGTGGTGTTGTAGCACAAATTACATTAGAACTCAATGTAAACAAAATTGAAGAGATCTTGACTCGTTAATTAGATTACAAAATTGAAAAAAAACTCACAAAATGAATGAAGACAATAAGTACCGAGGTTAGAATACTAACAGTTTTAAAAAGCTAGTTCAAAGCTAATAGACCATGTTTTCCCAGACTAATATCAATCAGCACACCCCTGATTGATTTAGAAGGAAAACATAACAAAGCACTCCGATAAATACATGACCTCGGTGAGCAATGCCAACGTATAAGTATTGACAGGATAGGGGACCAGAAGTTCTGATAACTGGGTGGCGACATGATACAGATCTACAACTTTCAAATGAACATAGGTACTTGGGGACAGGACAATTATTTTTAGCTATCCCCCTTTTTTTCCAAAATCCGTTATTTTTTTCTTAAAATTTCAATTATTTTCTGATTTTTCTTTAAGTTATTATAGTAAAATTATGAATTGCCAGTAAAATTATGAATTGCCAAAGACAAAATTTAATATAACAAATATATAAACAAAAATATACTAGAAATATAATGTATTTACTGTTTATCAATTCCTATATATTAATTGTGTATGGGAATGTCTCTGGTGTAAATGTCCACGGTATAGATATTACATGGGTATTTACTGAGGTCGAGTTTTTAAGTCTTTGTATGATATTTGACCCTTCAAAAAACCGAACCTGCGACCTCGAAACTCGAGACGGACGAGTTACCTCGAGACAACTGAGATGGTTCCGCGATAAATGAGGTGAATGCAATGAATCTAAAACGGTTTCACTTTTGATTAAGGCAACAAAAAGAAAATGAAATTTGATGCCATTTCTTTCTGAGATTCCTTTCACAATATATCCCTGGTTGAACTTTTCTGATGCATAAGCTCATTTTGAAACTTCTTGTCAATGGCGCTCGAAACCAAAATTATTAAATCACAAAATATGCATACATAGTCTTTTCAAATTGTAAATATTCCGATTTTATGGTTATGTTGTATATAGCTTATGTTTACAGGCAGAGAACAATACGGAGATTACTGTGAGAAGTTTGGTCTAGGTGAAATACAACCTCCCATATTCAATGGAGAAAGGTTTTGTCTGAGTGATAGAGATTACAAGTATTGCAGGAGCTACAACTGTCCAACTCCAGATTGTCTTCACCCATTGACACCTGCTACTGGAGTGTGTCGGTATTGTGAAGGTACTATATAAATATTAAATGATAGTTATCTGCAAGTTAGCATGGAATGATTGATAAAAGTGTTTAGTGTATTTTGCACGACAAAGATCCAAGTTTCTTGGATATTTGTATAGGAACCGATTGTCAATATGTCTACATGTAATAAACCACTTGCATGTATTCGAGCTACTTCACTTTTATTACTGAACAAAAAATAAATAAATTCGGGTTTATGTACGATATCATATTTATTTTAAAAAAAACATACATATTCTAATCTAACTTGATATCAGTTGCGTTTCTTTCAACAGTTCTGTATTGAATTAATTTTATTGTTAAAATGAAACTTCAAAATGAAATGTCAAATATAGGGACGAATTGGAGTCTAGGAACATAATGTCATATACGTGGTCCTAGGGGGGGTTTACAAAATAGAGAATATTGAGGAAAGAATAGAGAATTAAAGACCAAAAAAAAAGAATAAAAAATAGTTGTAAAAAGACTAGAGAATAATGAGCTGCCAAAATATGAAGAATAAAGAATAATGGGTAATAAAATAAAGAATAGAGAAAACTCGACTAAAATAACAAAATTGAGAAAACTTGCCTTAAATAAGAATATTGAGAAAACTTGCCTAAATTATAAAGAATAGAGAAAAGTTGCCTAAAATAATAAAGAATAGAGAAAACTTGACCAAAATAATAAAATTGAAAACATTTGCCTAAATTAATAAAAAATAGAGAAAACTTGCCTCAAATAATTAAGAATGAAGAAATAAAGACCCTCCATTTATATTTAACACGTGACAACTTAATCAATAAGAGACACGTATGTCTGCAAAAAAGAAGATCCTCTCTCAAGTATTCTTACAATGGCATAGCTTGTTTGTATGTGTGTTTGCTTACAAGTTTCCCCTGAGCATCCACATTGTAAACTCTTATATACTACGTATACTTTCATTGCAGGTAAATGTAGCTACGGTGGAACAATGTACAATATTGGTGGATTTTCAATCAAATGTCTGGATGGATCAAACTTGTGTGCATGTAGTAGAAACAATCGGATTCTCAAAACACGTACCGCAGCTTATCCAAGAGATATGTGCTTTAAAAAAACATGAATAAGTACATATGAATTTGTGTGTTTGAAACTGTAATTGAAATATTTAAGATACACACTTATTACTTTCGTCAAACGATCGAATAAATATATGTATAGTCACTTAAGATAAATGAAAATGTATTGAAATAATTATTAAATATACTAAAAATCAGTATAGGATTTAGAAAAGTTAGACTGAAAAATAAACTATTTCCTTGTCCTAAGTACCTGTGCTTAAAAGGCAGACTGTCTAGGTTGATCTCCAAATTTTTATTTTGGTACAGCTGGGTTGCTGTTTCACTGACTAGGACATACATTATATCTTCCATTCACTTGTGCCCCACTGCATGCTTGTTTTTAATGTGACTTATACCAAATCCGTTGGAGGTATAGCCCGTGAGATTTAAGTCTGGGAAGACATGGTAAATCTACAAGTTGAAGTTTGGTTTTGAACTAGCTTTCAGTAATATTGTGATTACCAACACAACTTAATAAATATGACACACACATGCCTGCAGAACAGGCAATCCACTCTCAAGTATTCTTACAATGGCGTAGCTTGTTTGTATGTGTGTTTGATGAAAAGTGTTCCCCTGAGCATCCACGTCGTCACAAAATAACTTATACAAAATGTGGAGCATCCACTTCCATTTATACCTTGCTACACTTCTAAAGAAATATATAGTTCGTAAAAAACATACATCGCAACCACAATTTTTGCCAGTTGGGCTAGTGAGGACCACAATAAACAACTACTACGGGGGTGTTTAACAATCTTGATTACCGATGAGGGTCTCGCACGGTAGGTTAAATAAACAAACTGACATTTTGTTCTAAGTCAGGCTATGTGGGCCATGTGTTGTTCGTGGTTGTTTGTCTTTCTTTGAAAGTCTTTTTTGTCAGAGAATTTAATCGTTTGTGGTTCATGTGGTCTATATTGTCAGAGAATTCAATCGTTGGTGGTTCATGTGGTCTATATTGTCAGAGAATTCGATCGTTGGTGGTTCATGTGGTCTATATTGTCAGAGAATTCAATCGTTGGTGGTTCATGTGGTCTATATTGTCAGAGAATTCGATCGTTGGTGGTTCATGTGGTCTATATTGCCAGAAATCGATCGTTGTTGGTTCATGTGGTCTATTTTGTTTGAGAATTCGATCGTGGTATATTTTGTCAGATAATTTTATCGTGGTCTATTTTGTCAGATAATTTGATCGTTGCTTAACGTCTCGTCAGCCGGCTAAACTTATAATTAAGGAAATACAGTACTGTAGTTTACAGTTATTCTTTCATGTGTGCAGTTGACTTAAGATCACAAGCACTGTTCACTAATGCACTGATGGTTGAACAAGCTTTATTTGATTTTAGTTAAGAATAATGTGATATGCAGATACGTATTGCAAATCGTATTCCATTCAAAGTGCCTTGTGCATGTTGTGCTAAATGATATTACAAAAGTCGAATGCTATTTTTATATGTAGTTATTGATAGGAAGTTGTCGCCTTTTAACTAGTCTTGACATGGGAAGAGGATAACTATCAATTTATTATGTCCCATGTAAGACTTTTACAAACAAGAATAGTTATACATAACCAAACAAGGCTTACATTTCATGCATCCGTTTAGTTTATCAAGAATGCTCAGTGTGTGGTAATATACCAACAAAATACACTGATATGCAGCTCGGATAACACTGGTGAAATTAAGTCACTAAAGCTAATTCAGTGTACATTTACCGGTCACCGATGAGATCCTCCTGCTGTCCATTTCCATCAAATCTGTCAAACGACTTCTTATAGGCATTATTGCCCTTGAATGACGAATTTAACAATCTTGTTCATCCTTTCTGTCTACTATCTAGAAAACAATAATAGATACAAACTTTAAAAAGCAAAAATGATCAGCAAGACATGATCTACAAATAAGTCAAATGGCCGAAATTGTCAATTACTCCTTATAGGAGCTATTGCCCTTGAAGATGATTTTTATCAATGTTTGGCGTTATTGTCTATTATTTTGAAAACTATAAAAGATAGAGAGAAAATTTGAAAGCAAAACTGATCCACAGACAAGATCTACAAATAAATCCGATGGCTGAAATCGTTTGTCTTCTCTCTATAGGCGTTTTTGCACTTAAATGACAATTTTTACCATTAGTTTGTGTTTTTGCCAATTATGATTAAAATTATAAAAGAAAGATAGAAATTTAAATAGCAAAAATGATCAGCACATAATTCAAGATGTTAAGATGGCCGAAATTGTCAGTCAACTCTTTATAGGAGTTATTGCCCTATAATGATGATTTTTATCCATTTTGCATTTTAGGGGAAAACTTTGGTGGATTATGACAGGATAAAGAAGAACAGCAAAACATAAAAAATGAACAGCAAAACAAGATTTACAATTAGGTGACCATAGCCGAAATTGTCAGTTGACTCATAATAGGAGTTATTGCCCTTAAAAATTACAATTGTTAACTAATTTTGTATTTTGGCCAACAACTATTTAGTTGATAGAAAGAAACTGCAAACAGTAAAAATGATCAACAAAAAACTTGTTGTCATAAAATATCTTAGTTTACAATGTTGGAGATTGGCAGTAGTTGAAGTAACACTGCTTATAGGTGTCAGACCACCAATTAAAAGTCCCTATCTGTTCAACCAAAATTTGCAATTTTCACAGCTTTCTAAATATTTTACCTTAAGTTTAACTTCATAGTAACCGGTATATCCTGAATTGTACATGTATCAGCTTTCTACATGCCAATTTTTAACATACCTTTAAAATCATAAAAGAAAGAAGAGGCCTCCCGAACAGAGGTACCACTAAAAATAACCCCTGGTTTTCTGGAAATCTTAAATTAGTATACTATGGAATGCATTAATTATGGCAAGCCGTTCTCGTCAAAACTATGTTTAAACCATTTTTTCGAAAAATTTACACTGAGAATTAAAAAAATCACACTGAGATTTAAGAACCTAAAATAACACACTGAGAAATCGAAATTACACACTGAGATTTTAAAATTACACACTGAGATTTCAAAAAATGAAAAACACACACTGAGAATTTAAAATTACACACTGAGATTTTAAAAAGACACACTGAGATGAAATAAATTGAAAAACACACACTGAAAATTGTTAATTACACAACTGGATTTCAAAAATACACACTGAGATTAATATGCAAATTATTAATGAATATTCACGAGATGAATAATTCAACAGATTAATATCTTGGTCTCCCGAACTCTTGTCATTTTAATGAAATGCGGTTCCTACGACCAACATTCGTAATAAATTTCAAGACTTAACAACTTTTTTTGCTAACCAGTCATATTCATAAGTTTGTTGCCTATAATTCAGATTATTACTAACAGTATATCGGGATTTTTTGCTTAAAACTGTTTAAGCATGGTCCCTTTTCAAAAGTCTTTCAACTGTTACCCTGATTTTGCAAAGTAATCTTTTATATTTTTGTTACGTTTATATGCTAAAATAGGCACTTGGGAAAAAAATTCACTGCATTGTTTGTATTTTTGCAGATTGTTCCAATGTTTTCTTATAATTTTAATAAAGTTTTTCACCATTTGGTTATATTTTGTAATGAGAGTAAGTGGGTATTTTTCTTGTTCTATTGGTCTTTAATAACGTAGTTTTTCTATACGTTGTATTTTTAATGTTTTTTATAAAACATTTAGCGCCAAATTGAAGGACTAACGAGTTCTGTCCCCTAGTTGTTTTAAGCTTGTAATAGATTCAGATTAAGTATGCTAATTAGATATGTGCGCATAAAAAGTGCGCACAAATCTCAGTGTGTAATTTTAAATTCTCAGTGTGTAACTTCAAATTCTCAGTGTGTGTTTTTCAGTTTATTTCGTCTCAATGTGTCTTTCTGAAATCTCATTGTGTAATTTCAATTCTCAGTGTGTGTTTTTCATTTTTTGCAATCTCAGTGCGTTTTTATGAAATCTCAGTGTGTAATTTTTAATTCTCAGTGTGTGTTTTTAGGTTTTTTAATCTCAGTGTGTTTTTTTTTAATTCTCAGTGTGTAAATTTTTCGAAAAATGGTTTGTACATAGTTTTGATGAGAACGGCTTGCCATAATTAATCCTCAATGTTGAATGCAAACTCATAGACAAGTAAATTTTGGCTCAAAATGGTCTTAATATATTTCTCTTTGCAAGATGAAAATGACTGTAAAACCCTTCTTCTTTCTTAGTTTAAGTTTGGAAACACAACAAGAAACTTTCATTAGTATAAAGAACAGTTACTTACTCGAGGAATAATGAAAATAACACTTTTAATTATTAATTTTAATTTTATGGCATTGTCTCTAAAGGAAAGAAAACTTATACATAAAAATTATGAGTGTAGTTTATTAATGTATTTGAATATAATTGTATTCTAGTTAGTATTTGATTGTAAGTGTTGGTAATTAACAACCTATTAAGTTCAGTTTATAAAGTTTTCCTTTTTCTTTACTGTCTACTTCAGTAGTAGTTCCTAAGTACAGCATACAAAATTGCCCTACCATTGCAAGGCTTATGGAAAATGGAGTTTGCACTATCCCATTGTCTGTAGTGCTGATGTATGTCATCAGCTGTCCTGAAAAATTTAAGATATGGAAAGTGCTACTGTTCATATCCACAACAATGACATTGTCAGCAGGAGTTGTTGTTAGGTCACTTGGTTTAAATGGTATATCGTCAGTGTTGATGGCTGAATGTCCAGAATAGGTATAAATTATGTCTCCCTGTCCCAGTACTACCACGCTTCCTTCACCTTCATCAATTGAATTAACAACAAAAATGTTTTCATTGTTAGTTCCAGTAATTCTAAGTGGTAAGGTAAATGAAATACCTTTAGTCTGGTCCTCACCGTACACCATCTCATGATTCCCTTTATGGTCCATTAATATCACCATGCCTTTGTCTTCTGTATCATTCACAGCTCCTACTATCACCTTATTTTTTCTGGTTACATAAATAGATACTGGCTGATATGGATCCAAATTATAAATAGTGTCTACAACTTTATTTGTTCCACTTCTGATCTGTTTCAGTAAATGTGGTCCTTCAATAGCTAAAAGTAAATCATTACCAGGAGTAATTGCCATGCCATTAATGTCAATGTTAAAACTAGATATCACTTTTAGCTTATTTCCTTTACATTTTACTTTCTGCAGTCCTGTATGAGAAGTAAATAATCTTATTCCTTTTTTATGATCTCCATCACCAATCCACAATGAATCATCTATGGATATAGCCAGCTGAAAAACATCGTCTAACTTGGTTTGATATTCTTCAACAAGAGTTATATCAACATTAGCAGGATCCTTGCTGGAAGGTGATGTACTACCAATATCTTTGCTTGAGAGTGATGATGTACTCCCTATATCCTTGATCGCTATAATCATATGTTCCCCAATAGTTTTGATTTTTGGATGAATGTTATTCTTACATACACTACACATCAGTAAGTCACATTCTAAACATTTCCAAGAGATTTTAGGATCCTTCTCACATAATTGACACAGAATTGGAGATTGTATTCCTAACTGTGGTTTGGATAAAGCCATATTGAACAGAACAGAATTTTATTTGTGTAAAATCCAGACATATATTGTCAAAAATAGCTTGTTTGTACCACTTGGTTTTTACTTCCTAGTTGAGAAGGGTTGAAGTGTAGAAAGATTTTAGATTTGAACATACATATGTAAACACGTTTGAGCTTTCTAAAAAGCTGTGGACTGCTTCGCTTTATCCTAATTTAAGGTAATATGTGTGCATGTGGTTGTTGATTTAGTATTGGAAATGTGGTATTTTTAGATATTGATTGATATAAAATGGATTTACTTTAAGAGTGTGCGTTATACACCCATGCTTTTTTTAAAAATTTGGTTCACTTTACTTGTTGAAAATTAAAACATTTACAAATAGACACGATTCTGGAGGTGTGCCTAGATTGGCAGAAGTAATAAAATACTGATAATGCATTTTTGTAAACATTGTATAGGAACATTGTTTAGCAAAACAAATTGTGCATATTGCAGATTAACAAAGCAAAAACACGTATTAATAATTGATATTTCAATATTGAATTTCAGTGTGCAATATATCCGTTATTTCCTGTTCAATCCCTTGATGAACAACAGGCACAAAGTTTGAATGAATTATTGATTTAGAGGAAAATATAAAAAGTAAGACAATATGCATTGCATGTATAGATCAAGGTTTTCCTAACAAGGAACATGTTTATTTAGTTTCACAGTAAAGTACCTTAATCAAAACTTTAACCTGAGAAACTTTGTCATTGACAAAGTTCAACTATCTACCAAAAGAGCAAATATTTATAAAAATCAAAACCCTGACCACATGCACACCTTTAATATATGTACAAGCAGCCAGGTAGGTGAAAACTTCCTAGCATTCAAACTGTAGGAGGAGTCTTCCGGAAACGCTATGCACCTTTTATGTAAGTAAATACTCAAAAAAATGACAAAGTTCAACTATCTCCCAAAAGAGCAAATATTAATAAAAATCAAAACCCTGACCACATGCACACCTTTAATATATGTACAAACAGCAAGCAAAGTGAAAACTTCCTAGCATTCAAGCTGTAGGAGGAGTTATCTGGAAATGCTATGCACCTTTTATGCAAGTAAATACTCCAAAAAATGACAAAGTACAACTATCTCCCAAAAGAGCAAATACTAATAAAAATCAAAACCCTGACCACATGCACACCTTCAATACCTGTACAAACAGCAAACAAAGTGAAGACTTCCTAGCATTCAAACTGTAGGAGTTATCCAGAAATGCTATGCACAACTTATGCAAGTATATGTATGCTCCAATAAATTGCTTTGCCAAGCATAGCTGGTTACAACCGCAGAGGTCCAACCCTGAACAGTTGGGGCAAAAATGGACACAATATTCGTGCTTGATACAGGTCTGAATTTGGATTGTAATTAAATATTTGACACATAATAGGTTTCTGACACAAAATAACTGTAGTCAAAGAACTTAGAATTGGTTATATGATTTGAATTTATATTCAATTTTTTGGCTTTTGTGCAATACACTATGCTGTTGCGAATTGACCCCCCACCCCCCAAAAAAAAAATTACCCCCCCCCCCCCCCTTTTTTTTGCTTTTGTGCAATACACTAAGCTGTTGTGAATTGAACATTTCTGAAATCTGAAATGAGAAAAAATTGTCCTCCCCCTCACAATTTCTTTTTTACCCCCCCCCTCCCCCCCTTCTCCAAAAAAAAAATTCTTTCCCTCAAGATATGGTCATAATCTCAATTCAAATTTCCAATGTATTTTGCAACCATAATTACCCATTTAAATATATCATAAAAGTCTTAAAATAGAAAATGACATACATAATCATGGCTAAAATTAATATATTAAATATTCCTTAATCAGCTTTTTTAAATAGTAACTTCTAAAAATAAATTGACAGCTAATCACCTCAAGACAATACACCATTTCTTTATACATAATTTAAAAGCAGTGTAAGGGAGGTAATCCAAACATTACATTGTACTTTTTTTTAATTGTCCATTAAACCAGGAAACCCTTGTTTTTCCCCGTTGTGTTTAAATTTCATAGATTTCTATTTACATTTACTTAAGCTATTGTCTGGAAACCAAATGTCTTCGGACGATGAGGACGTGATACCAATATACGACCGCAAATTTTTTTGCGGTCGTATAAAAATGACAAAGTTCAACTACCTCCAAAAATAGCAAATATCAATAAAAATCAAAACCCTGACCACATGCACACCTTCAATATATGTACAAACAGCCAGCAAATTGAAAACTTCCTAGCATTTAAACTTTATACATAATTTAAAAGCAGTGTAAGGGAGGTAATCCAAACATAACATTGAACTTTTTTTTAATTGTCCATTAAACCATGAAACCCTTTCAGTTGCGGGGGCATAAAAACTTTAAATCCGAAACTTGAAAAACAAGCCTTTTTTAACAATAATATAACAAGACCAATATTAGAAACATTAATGTTTTTAGTTGAAGTTTTCAACAGATATTGAGCAAGAAATGGCGTTAATGCATATTTGCACAAGAGAATATATAATATTTTTTTATTCACTTTTCAACAAAGATGACAATAAAAGACTGTACTGTTAACTTTGTTTAGAACTGATTATTTTTTTAATGATTTTTAAATGTCAGTAAACAATGATACAATAACTGATGTCCTTAGTGATAACTTATAGGAATTCTTCTATAAATCTAAAAAAAGTAATTCTATTACAATAGCTACTTTTATGGACAACATCTTCTTCTACAGGTTAAATCTGGTGCATATAACTGTGGATTCATTATTAGTCAAGGGATACCAATTATTGAGGATTTGGTGGGTATATTCAAACCACAAATTCTATTTTTTTAACAAATTATAATTTTTTTTTAGGTTTGTAAGCAAACTTTTGCAAAACCACAAAATCAATTATCAAAAAAAAAAAAAAACAACAACAATTTTACCCTATTCAGGAAAATTGGTAGACGAAATAAATAAATCCACAGTAATATAATAAACTGCTGTAATTATGTTGCAGATTCTAAATTTTGAGCCCTTCCAAGTAGAAGTACCATTCCTTCTCCTGTTTCAAGTCTATTTTGATTAACTGCTCTAATGCAGTAGTTTTCTGTGATACAAATATAAAAAATAACAACAGTACTAATACAAATCTAGAAAAATGACAACATTTATTATCGTGTAGCCTGTATAATTTGCTGTAGTATTTGTTTTTGTCCCTGAGTAGTATACAAAGAATAGAGCTGTCTTGATGATAATGTCTGAGCCTTCAGTAATTGAGATTTCTCCTCTTCTAATGTATTACTGTATAAGTTCTGTGTTTTCATGGCACAGCTGAAAGTACAAAACTTTAACATTAAATCAGGCCTGTTCATATTGGAAAACCTCATTACTGGTACATTTTACATTGAAACCTATCTAACCACTAGGAGACTACAGATTTTGTTCACATATGACAGATATTTCTAATGACAAATATATAAAATTTTCACATTTTTCTTGTTGTGATTTTGGCTTACTTATAACACTTGTGAATGTTTTATCATCATTAAACAACATTTCCATGTACATGTATATACCGCAAACAATCACACACAATTTGAAATTACTGGAGCTTGACTAGTAGTTTTTCAAATTTTTTGCCCTAAATTCTCATGGCAAAAAAGGCTGTGTGGACAATGTTCCAAATATGGATTATACACAGCTGATTACGGTAATGCAAGATTTGATGAAGACTAGATTCAGTAGGTTTTCATATTCTGGTTCATGATCACCTCATACTTCCTGTTTGCTTTAAATGAATAAAAGGAGAAGTGGGTGTAAACAATCCAATGACACAAAAAAATCGGTAAACACGAAGTTGATTAGCCATAAATGTGAAAACTCATCATAGGGATAAGCATGCTCACATGACACTTGCTTCCAAATTTCAGGAAGCTCTGGTTAGTAATTCCTGTCAAGAGAAATATGTGATGAATATTTCATGAGACAGACATAATTTATGGAGGTAAACCAGTATATCCCCTCCTTCAGAGCGAGGAATAATTACTGAAGACTTGCCAATTTTGTTGCATTAGATACAAGAACCTGGTACATTGTCCAGTAATAACATATAATACATCAGACATACCTGCACAAAAACTTCTTCCATTTCTCTGGTAACTTCTTGATTGCCTCTGGAAATATATCATTACAAGTAAAAATTTGGCTAAAGATATTATCCAAACAGTGCACTGAGAGAAAACAAAACTAAACATGTTAATTGAGACAAGGATAACACTTGAAACATGTTAGAATAACCTGACTGAGAAAGTTCTTCATATAGAAATGCAGAAAATCTCTAAAGTCATTCAATACATTTTTTCTACCAGTTTGGTTTAAAATATGGAACAGGAACTGATGGATTGAACTGACAGAGAAATTTAACCTTTGTTGAAGAAATAAATTGCTCTATGATAAAATTTAAAGATAAAACAGATATTATGAGTTTGCTCACAAATTATTGAAACCATTTTAAGAAACCTAAATAAAATTATTAAATAAATTTTTTTTTCTTTGTCATCTCTTGGAGTGGCTATCTGGTACTCAAACCAAGAAAAGGCTTTAGGCATTTAGCCATTTTTCTCAAAATCGTCCAATCAGGGATATACTTCAAAAGATGTCTTTGGGTTCACCTATGATACCTTTATTTGTCCTTGGAATCAGTCACACACATTCGGTCTATATGAAACAGTTTTTATGCCCCGCATTAAGTGTTACCCATGACGGTCTGTCCTTCATTCCATCCCATTTTTGTTCCTGCACTATAACTTAAGTTTTCCCCATCAAAATTTTATGAAACTCATACACATTGCTAAGAACCACAACAAGCAGACAGAGTTCAAATTTAGGCAGTGAGTCATTAACCATTCTAGAGTTATGCCCCTTTTTAACTTGGAAAATTACAAAAGTTGAGCGGGGCAATTTGGTCCTCAGACACATTCTTCTTTTATTTTTTCTTCATTTCATTTTATAAATTCAATTAAACTTAGATGTAGTTGTCTAAATAATAATAAGATATAATTTTTACCAAATTCTAAACTTTCTTCTTCCTCCTCCTCTTCATCTTCACTCCATCCATCTTTCTCCTTATGTTCTTTGTATTCTTTTTCATTCATTAATAAAACCTAAAAAGTCAAAGTGCAGACACATGTCAATATTTACCTGTACATGTATGTATCTACAAAAAGAACCTAAATACAATCCAGTGAATGTTTTCTTTTACAAACTTGCAAGCTAGCAATGTCAGTAACATCATGCAAGGCTGAGTATGTAAGGGGAGTGGATGCAAGGCTTCCAAAACGGTCATATATTCCGGACATTTGTATAATGTCCGGTAAAAGTCCGGCTGGGCAAAGCATGAAACGGTCATCTACTTTTTAGTTTTCAAGGCTTTCTTAAGAGACGGTCATTTTAACATAATTCGCGATCTTTTTGACCCAACCTTTTGCCCTTAACAGCCACACATTTCCGGTCATAAAAGTGACATGATCATTAAGTACTATCAAAACAACCCCTACTTTAATACCTTCTCATTTTAATCAAGGCTAATTAGTTGTCGAACAGCTGAAATTTACCTGTTCAGGTGACAGGTAAACTATTTTGAACCGGACATTGATTGGTCTATTCAAAGTTATTTTCTTACATTTCAGCGGTTTGCATCTAATTAATTTAGTCAAAAAGATTTAAATTATCAGAAATATGTTTACAAATATGATTTGATGAAAAAATTAAAAAGGTGAAAATGAAAAATCGTCATAACCACGTTGTTTGAACCAGAGACATGTCTCTGTTTGAACTAGTATACATGTGCGCATGTGTGAAATTTAATTATGCATCCTAATTTCTTCAAAAAATGCATAAATTGTCATTGATACCTTTATCTCACGTTTATTTCGAATATTTTCTTGAAGAAATAACGTAGAAAGAGCTACGTACACTCATTCATGCTTTGCAAACGTACACAGAATTTACGTATCCGTCTCTGGTCCATGTTTTACCATTGTCAAGATAACATCTGGTATAAGATTTTAAAGAATGTAAAGTTTTTGACAACGTTATTTTGCACAAATAAAGAGTCTAAGGCAGATATAAGTACGCTGATGTTGCACACTTCGAATGATGTACTGCCAATTTAACAGTTCACGTCAGAACTTCGAATTTGAATCAAAGAAAGTTTAATATCGTTTTTTTTTAATGTCAGTCATATGCATTGGGATGCCCAACTCAGCAACTGAATACCATAATTGCCCTTTGTTTATTTAGTCTCAAGGGATTAAAATCGGGATAATTTATAAAATGTCCGGCTGACTAAAAATAATTTTGGAAGCCCTGAGTGGATGTCTTATTTCAATTTTTATATCTTTAATTTTTTTTATATGAAGAACTTGGTGTTGATATTTAATTGTTTTTGTTTAATCTATTCACAAACTATTACAGACTTGGGAAGATTTAGAGCTTGCCATATTGAATAGACACTTGTCTATTGTTGAAGACTGTATGTTGCTCTAGAAGATGATGATGATGGATGGCTGCTTACCGTCCAGCGGCAAATTGATATGCATATTCAGGACGAGAACATGTTAATGTCATATGAATATTAACCCTGCTTTGTACTAGACCAACACTGAGCCGGATTTCTAACGTGCTAGTTCACAAGGTAACAGTCCGCAGGAAGACATGTCCCCTTACCCAGACACATTTTTCTGACTCCGAGCCAACCAGTCTTTGCTCTTACTCCTTAATGCCGCATGCTTAGCGCAGAAGCAGCAATTACCAATTTTAAAGTCTCTGGTTTGACCTGGCTGGAGTTCAAACCCATGACCTCCCACCCTCGAGGCGAACACTCTACCAGGAGACCACCGAGGCGTTTTGCACTAGAAGAATATTTCATAACTGGTGTAGACTTTATTTTCCTGAGTATCTCCTTTTTACAAGATGTGTGTGTTGTACAAATCATAATCCCTTTTCAAATCAAATCTTAAAAATTTACATATGACTGTCATGTCATATTCATTAAATCTAGTTGAAGTAGGAGATTCTACAACCCCATTATCACTCTGGTCTACCCTTTGTCTTAAACAAAAGAGCATTAAATCATTAAAAGGATTGAACAGAAATAACTATATAACACAGGCTTTAAAGTTGTATAAAAAGTTCTGTGTGAGACACACATCTTCCATAACAAAAAGAAAACAATATGTTATTAATGTCATGCATCCGAAGCACTTTTCTGGATTTACCTTCATCAGGAGTGCTCAAAGCCGAATATTTGAAAAGCGAGGATGTATAAGAACTGAAACAGTTGAAGAGCTATATAACCAAAAATTATGACCCAGGTATTAATTCTTAAATCATCTTACCCGTATAACCTGGTACATCTCATCTTCTGTTAAAACACCTGAAATTCCTACCATAAAACTACCAACTTGTATCATCTTACCCATATAACCTGGTACATCTCATCTTCTGTTAAAACACCTGAGATTCCTGCCACAAAACTACCATCGCAGATCATCTTACCCGTATAACCTGGTACATCTCATCTTCTGTCAAAACACCTGAGATTCCTACCACAAAACTACCATCGCAGATCATCTTACCCATAAAACCTGGTACATCTCATCTTCTGTTAAAACACCTGAGATTCCTACCACAAAACTACCATCCCGTATCATCTTACCCGTATAACCTGGTACATCTCATCTTCTGTTAAAACACCTGAGATTCCTACCACAAAACTACCATCTTGTATCATCTTACCCGTATAACCTGGTACATTTCATCTTCTGTCAAAACACCTGAGATTCCTACCACAAAACTACCATCTCGTATCATCAGTTCCTGGAATGAAAAATCATTATTTCAACATTATCCAGAAATCCAACTTTTTTATCTTTTTATTTTTGACTGTACAACATCACATTATTTATGATGTTACCTTCATAACGGCAAAGGCAAAACAACAATTATTATTTGGACACTTATTTAAGGATAACTAACACAAAGGTCTATTGTTCTGACAGATCTAATTGCTAATTGAGGAGTTGGTCGTCTGTGGTAAGTGTGGTCTATTTTACTATCCAATATTTTTGGTAATTCTTATCCTTTTCGTGTATTATTATTGTTCCACAACAAATTCTTTATTTTTCTCAATTTCAGGCTTAGGGCACCTGCAACTTAAAAAAATATTTTATCTTAAAATTCAGAAGTCATCGTTTTCAGTTCAGAATCTAATCATTTGGGTGAAATTTTCAAAAGATTACCCCAAAACAATAAGAAATGTTAATGACATACTAGACAATGAAATTACCAACAATCCTTTGGATTCTGGATCGGCAAAATTAATCACTTGAAAAATAATATATAAATTACCATGTCAATGAGGAAATTTGTCTTGTCCTTTAGTAACACTTCATTGTTTATTGGTAACTCTTTGGCAGCTTCTAGCACAACTGATATAGGTATGTCTACCTGAAATAAAAGTTCCACGTTATCTTATCAATATTAACTTCTAACACAACTGATGTAGGTATATCTATCTGAAATAAAAGTTCCAAGCTATCTTATCAACTTTAACTTCTATGTATGAATAGGCTACTATGTACATTTGGCATACCCATATGTGATTAAATGTCATAGCTACAAGGATTACCTTAAATCAAAATTCATTCATTTTTAGATATATTTTTACCCACAATATTATGATAAAATTACAATTTTTTTTATATATAAAAAAAAAACAGATTTTCAATCTCATTTTTGAGATATTTGAAGTTTAAAGAAACAATTTTGAAAAAAATAAAATAAATTATTTCTTATCCAATTTTACATGAATCTCCAAAATAGTTAATTAAGGAATGTGAAACGCTTGGCAAATGTTTGAACATATTTGCACAAGAAAAATATGTTTTCCATTTATAAACAATTACCTATTCAAACCTAATACAAAACTTTCATGCTGACATTAAATTAAACAGAATATTTTGAGTATCATTTCTGGAGATTAAATAAACAAGAGTGCACACCCTGAAATGTCTCGCCTTCTTTACTAATCATTGATATTATGTTGATAGTCCTAAATATAAAGCTTTATTACAACTGTCACATAAACTTCACATTAACCAAGTAAACTAAACATTGACCAATGAACCATGAAAATGAGGTCAAGGTCAGATGAACCATGCTAGACAGGCATGTACAGCTAACAATTCTTCCATACAACAAATATAGTTGACCTATTGCTTATAGTTTAAGAAAAACAGACCAAAACACAAAAACTTAACACTGAGCAATGAACCTTGAAAATGAGGTCAAGGTCAAATAAAACATGCGTGACTGACATATAGATCATAAAATATTTCCATACACCAAATATAGTTGAACTATTGCATATAGTATTAGAAAAAAAGACCAAAACTCAAAAACTTAACTTTGACCACTGAACCATGAAAATGAGGTCAAGGTAAGATGACACCTGCCAGCTAGACATGTACACCTTACAATCATTCCATACACCAAATATAGCTGACCTATTGCATGCAGTATTAGAAAAAAAGACCAAAACTCAAAAACTTAACTTTGACCACTGAACCATGAAAATGAGGTCAAGGTCAGATGACACCTGCCAGCTAGACATGTACACCTTACAATCATTCCATACACCTAATATAGTAGACCTATTGCATACAGTATAAGAAAAACAGACCAAAACACAAAAACTTAACTATAACCACTGAACCATGAAAATGAGGTCAAGGTCAGATGACACCTGCCAGTTGGACATGTACACCTTACAGTCCTTCCATACACCGAATATACTAGACCTATTGCTTATAGTATCTGAGATATGGACTTGACCACGAAAACTTAACCTTGTTCACTGATCCATGAAATGAGGTCGAGGTCAAGTGAAAACTGTCTGACGGGCATGAGGACCTTGCAAGGTACGCACATACCAAATATAGTTATCCTATTACTTATAATAAGAGAGAATTTAACATTACAAAAAATCTGAACTTTTTTTTCAAGTAGTCACTGAACCATGAAAATGAGGTCAAGGACATTGGACATGTGACTGACGGAAACTTCGTAACATGAGGCATCCATATACAAAGTATGAAGCATCCAGGTCTTCCATCTTCTAAAATATAAAGCTTTTAAGAAGTTAGCTAACGCCGCCGCCGCCGCCGTAGCCGCCGCCGCCGCCGGATCGCTATCCCTATGTCGAGCTTTCTGCGACAAAAGTCGCAGGCTCGACAAAAAATCATTTACAACAGCATGTTTCTAAGTTTTATTTTTTTAGAAAACAATAAAAATACAATGAAAAAAGTTGTATCACTGTTAAGTCGCAATTTAGTATAGTAACTTGGTAAGTGATATTTGAAGCCAAAACAATTTATTATTGGTTGTAATAAATCATTTTCAATTTCATAGTTCTAGAAAATATCTTAGTTATTATCTCCCCTGAAACTGGTGGTTTGGTATTAGTTTACAGAGATATGATTCAAATCTAATATTTGATGGATGACAATAAAAACATTACCTCCTTTTTAGTAAGAATTTGTATAATGCTTATGCAAATATTTTGTTTACTAAGGAAAAGTCAAGAAATTTAGTATCATTGCACATTTAAATTTGCATGAAATGCAGACCACTTGAGAAAATTTACAATTTAGAAGAATGCACCACAAAGTAACATTTACAAGCATTCTGGTCCATATAAGGTGTATCTAATAACATTTTAATTTTTTTATTGTAGTATTTAAACCATTTCTTAATAATGTAATATGTGTTCCCTATTGGAATTTTGAAAAAAGAATTTTCATTTTTACCAAATTTAATTGGTAATTGTGTCATTACCAATGCTACATATGTCTGCCTCCTCCAATTAAGTCTTTCAGCTTATTACAGGAAGCTTTACTTTTAGAAACTTACAGTATCATAATGATTATTAGGGAATTGTTCTGCAAAGCCATACATTTGTAGAAGCTGCCAATTAGCTAACTGTCCATATGTGTTGTAGATTTCTTCTCCCTAAAAAAGAATAAGTGGGTTATTCTATGTTGTTGATTTCAGTGAAAAATTCTTCTATGTTTCTATGAAATTTTTTTTCAATTTTTTACTGGTAATTCTGTAACAGTATCATTAGTATGTCACTATTTAAAAAAAAAAACTGAGTAAAGCAAGTTGAACTGTGTGCTATTACTCACTATTGATACACTGCTATAAGTATTTTCTGTAAACAGGAAGTTGATGAAAGATGAATCTGAAAATGCATCATACAGTAAAGTATATTTACATGAAACTGGATGCCAAAATTCAGGAAGCTATGATTTTTTGTTCCTAGGAAAAATGAAACCAAAATTTTAGGGGATGGACAGACCAAAACATGGATGGTACAGAATTCTTGAAAAGGGGTGGTCCAAAGGTTTTGATCACCAAATTTTGCAAAGGACCAACACAGTTTTCACATTTTGCAATAGAAATGATAGTGAGGACCAGCAGATTTTTTTTAAGGACCACCAGGGAAAATAAAATTTTGAGAACTTTGGATCATGGATGGACAGATATAGACCTGTTTACCAAGTCCCCTGATGTTGTTCTAATAATGGCCTTTCCATTTAAATTTATACTAAAACAATCAACTCTAATGATAATTAAAACTATAAAAACATTAAGCTAAGAGCACTAAACAATAAAATGCTCCGCAGGGCGCAGCTTGATACGACCGCAGAGGTCGAACCCTGAACAGTTGGGGCAAGTATGGACACAACATTCAAGCTTGATACAGCTTTGCATTTGGATTGTGATTAAATATTTGACACAGCATAGGTTTCTGACACAGAATGAATGTGGTCTAAGAACTTAAAAATTTTAAATTGGACATTCACCTATTATGGTCCAATATCCAAAATCTAAATTCATGGTTAGATTCAGCATATCAAAGAACCCCAAAAAATTCAATTTTTGATGAAATCAAACAAAGTTTAATTTTGGACCCTTTCGACCTCAATGTGGACAAAGTTGATAATGGGGCCCAAAAATCAAAAATATAAATACATGGTTAGATTCAGCATATCAAAGAACCCAATATATTCAATTTTTGTTGAAATCAAACAAAGTTTAATTTTGGACTCCGATTTAGACCAACTTGAAAACTGGGCCCATAATCAAAAATCTAAATACATGTTTAGATTCAGCATATCAAAGAACCCTAAGAATTCAATTTTTGTTAAAATCAAACTAAGTTTAATTTTGGACCCTTTGGACCTTAATGTAGACCAATTTGAAAACGGAACCAAAAATTAAGAATCTAAATACACGGTTAGATTCGGCATATCAAAGAACCCCAATAATTCAATTTTTGATGAAATCAAACAAAGTTTAATTTTGGACCCTTTGGACCTCAATGTGGACTTTAATGAACCCCAAGAATTCAAGAATAAAACCCCATTGAAATTGGTCAAGAAATAAGCAATTTATACGAAGTATCTTCTTTTGCACAATACTGTGCAATTAAATATTTCTTGCTATTGCGCAATACTGTACAATTGACAATTTCTTGCTATTGCGCAATATTGTGCTATTGGATATTTCTTGCTATTGCGCAATACTGTGCAATTGAAGATTTCTTGCTATTGCGCAATACTGTGCAATTGAAGATTTCTTGCTATTGTGCAATACTATGCAATTGAAAATTTCTTGCTATTGCACAATACTTATTGTATAATAATTTACACATCCTGTTTGTTGTGTATCTCCTACCATATCATTATTATTTGCTTTTAAATATAAATCAGAAATAACCAACTTAAAATGGAAAATTTTAAATGAAAAAAAAAAGGAAAAAAGAAAAAAAAGGAAAAAAAAAATTACCCCCCCCCCAATTTTTTGAACCCCCTTATGATTCATCACACCCAAACTCAATCCCAGCCTTCCCTTTGTGGTATGGTACCTTGCAGTACAATTATAGAGAGATCCATACACTTGAACACAAGTTATTGTCTGGAAACTAGAAAAATGTGTTTCTTGGCCCCTTTTTGGCCCCAAATTCCTAAACGTTTAGGGCAATTACCCCCAAACTCAAACCCAGCTTTCCCTTTGTGATATGGAACCTTGTAGTACAATTTCAGAAAGATCCATACACTTACACACAAGTTATTGTCCTGAAACTAGAAAAATGCTTGTTTTTTGCCCCTTTTTGGCCCCTAATTCCTGAAATATTGAGGCAATTACCCCCATCATCTATCCCAGCCTTCCCTTTGTGGTATGGTACCTTGCAGTACAATTTCAGAGAGATCCATACACTTGAACATAAGTTATTGTCTGGAAACTAGAAGAATGCTTATTTTTGGCCCCTTTTTGGCCCCCAATTCCTAAACGTTTCGGCAATTACCCCCAAACTCAATTCCAGCTTTCCCTTTGTGATATGGAACCTTGTAGTACAATTTCAGAAAGATCCATACACTTACACACAAGTTATTGTCATGAAACTAGAAAAATGCTTGTTTTTTGCCCCTTTTTTGGCCCCTAATTCCTACAATTTTGAGGCAATTACCCCCAAAATCAATCTCAGCATTCCTTTTGTGATATGGAACCTTGTGGTACAATGTCAGAGAGATCCATACACTAACACACAAGTTATGTCTGGAAGTTACAAAAATGCTTATTTTTGGCCCCTTTTTGGCCCCTAATTCCTTTACTGTTGGTACCATAACCCCCAAAATCAATCCCAACCTTCCTTTTGTGGTATTGTACCTTGTGGTAAAATTTCATAGAGATCCATTCACTTAAACTAAAGTTAGAGTGTGAAAACCAATGTGTCTTCGGACGACGCCAGACGTATAAAAATAACATTGCTTTCATGCCCTGTTACAGGTATTTAGGTTCGTGCATTGATTATTGATAATGAAACTTTTTACTAGAAATGCCATTTGTCACAGCACTCATAAAGTTTAATCCTCCATTAGAATTACCTTTTTGATTGTTTTAATTGCTACCATTTTCAATGCATCTGTTTCAAAAGCAAGTTGAGCGTTGTTTTTTGCCACATGATTTAATATGTCCGCCATTGGCACCATCATGGGAGGTGGACTATCATCAAATTCATCATCTGGAGGTTCAGTGAAGCTGTAAGCCATAACAAAAGCCACCATCTGCTTGTAAAACTCAAGGTTAAGACAACATTCTCTACAAAACACAAAGTCATTTTTGAAAACTGTTGATTTGATGAAATTTCAGTTTAAATTTTAAAATACATAAAGTAGAATGTAATTTGTATATATATCAAACATGTCAATAATGAAATGATTTTCTTTTAATTAGTATGGTACATATCTTAATATATATATAAATAAGATGATTTTATATGGATATCAAATTCATTTATGCATACATTATGAGCTATTAAAAGTGTCCATGCAGAGTTATCTCCTCTTGAAACATTCAATGACATACATTTTTTGGAATGTCTCTGTGCCCTGCACAGAAATGACCAGCAATCTACAATCTATTTTAAAATGCACAATACAACAAGACAGTTTAAGACATGAACCTCAACTTCTTATGTTTCAATCAAATTCTGCATATCTCTTCATCTTTATCCATGATTTTTATAATGAACTATGGAACTATGGTCATTATTTTATAAGATTTAAGTGCCAATCTGCATAAGAATCAGGCAGTGGTGAAAACATGACAAACAAAAACATACTTAACTCTACATTAATTTAAGTTCAAAATGTATAATGGTGCACAAATATAACATTTGTTTCCTTTTCCTGTTCTGTTATTTCTAGATATAAATTGGTTGAAATGCACTAGAAATTAACAATTAAGGGGAGCTAACTGCGTAATGTGCTATCATTATAACCAGAAGTTATCTAGAGATTTCTCTAATTACCAGACATGCAGAAACGAAAGACCTTCCAATTCTAACATAGGATGAAGGTAACATCAAAATAGGATGGTTAGTTCGGCGGTTTATTTTCAGCCATGTTTTGAAATTCTTCTGAATTGCTCGATTCTTACAAAGACTGGCACTTTAAAAATACTTAAATCAATTAGTCAACACAACTTAACAAAATATCTAATATTTCATGTTGACAATCATTCCCAGCTAAAAACTAATTTAGAATTGATTGAATTTTTCTTGCCTGTCATCCAATGGCAATTATCCAATGCATTTATTCAGGACAAACCATCTTGTGACCTTCATATTTGAATAGGACAAACCATCTTATACATGACCTTCATATTTGAACAGGACAAACCATCTTATAACCTTCATATTTGAAAGCTTATTGAAATTATAATTTCATAGCATGTTGAAGATTATTGTACCAGCTACCTCCTGAACTGGATTTATTCTTAAAACCATAAATTTCTAAACAGTAATAATACATTTCTCCAAACCCACTTGTAAATTCCTAATAATCTCTTTCAGTCTTCTCGCATTGATTTAAAAAATATATTATAAAATATCAATTATATCAATCTTACCATTTTTAACTTCTTTCTCATTCTTTAAACACATAATTTTATAGTCTTGATATTTTGAAGCTCATCAAATAAAAAAGATAATTTCCTTCCCTTTATCAAAATTAACCTTTATTCTACTTGCAAGTATTTGGTTAGAAATACAACTCTTACCCAAATAAATCTGAATGCTTCTTTACAAATGGCAAAACAATGTCATTGAATTCTGTAGAAATGTTCTTTATGTCTTTATCAACAGCTTCAATTACTCCTGTGCTTTTGAGAAGAGATTTTCTTTCTGTTCTAAAATAAGATAAATAGCAATTTATTACTTTAAAAGAATATATTCAACAGCTTCAATTACTCCTGTGCTTTTGAGAAGAGATTTTCTTTCTGTTCTAAAATAAGATAAATGGTCATTTATTACTTTAAAAGAATATAAACAAAACCTAAATGTCAATAGTTATCTTAATATTAAGGAAATTTTACCTATGCACATATAGTTTTGCTAGATCTATAGTTTTCTATTTTACCAATATATTTTGTAGATAATTGTTTGTATTTTTATCTTATTTGATCTTGCCTGTCCTTTCTTTGGTATTTTCCTATATGTATATCTTTTGTGTTTAACAATTTACTTTCTTTACCTATGTATCACAATATAAACTATCTACCATCTGACATAGTAATTAATTCCATCACAACCAAGAAGCAGAGAAATATGCCACTTACTGTAAGAAGGACCTTTTTCCGACATCAGGATTGGGCCTTCATTTTTTGCGAGAATTTGGGATTTGGCCTTTTTTTTCGTGGGAATTGAAGACTTACGCTTATCGGGACTCAGGATTTAATGATTATTTTTTTCGGGATCAGGGAAAGAATGCTTTATTTTGGGGGGGAATTCAGGATGACACCCCCATCCGCGCCTCTTAGTGGGATACTAATTTATCGTGGATTTTGTGGGAATACAGATTTATTATAGGTTTGTTAGCAGACTTTTGTAAAAAAACAGGAAATCAAACATCGAGGAAAATATAATTGTTCCTCAATCCAAGGACATAAATGAACCCACAACAGTAGGCTTTAACAGTAACTTCAGACTAATCAGCTGCTGAGAACTTGTCTTTTAGAACCAGTGCACTTTGAAAACTTATGATACATATTGATAGGCCTAAAAAAATCGTGTTTTTAAATGTCTCTTATTGAACAAGGTAAAACTTGTGTGGCTGAGACTGAATATCCTTATCAGCAATTTATCAACTTACATGTAGGTTGCTATGTTTTAAACTCATTGATATTTACCTAACAAATTATTTTAAGAATATTGGCCAAAGATCAATTTCTGAAATGGTTCAATTTGGTGCGTTTAATATTTTTATTTCATGTCAAAAGTTTAAGTATTCATGATAATATAAATTAACATTTAAAGCATAAAAGTAGACCAAACCATAGAGATCTCCTATACAGAAAAAAGTCCAAACCATATGAGATTTATGCAGAAAAATCAGAAACCATAAAGATCTTCTATAAAGAACAAGCCCAAACCATACAGATCTTTATGCAGAACAAGCCCAAACCATACAGATCTTTATGCAGAAAAAGCCCTAAACATACATATCATCTATGCAGATCAAGCCCAAATCATACAGAGCTTTATGCAAAACAAGCCCAAACCTAACACAGTTTTATGCAAAACAAGCCCAAACCTTACACATATCTTAAGCAGAAATCAAAGCGTGAAAGCGCTGTAAAGGCAGTTAATTACGGGTTGTGTGTATTTTTAGTCCAGTTATATCATTATCTTGCATAGTACAGTGTACTAATCAGAGGTGGCTTCCAGTATTTAAGATTAGAGTTCTCTAATGATATTAACAAGTTTCATGAATGTCATATTCTGAGCATTATATGAAGGTGATTGTTCTAACTTGTTTATGAACTAGTGCATTATGTCCAGTTTGTACCTTGTTTATCTGTGTTTATAGTCAAATACTGTTTAATATAGTTGGGCATTTTCTTATTAGGAATAAATACCAGATATCAACTGTATTTTTATTCAACTTTGCAAATGTGGTTTGTTACTAGTAAGCATGGATGATAGTTGTTAAATTGGCAATCATACCACATCTCCTTATTTGTATAATACATGTATGATCTATATTCAACGACCTCAAGTACAAAGAAAATATGTAACTGAACTATGATGGGAAACATTTTACTTCTTTCTTTTATATAAACTTTTGATTTGGTAGCATAGAACTACCGGTATGTAGAATACTCCTGTTGAACATATTGTGCATAGATGATGTTGTCTATCTACCATTTTTATATATGTATGATGGTATTTACCTTCTATCCTTGGATTCAACAGCTTTAAGAATATGGTGAACACATATTTAAATGTATATGCCATGTTTATGCAACACAGCTCATGGTAAAGTATGCCAACAAGAATGCTGGTATTAAATCTCAGTACACTTTGATGTTTAAGGGCAATTTTTATGACTGTTTGATATAATTAACTTGCACATAGTACATGCATATGTCTGTATCTGTAGAGCTACATATTGGAAATATCAAGCATTTATTTTGGCATGGTTGATGATAATAGATACTGTGGCATAATTATAAAATACACTTTATATGGATCTGTTATATAAATTTTATTGTAAACTATGGTAACATACAGTCAATCTCTAGATATCTATTTTAATCTTAAAAGCAATGTAAATTAACAATGGGGTACACATTGTCTCCCTATACTTCAGAAAATAAAATTGAACCTTTGTGATAATCACTGTATATATGTATATATGATTTTCTGTACCTCGCCATGGTACGCACTTTTAAGACATGAAAGAACTTTTCCTTATTAATATAAATAGACTATTCTTTATTATTGATTTATATTAGCATCCTATGAGAAGTAGTTCATAATGATTTCTTATGTCACAGTATTGTGTGTATTGCAAGAACATTAAGTAACATTACATTGCAACATGTCTCCTCTTTCGATGACCATACTTTTTCTAGAAACTTTAACTCCAAGCAAAATTATTTCCAAGTATAAAGTAATTTATGAATGAATAAACAATTCACCAAAGTTTCATGCATACTGGTTAAAGTGTTTTTGAATTAATGTCCGACGTGTTGACAACAGACGGACGGACAACGGTATACCATAATACACAGGCCTTTAAAAAAGGAGTTCTTAATTAAGAAAAACATGACATCTCGTTGTTTGGTCACTGTCATAATAGTTGTCTCATTAGCATTTTAACCACCTCTCCATATTTACATGTATAAGACAACAGAAGAAAATGATTTAACCCAAAAACAAATAGATATAGGAAGATTTGTTATGAGTGCCAATGAGACAACTCTCCATCCAAGTTACAATTTATAAAAGTAAACCATTATAGGTCAAGGTATTGCCTTCAACACAGAGCATTGCTTAGTCACAGTATAAACTTAGTTGTAAGATCTCTGGAATTCTCTACACGGTATGAGTTTTACTCATTGTTGGAGATTGTACGGTTATAGTAACACCTGTAACTGCTTATACCCATTTCTTATGCACTTTGATTTGATAAACTCACTGAATATCATACCAAATCTCCTTATTTTCATATGCATTACAATTTACATGTACATGTAATTGTAAATATATATCAGAACAGAATTCATTGCGCCACTTTCATTTATGCATCCTTTGGCAAAATACAAGTTCTAAAATTACACAATATAAAACAACTAAATGTTATTTCAAATGAAAGTTTTGTTTCAGTTCTATTTATAGGATTTGTTAGAATTTTGTATGTTTTGCCAAGTCCGATAATTGGCTCTATATGCACCTGTTTATTGGACACTTTTCTATCCCGTATAAGAGTTTTTCAACTAATTCTGTTTCATTGACGGCAACATCCATTTTAGCAAACAAATCTTGCACATTAAAACCTTTATCTGCCATCACACTGTCACCTGGATCACATAATTGAACTATTCTACATCGTTCAACTATTTGACAGTTACTGGTACAACCAACATATGCATTAGAGACATAGTTGACTAAACCACCAGGTGTCGAACATACAAGTATTTTCAGTGTTTCTGTTTTTATATGATGAAAAGGTTGCCTGTTGAGCTCTAGGAGCTTTAGAATTTTTTCGCAGGACATTCTGTGCTGTCAATAATAATACTAGTTGAAGGAAACTTTAATTTGAAGTCAGATGGCGAAAAATACCTGACTAAACCGCTAGATGGCCAAGTGTTAGCCTCTCGCCACTGTTTAGACATACATGTATAAAAAACAATCCATGTATACACAATATTCTTAACACTAGATTCAGATATTGAAAACAATCTAGACAGTCCAAAGTTGGTTGTATAATGCCTCAATTTCATCAGTCATAAAAAAACTGATTTTTAACTGACATGCTATCAATTTGAAAATATATGTATGCAAACAATGTGCTGCTGGACCAAGCGTGGTGAAAACAAATAAAAATTTGGTATACGACTCTAAACAGGTATAAAAATGCATGGCTGTGTCATCATTTGCGAAATTCTCTGCTGAAAACATAGGCATTGATGGTGTTTGCGTAATTCCATCTGTGAAGCTCAACATTAGCTCGGCAGTTGGTGGTGGACAGTCATAAATCCTTTCTGCAGTATGAATGACTTCTTCAGGAAAACCAACTTCACAATCAAAACTTTCCTCCAACAATATTCGTCCAGTTTAGTTCTTTTGTTTTCTTTTTGCAGACGATTCAGTCTCTTGCTTGGTCCAGGAAAATAGGCTGGGAATGGCAGTAGACATAAGTCTCTGTAAGGTGGGTTTGCGCCCTGAAAAAGGTTATAAAATATTAGTTTTTTGAAAATTAAATGAACTTCCATTAGCAATGTATACTTTGTACTACCTGGCAAAATGTTAACTAGATTTATTCATTACAATGTGGATAAAAGTTTAAAACTATGTTTGCGGCCTGATTCAATGTATGTTACATGTATGTAAATCCAATGGACAAACAATGAGAGACTTATGCAACACACGTACAATGTACCTAAATAACTATAATATAGATGAGAGCATGTCATTGTTTTGTTCCTGTTAACATTGTCATTGATATTTTTCAAGAAAGCTTATGAGGCATAGCTTATGCTAGTCCAAATAATTATGACGTCTTGAAAGGCTATTTTAATTTTTTTTCTGTGACGCCTTCTTACGGTCGTAGGAATTAATGCCATCACAGAAAAAAATTAAAATAGCCTTTCAAGACGTCATAATTATTTGGACTAAGCTTATGCATTCCTGTCATAACTACATCATACATTAGCATAATTACTGCTAAAATAATTCTCAGTATGATACACCTCTTGTAGGAAATCATTATAATTGTAGCATTCACCAAAAAATCTCAAACAGATCACATTGAATAGTAATCCAAAAAATTAAGACGTCTTGAATTAACCACCCCCTTTTATTCTCAAACGATAATCACGGTTGTAAACAGACTTTGGTTTATTCGCGTGGCGATCAATATATAACTGTATATATTTCTAAAAGAAAATAAAGTTTTACCATGAATAGTTTCCTGCACGTAGTCGTTTTCAGTCAAATGTGCCTTGCAAACAACAGCTGATTGAGATGGACTCGTGTTCTCGTTCAATCTGCGTATCGGCCATGGCGTTGATCCAACTTTCACTTCTTTTTAAGTCATTTTGAAATGCATGTCCTCCTTTTAAATGACATCCAGGTACACAACAACAAGTACTAGGCATCGTTAATTAAAATGTAAATTTGCACAGTGCAGATACCAAGTTAATGAACAGGAACGGCTACCATGGCGCCACCTATCTAGGAACGATAATACTTTTATAACTGATACCGAAATAACAATAACGTCATACGTTCACTTGCATAAACAGAAATGCGCTTTATAATATGCAATATAATTCATGTTCAGTCGATCTTTAATTGTTATATCAACATGAAATGATTTAAAAACATCTAGATTGCAGATAACACTCGAAATTGACTCGACCTCGTTCCACACGGAATTCAAATAGTTCTAGTTTGTCAATAGGTTGACTGCTTATAATGCAAAATACAAATATATCAAAAGTTTTGAAAACTAACAAAACACACTGATCGTTTCTTTATTTCCCAATGTAAATGAAATGAAACAAAAAACATTTTATATCACAAGAAGAAGAGGAGAGAATTCAACATTTCCGGATCTTATTTTGGCCAAATGACCCCCACGTAGATATGTCGGACATCGCGTAAGGAAAGATTAACCCGGCAACCAGAAAGGCATTAAAGCACTGCCTTTAAAAACCCATACCAAACAAAATTAATATGCAGAAAAAGTCCAAACCCTACAGCTACATATCATCTATGCAAAAGAAGCCAAAACCATAAAGATCTCCAATGCAGTAAAGAAGGTTAGCATTGGTTTTAGTAAAACTGTATTAAGAATTTGTAAATGTCATATATGAAAAAGTTCATGCTGAAACACTGATTACTGATCTGAGCTGTACTTTAATTACAAGAAGATGTTCAACTGCTCTTTGACAGATTTTATAATCTGAAATGTATAATCATATAAAACTGAACTTGTATTTAGTATTTAACTAGTATTTAACTTTAAGATTTTTTTTTAATGAATTTAGTTAGCCTTAGGTATTAAATGTGTATCAATTTTAAGGTTAATAATCTTAATCTAGGCTACATGTTATAAATAAACTAATATTTATTATATGCATATTAGAAATAAATGTATATCCATACTCAGTCCAAAACATAGGCAGATCTAATTGTTTGAAGTCAGGTACAAGATCAAGGTATGGTCTCCACTTAGACTGAGGATTATTGTACTCATACATTAGAGAAAGGAGGAGTGGAATCCATCCACTGCTACTCTTCAAACTGTCCATATCTGAAATACAGTTTAAATAAATATTTTATCATGTCTATATTGTAATTATATATTTTTTTTTAAATATTTCATTGGATTGAACTTAGTAATAAAGTAAAAAATTGTAGATGCACCTATTGCAATTTAAGGCAGTTTATGGCATGATAATAATGTAGAACATTAGATCTCAGACATAAATAAGTTTAATTTCACTTATGACTCATAGATGTTTAAATTTGTATGTTTCATGGGTTGTCTCCCTTTATTTTAAAACAAAAACTGATTTCAGTAAGTCAATTAATGAGAATTCTCTATCATCGAAATACAGTCCTGAACATTTTATGAAATCTTGAATAATATGTTGATTTTAATGTCATTAAAATAACACACTGAGTCTATTGAGAAAATAGAGTTTTTTGAGCTTTACATTCACACTGACCATAAAGTTATAATGTGGTCAAGTTTTATTGTTCTGACAAAACAACTGTTGCATCTGTAACAAAACATTCTGAAGAGTTTAAAAACATTAACAAAGTTGTTGTTGGTAGCTTTCTCCCATAATTGTTTTTGTTTTGTTTTTTGTTGTAATATAAATCAGGTTGTTGGTTTTCTCTTATGAATTGTTTCACATGTTGTCATCCTGGGGCCTTTTACAGCTAACTGTACATGATGCAACATCATGGTTTTTGCTCACAATAAAAGGCTATACGGTGACCTGTAATTGTTCACATCTTGGTCCTTTGGTCTATAATGAATTGTTGGTAATTATACCATACCCTTTATTCAAGGATAGTTGTATCTGAAACAATCCATATATTGACATACCTGTCTGTATCTGTTGTGATATAGTAGATGTCTGTGGCATTAACAGGCAGGATCGTTGTATCTGAAACAGACATTCTCCTTCCTCTATATCCTCCAATGCTACAGCACCATATTGAGCACAAGAACCATCATTTCCTACATACACCTACAAGATACAGTAAATATTACATCAATATTCTACCTGATTTCACCCTCCATTTTTTGTTGTTTTCTTTTGTTACCGTTTTGTATAGTTCTATCATTTAATGAGAAGTGTTTTGTGGACTGTTTTTGGTCTTTGTGTTTTCCTTTTGTCCACAGTCTGTTCTTCTTTGACTCATCATTATTTTAACCCTTGGTATTTTTTTTTGGTAAAATGATGATAGATTAGTGTTTACCTTCCAGAGAAAATAATGTAGTACATGCATATCAGGACAAGGATGTGTTCTGTGATATGAATATTAACTCTGCTTTGTAATAGATGGACACACTAAGCCAGATTTTTAATGTCTTGGTTCACAAGGTATTACAGTACAGTGGCAAGCAACTGCAGCTTGGGAGTCTTGGTCTCAGCAATGCTGCTTGGTAGTTCAAGTTCAAAACTTGAGTTTTTAGCATTTTACAGATGCAAAAGATAAGTTTCATACAAATAGTTTTTTTTTTATACAATGCTTTATTCCCTATAAACCATTAAAACCGAAGGTTTTTAATCAGCACCACATTGATGTCCAAAAATTTTATTCAGCACCATATTGGATCATATTGATGTCTAAAATAAAGGATGAAATAGTTGTTAAAACGATCAGAATTTATCTACAATCTAGTAGATCTGCTAGAATGTTGCTGAATAAAAAGAAACGGAAAGTTACAGATGGAAAAATTTAAATCATCTATTTTGTCATAAAGTTTCGTTCTTACAAATGTGATAATATTGTCACAATACCCAAATCATTCAGTGAGAGAACATTATATATGCAGAGAAACACAGTGCTGTCAAGTCTCACACATTGGGAGTGAGACTCACGCATTTTCATGCTTATTTGGCGACATTTTCCTTTATCTATTGTTTTTTCTCTTCGATCTGTACAAATTTTGTCAAATGTCATGCATTTGCTTCATGAAAACTTGACAGCCCTCGAAATGTGAATGTTAGCTTCTTTTCATTCTTTTAAAGAGACCCCAGTAGTGGTTTGAACAGATGAAGTTAATTCCTTTAGAGATTTTGAGCCATTTTCTGATTTGGCCACCTCAGAAAATAAACGTTTTTAAACTTTTGGTATTTAGCTGAATTTTGTCTCCAAATGACCTTAGATCTGTCTCTGTATAAACTTCTGATGTCAAGCGTTGCATTATGACGTCAATTTCTTTTAATTGTGATGTCAAATTATACAGGAACTTGTGTAATTTTAAGTAATGGCGGACAAATTTGCATTCAAATGTAAATATGTCTATTGCTCCGGACGCTGAATCCCAATAGGGACTCAGATGAATTCTGTCTAAACTGATAATGGAAAAAAGCCGGTGAGAAGAAAAACATTTCCACCATTGGCAAAAATTTGTTGTAAAGCATTTTGATAATTGCACTTTCAGTTTCACTGAGAGAAAAAAATAGATTTCTATAGTATACTCCTGCCTCCCCCTTTTCCCCCAAAACAAAGTATTGCAATCAATATGAGATTATTTGCATACTTTAGGACTTAAATTAAAAGAGTTTTCCGTCATCCATTCTTTAAATTTGTTTAAAGAATGCTCATTTGCTTTGAATGTGGATAATTTGATTGGATTTTCTTCGACAGAATTTGCCGGTCGTTTTATAGAAGCTGACATTTTGAAGTTCCGCACATAATCTATCGATTGAAAAATAATAACGATAATATTATTATCAAATGTGTGTTTATCTTTAAAAGAATTTATTTTAGTCTCATGTATGAAAGTCATTTTTTTAATTAACATTCATGTTTTATTTATTTCATTTTTATATTCACTGCGAAACTTGATAGTTTACATTGGAGGCAAGGTGATTGTTCAAGAGCTGTGGATCATTATGCTGCAGACGACGTCAGAGTAAAGACGTGTACACTAGCTATCTCTGGTCTGCACGTGTAAATATCACAATGGCATTCATGTTTAGTCAAAGATCAGAGAGCAATCTCTCTGTCGCAACAAATGTGTCACAAAATTCCAAAACAGGTCCATACTTGGAGGGAAATTTAAAACTCATTGACACTTTGTAAGTATAGTTTTAGGATCCTTATATAGATTTAATTATGTAGATTAATTAAAAAAGTGTTCTTACATCTGTAATGTTATGTCCAAGGTACCAATGCTGGCTTTAACTTGACAGGAGAGTGAGCACCTATTGACAGTGTTGGAGAGCTGTTTTGAAGCTCTCGATGGTGTTGGAGAGCTGTTTTGAAGCTCCCGATGGTGTTGGAGAACTGTTTTGAAGCTCTCGACTGACTTGGCGCACACTGTATCTTCTTCCAGCTTGTTCCAATGAATCCGGGTCCGTTTGCCCTAATTAATGTTCGCCCAAGTACTTGTTCGCCCTGGGTCCGTTCGCTCTGATTGTTAATTTATTTTGTAGTCTTGTTGTATAATGTTTATTATTTGAAGAGTATGTAAAATTTTGTTCAAAATTTCGCTTGATATTTATGTTGTATTGCTGCTACCAACAAAATATTTTCCTTTAATCTGCAATGTAAAGTTACAGAAATATAAAACAACTGATGACCATGTTATCTGCATGTATTTATCTTTATTAATACATTTTAACAATTTCAAAACAATCATTAACAGTTATAACAAGATCCAATTCGAACTTCGCATCACACACCAGTTATCATAGTGTCCTTACTGACTATTATTTTAAAGAGCACATATATAGGAAATATGTCAAAACAAACTTGAGATCAAAGAAGCCAAAGCTGCGGGCGAAAAAAAAACCTTTCATGTCTTACAATTTGTACATCTTTCAAGGGTGTTTAAATATTTGTTTTGAGCACTTGTCCCTGGGCAAGTAAAACTTTAAACTTTACTTGTCCGGAAAAAAAGTTACTTGCCCTGAAAGTCCCAATAAATATTGAGGTATTTTACTGTTAGCTTGGATGATTCTTAGCACTGTTTTGCATCACAATATAAATGAAAGTCATTTTGTTAGTGTACAAATAAAAGGAGGTAATGGGTTTACATCAATTGGACATAAACCCAACAGCAAACCAACCAAACGAAATGACATCTAGAGGACAATTTTGAAGCAGTATTCATTTAAAAATTCTAGCATGTCTAGCTAAATTTTGAGGACACAGTGAGTGAAAAAGTGAAAACTAAATAATAGATTAACTATTGAATTTTATTTTGTTTCTCTCAACTGACATGCTTGGTGTTTTGCTGATAGTTGGTGGGCAATTAAAGTGTCCCTTCTATCTAACACTTTGCCAACAAATAAGGTTGACTTTTATTAGCAAGGGTTGGATGTTGTCTACAAATTATAAAAAAAAATCAATTTATTTTCCATATTTTCTTCCTTAGACAGTCAGGGGTACTACTTAAACAAGTGATTTCAGAATCACTTCCTCGAGTGATTTTGGCTGTGAAATATTAAAAATTTTCACATAGACTTTTTAAAATCACTGAAACAAGTAATTTTAGAAGTTAAAATGTAACCACTTTAATAAGTGTTTATAACATTTTTTTGATATTTTTCCCACAAGCTTGATTTTTTTATTGGTAAAAAGACAACAATTCCATTGAAAAAACAACTATGTACATGCAGAAATTGTCTTTTGCTTGATTTGCCTGACACTTTTACAGTTTTTTTAAAATATGCAAAAACTGGAATAGTTTGTAGATCAGGTCATAACCTTGAAGTAGATCATTCTAACTCTAAAGAAAACCAATCAGGTTACCTAATATTGTTGATCTTTGTCTGATAGTAAGAGTAGTTAATGAATTTTTGATTACATAAAAATTCCCAAGGGTACTTTTAAAAGCTTTAGCGCACTAACTTACTGCCCAACCGCACTGGTGAAATGAATATACAAAGAAAAAGGGATAATTGATTTATGTAGGAAAATTATAGAAAAGATTGTGAAAATACGGAAAATCAATGAAATTAGCATTTGAAGATCAAAGAAAACACTAAAATCACTTAAATAGGTGATAACTGAATTTATCAAATCACTGAAATAAGTGATGATGAAATCACTTGTTTAAGTAGCACCCCTGACTGTTAGAGCAAAGGGAATCTGATATCCACGATGTCTGAGGTCCTTCTCAGCCTGCGTTTTTATTTTACTTCTCAACCTGCACTATTTTGCCTTGATAGCCCGGTGTTTTAAAAAAGTATTTATCCATCTAAATCTCGATACAAAGTATAAATGACACTTCCATCAAATCATGGATAAAACCTAATCGACGATCCCGAGTCAATGGACAAAGACAACGCAATGATTATAGGACCCAGGGTTGGCATACCTATTTTTTTTTATAATCGATCTATTTCCGGTGTTATTTAATATTTTTATCGTCCTGAACTTTCATGTTTGACTTAAATATATGATTTTACTCACTAATCATTAGGTTATTTTACATTAAATAAAACATCTTTATATTTGAAATAAAGAAATATCGAAACATACATTAAAGTGTGTTGTATTTTATACATGTATTTTCATTATGCCATCAATATCTGTCTAAACAGAATAAAATGTTAAAATATTTACATAATTAATTATAGTTAAAAATCAGAGGTACCTAATTATATAAAGTCACAACCATTGCTATATCATGTATATGCTTGGTATATTTTAAGGTTGTATTTTAGCTAAGTTTCTAAAACTTATTATGTATTTGTATATATTGGCTTTACCTGAATAAATATTATAATTATTTTCTTTCTAGGGATTGTACAAATGATGTAATGTGTTGTAAATTCAATGCTGATGGTTCTGTGTTAGCTGTAGGACAAATAGATGGTGTAATTAAGGTATTTTTTATATGTACTGAGTAGTAAATACATGTAAACTGTATATTTTTTTGTTTGGGCTTGTATTATATTTGCCTTCGGGTTTATATGATCCGTTCATCCTATTTTGACTCTTTCAAAATTCAAGAGTCTATCCTTAATTGAGGTAAATTATATGGCCTTCCAAATACCGTTTCGATTCTTTAATATCACTGAAGAGACATTACCGTAATTTGTCGAAATCCAGATATGGTGTACAAAAAATTTTTGCACCTCATGTTTGCGGTATACCATCTTTTCCGCAAGTTTATTGTTTTCTGTTTGGTAATAAATTAATAATAAGATCTATTTTGTTACATCTTGTGATCCGTTTATTTGGCAATCGCCAATGGCAGTCAGCAGGATTTAAGAACATCAGTTGTTCGACCTGCTAGTCAAATGCGTTTTGTTAAAATATACTTTTTCACTCATTTGGTCTTTTGGAAAATGTTGTTTGTGCTGTATTTAGACCCCTCTACCAAGAAATTTGTTTTGCATGCACACGTATAAAAATTGCGGTTTTTATCCAACGCAATCATAGGTTTGAACGTTGTTTTCAATTTAGACTTGTTGTATAAAGGTATGTATTATATACTTAGTAGTAAATACATGTAAACTGTATGTGTACATGTAATACGACCAATGCCAATTGTGCTGTATCATCCATCCATGATGATATCGATATCATTCATGGTTGCAAAGCCTTTATCACACCCCTAATCTATAATACGTCACGTTATCAATATAAGTGGTGGTTGCAAAGGCTTTATCAAACCACTATTCTATATATTACGTCATGTCACATGAAAAAACATTTACTTGAGTTATACAATAAAGTGTATATGATATGGCTTTTTCAATATCACACACCGTATCAACCCTCAACCAATATAATCCCTTGAGCAGAGCTCTTTGGATGATATCGATGTCTTTGGTTGGTATGGATGTGATATTGAAAAAGCCATATAATAATTTCTCTATGTATATGATGATATTATATCATTACAGATTTGAAAGCTGGCTTTTATTTTTCCACTCTTCAATTGTGAGCTAATGTATGAAGTTTTGAGGGAATGATTTTCAAAACTTTTGGAATTCTCTTTTGTCTTTTAACTGTTTTTGCCAAAATAAAATTATGATAGTTATACACTGATCTGAATGAGGTAAGGATAGTGTTTTACCTGTGTCTGTGCGTCTGCCGCATGAAAATTAGTTCAGTTGCATTTTTCTCAGGAACAGTGCAATGCATTTTTATCAAGAACTACAAATCAATGCTTTTTTCGGAAATTTTTTATCAGTCTTCATATGAACATGCTATACCATGTGATGTGGTTTCCGATTCATGGATTATCAACTTTCTGTTTACCGTATACTTAAATATTCTAACACTTAATTGCCATGTTTTGCCATGTGTATGAAATTTTCATCGCATGTTTCTAGGGAAATACAAATAAGAGCTTCCCGAAATTTGTTATCAGGCTTCATGTCAGCATGCTATACCCTGTAATTTGTTTTCAGATTCATTTCTCATCAACTTCCTATTTACTGATTACTTATATATATGTATACATTGTATTCTAGTACATAATGGCCATGTAGGAAATTTTCTTCACATTTTCTAAGGATCTACAAATAAGAACTTCCTGAAATTTGTTATTAGGCTTTATGTGAACATGCTTTATCGTGTGATGCCCTTACAGGTGGTCTCATTGGGAGGGGGGATCTAATCCTGGATCCCGTTTATTGTTTTTTCAGAGTCCCCCGTATCCCACTTATTATTGTAATAATAGCGCTTGTAATTTAACGCGTCCTGCCCGACTTCGTTTCCAGTTTTCACGCAAAATAATTTGACTTTCACGTGTCCGGCTTACAAAAAATCTGCCAATCCCGGATCACGCTTACATCCCACTGAGACCCACCTGTTACATATACCCACTGCTATAGTCAGAAAGAATTAGATATTGTTATCATTACAACTCTGACAAAACAATAAGTTATAATATCAATCCATTTAAGGAATTATGAAGACAGTAAGAGTTGACATACAAAAAAAATGCTACATTATATGGTTGTCTTTATTTAACAGAACCTTAAATCAATGTTTATATTGACTTAACATGTTGCTATTAAAACACTTTATTCAACACATTGTTTATAGTATTATGATATAAGACCTGCATGCCATAAGGCATATGTGTAAAAAAAAAGATCAACATTTAAATAAAAGAATTTATATAAATATACATGGAGGTATGACAGATTTAAAAGACCTTGGATGAATTTCAAAATTGATTACATTTACAGGTGTGAAGAGTCTTTTGTATTTTTTGTATAAAAGATTTTGAAACAAAAACATTGTTTTAGACTAATTGATACCAAATAATATTTAGTATTCCAAGTCCACTTAAACTTGAGGTTTTGTCAGCGTTTAATCCATGTTATCCAACGAATGCTGTTCAATGATCTGCTGGGGGATTTCAAATGAATTAAACTATAATCCCTACAAGACTATCTGAAATGAGTGACAGAAATTCTATTATGGGTATAGATACAGAAAAGATACCCCATTGATTTTTCCTGAAGATTTTGACACATCTTCAGTTTTGATGTACACTTTTGAAATATTGTATGCAAAGAAAAATATACCCCCATGACTTACATTATGAGATATTTCAGCTTGAAATACATGTATAAATGTTTAATGTAAAACCACAAAATTTCATGTTTCAATACTTTTCCTAAAAATGATGCAACTTTCAAACGGAAATAGAAATATTGTCACTTGTTTTTTGCAAAATGTTCCATAATATTTAGGTTTTTCAGTTAGTTCATTAAATGAAAGATGAATGTGATTGCATGTTTGTGAAATCATTCAATTATTGGTTATAAAAACCGGTAGAAAATGTGCTTGCTAATATAAATGCAGACAGAAAAGTTGATTTTGTCTTGCAATTTCGATATAACGTTCCTGGAGCAGTACATTGTCTATTGCAAAAGAAAAACAAGGGGTCCAGGTGCTAATTTTTTAGCAAGAAAGAGTAAACCTAATTTTTTTAATACTGGCAATCACATTTTCCTTTTTTGGTGCTGAATTACATGTACATCACAGTGTTTTCTTTATGCAACAATGTTGAGCAGTAATTCCTGCCCTATATCAAAATGTTGTACAAAATTAATTACTGTCATACATATGAATTTATTGATGATTGAAAAGTAAAGTCTTCATTTGCTTCGAAGTGTATACCCTGCAGTAGATTTCTAGTGCTGAAATATATACATTATCTTTGTTTTCATTTGGAAATTACTTTCGAATCCATATGTACTGTAAGTTCAGAAAATATGTGAGGTTTATATTAATGTGCCTGAATGAGTATCGCAATAATAAGAACTCACATTCTAATGTCTGATACATATACTTGTATGCAGATTTTCCTGAAATCGCTATAATTATTCTTGCATTTTTAGTCAGGGTTGGTAAAAACCCGGGTTTTATGAGTATTGCCCAGCCCATGGCAAATACTGGGAAAACCCCTGGTTTTACTGGGTAATACTGGGCAATACCGGGTAATTTGAAATACTGTTTGAATCTGTAAGAGTAGCTTTATTTAGTCATTGCTTAATTTCAAATGTAATATATATATAAGATATATGTAAAACATAATATTTGAATTTTTTAGTTCATTTGTTTTAGAGTGTATACAAATTTTAGAAAGTATTTATCCAGCAACTCTTAAGACATACAAATGCAAAAATTTGCACAACCTAATTGTAATCTTTCTATATAAAAGAATTATCAGAGACAAGGAAGAGTTGAATTATTCATCCTCTGAAATATTGACTCTCTAACATGTCTAAGTTTAAATGTATAAGATGTAAATATTTAGCAATAATTACATTACATGTATGTTTCATTATAATACGTTATTTTGATTGGCAAACAGCAATCTCGTGTCATTGTGAAATTAACCTTCATTTCAAACTTTCAAAATGAAAGGTAACATTCATGATGACACGAGCTTCCACATTAAAGTGCACAGGTAAATAAAAGAAAAACTTGATATGAATCGTGTTTTCATGATTCTAGCAAAAAAATGTAATTATAAGTATTGAATACTTTTTTTAGTAATTTTATAGGGTTGTAAAAGCATTGACCGTGCACACATTTTTAGAATGAAGCGCTTCCCCGCTTCATACAAAATGTACTTCGGTCAACGCTTTTACACCCCAATAAATTTACAAAAAGAAGCATTCAATTCTTAAATAGTACTATGAAACTACAGTATTTCTATACTATTCTGCTTAAAAATAAGCTTAAAAAATCATATTGCCCAGTAATGCCCAGTATTACCCATTTCAAGGAGTATTGCCAAGCCCGGGCACCCAGGTAATACTTTGCCAACCCTGATTTTAGGCCATTTGTCAAAATTCACAATAATGCACGCAATAATTTCTGAATTTACAGAACCTGATTTGATGACTAGTGATTTTTCTGCAAATTTCATATGCTTTATATCATTAGTAACGTTGCAAAAATGGATGCATTATTATCTGCCCTTGCTTCTGTATCGTATGACCTTAATGCATGTATAGGATGTTATGTAAGGTTTTTCCATATTTGCAGTTCCATTTCTTGAGGTCACCTAAATTTATGCTTTTCCCTTTTCATCTTTTATCATTCATGGACGATTCTACCTTAGAAGTTAGGGATGCTAATGAATGCCCTGCTCCTCACTCATTAAGAAACAATATTTTATTGTAACATGCATTACATGCACAGTTCTATGGCAATCAGTTTTAAGCAAATACTATAGGGTTATATTTTACAAACCAAAAACAAATGTCTGAAGAACAAATTGTATTTAGTAAAGGTTTTCATGAAGGTCTGACGCTCAAACTCAATTTTTACTTTAAGGTCAGATGGACAAACTTTATTGTTCTTAGATTTTTTAGATACCTTATACACTAAGGTATTCACAATACCTACAATATTCTGTTAAAACTATAAATGTTCAATATTAAATGCCTTGTTTAGAAGTTTAACCTTGGTCAAAATAACAAGGTTATTTACAGTTATTAAATCGCAATTACCTTTTTATAGATGGAAAATAGAAAACATCATATAATTTGAATGTTAGCTGTCAGATGTTGTTAATACAAAATTCTGTAATAAATTGATAAAATATAGTGTATACTCCAGACATTTAATTGCTCAGTGGGTTGTGATCTTGTCTACATATTATTAAAAAAAATAATGTCATTTTAAAGAGGCTTCATGATTTTTCAGAGATCAACATTTTTTTATTTATTAATTATGTACTAAGTATTGAAAATTGACATGTTGAGGATCAATGATATAATATTGATGAAGGGTTATAATTAACTATTTATGTTGGATATTTTTAGTTAAACTAGGCACTAATAAGTTTTAGAACGACTTGAATCCATGTTAATTGTTTGTGTGTTAAGTCTGGGGTAATGTTATTCAGAAGCAATTTTCAGGATTTTGAAAGTATCCACCCTTGAAATTAAGTTTGTTTACCATTTTAAAGGTCTTCACAGTTGGTAAACTGCTCAGTTTAATGTAATGACATGGTGGCTTTGATAACTTTAAGGGTAGTGCACAGAATTTTCATTAGAATGAAAAAGTATTTTTAGTTTTTCCATTATCTTATCATTTGATATTGATAAAAGGTTTGATGAAGCTGACCTGAAATAAATTGTCACGCTTCAGTAAATAGTTATATTATTTGTATGAGTCCTGACATATTGTATAGACACCTGTCTGTTGTCGAAAAGCAGATGTTTACCTCAAGATGTCTTGGTATTTTGTGTTTTTGGGTTGCTAATGAAGTCTAATGAATTCATCTCCTGTTAAGACAGCCTCGGTTTCCTGGTATTAATCAGATGGCCTTTGGTGGAGAAGGTCGTGGGTTCAATTCTCAACCTGTCAAACCAATGATTTGAAAATTGGTATTTGTGGCTTCTCTGCTTTGTACATAGCATTTAGGAGTAAGAGTACTGTACTGGTCACTTGGAGCCAAAATAGTGTGTCCAGAGTGAGTAGACATGACATGGTCTTCCTGCAAACTTACAAGGTCAAATAGCTGAATATTTGAAAGGCAAGGATGCAAAAGAACGAGAAAAATTGGAGAGCAATATAGATCAAAATGGACATAAAAAATAGCCAAATCAATTTAGATTAGTTTGTTAACAGAAATCTTTTTACACCTAGTGCAAATTAAATGAAACACATATTTATTGAATATTCACATTAGAAAAATAATCATAATCAAAAACTTTTAATATATAAACCATGAAAGCTTCAAAATTGAATTTATCATTTTTGATGACACTGCATGCAGTTGTTTTTTTGGTATTCATGTACTGAGTAAAATCTAATGATAAACATTTGCCCATTACTTTAGAATAATACTGTGCCTTATAACAGCTTAAATTGTTCTGTGTACTTAAGATTATAAGTGCATTTAATCATATGTCAGCTAGTCTGATCTTATAGTTTAAAATCAATTTACTTTAGAATTTACAACTAAACTAGTAAATATTTAGAGTGGCAATGTTCAAACACAATTGTTGATTAATTCTGGTACTTTTTGTAGTTAATACTATAATTTTATTTAAAACAATTATTATGTTAATTCTTAATGATAAAATTACCCTTAAAAACAAATATTTGAATTTCTGATCTATATGACCTCCTTTTAATATTGAATGAGTACTTAAATATTGTCAGATTTATGTGAACTCACAGTGTCTGAAAGAAAGTTGATTGTTTGTGTTGTTAGGTTTCTGTCACTTTAATTCATTGATTTACACCCCATATTTAAAGATTGACTTTTATAGTGAATGATTTGTTTGAATTTATCCTGTAAAATAATTTTGTACAGGAGGGTCTGGAGTTTATAGAATAGAGAATAATGGGCTAATATAATGCTACAGAAAAATAAGTTACATTGTACAGGGATGCCCCACTCGCACTGTGAATTTCTATGTTCAGTGGACCATGAAATTGGGGCCAAAACTCTAATTAGGCATTAAAATTAGAAAGATCATATCATATCATTGGGAACATGTGTACTAAGTTTCAAGTTGATTGGACTTCAACTTCATCAAAAACTACCTTGACCAAAAATTTTAACCTGAAGCGGGACAGACGAACGAAGGAACGAACAAATGAACGCACAGACCGAAAAACATGATGCCCCTCTACTATAGTAGGTGGGGCATAAAAAAAGATAAAGAATAGGAAAACTAAAGAATGGAGAATAATGGGGTACTTAGATATACAGAATAGAGAATAATGGACAAAAAATATAAAGAATAGAGAAAAATGGCCTAAAATTTTATAAAATACAAAAATGTAGAGCAGCAGGGGGACAATAAGCCAAGCAGAGGAATAGAACTATTTAATATTTCTATGATAGGTTTGATCGTTTACTATTCTTATTCTATAAAATAAAACCACAAGAAATTTCTCTATCATATTGATTTGAATCTAGTCAAAATTTAAAAAAATGTTTAGAAGAATGATTTAGGAAACTACTTGGTATTTGAGAAAAAATATGGTTTTGGTTTGATTAGAATGTTGTAAAGTATATAAAAACCTGAATTATTCAGTCTTTATACAAGTATTTCATTGCTCTATGATGACCAGATTAATGCCTGAATGCCTACTTAATGAAAATTGTCAATCAATCATTCTTTTTCCTAAAAGGCACCAATCAAAAGATTTGTGAGATGTTTTAATTGTATTAAGACTTCAAAACCCTTGCATTAAGTAGAAGAGATAGATTAGGGGGAGGGCCTGAATTATTTGGGTTAAGCATATGATAGCTGTAGCTACCATAGTATAATTGAATGATTTTTTTACTTTATTTGCTTTGGTGAGCTTTTCCAATGATTGTTTATTCATTTGACTCACTATTTTTTCAATCTATTGACAATTTGTGAATGCATGAATTCCAAAGTGACTACCAAAAATCTGCTATGATGCAATGCAAAATTCCATAATGGAAATAAAAGTCCTGACAATAATAATGGTTCTCTACCTTAATAGACCACTTTCGAGATTGTTGCATTTCCATCAAAAACTTTGGTTTTAGTGAACATCATTCTTGTGCTTAGAGGGCATCGTCACTTCCTTCCCATGTTGAGCGAGCGGTTGAAAAAACATGATGCTATATTGCATGAATTATTCGGCAAATTAAGGTGGCTGGGATGTCTTCCTCCATCTTGTATTTTGAAGTAGCAGATAACAATTGGTCTAGATCTTTAATGAAATGTGCAAATTTTGAGAGTTGTATGTAATTCATGTGTAAGACTTTTCATGTTGATATAGAAAAGTATGTGTTTTATCATATTTACGGCTGTAACTTTGCCACATAAGGGGAGATAACTCAGATAGTAGGGAGATAACTCAGATAAAGTAATTTTTATAATAGAAAGTGTTGTGGATTTACCTATTTTGATATGTAGCAAGAAAACAAGTCCAGTGACCTCATTTTTTCTTTTTCTTTACCATTCGAAAGCATGTAATAAGAGCTATCTTCTCACATTTTATCTTAAAATTCTGTGGTTTAGTTTTCTTTTTATCACACAAAATAGGATTTTCCATGCATAATCTATACAAAATCTGACAATTTTGCATAACCTGTAGCGTGAAAAAAAGTTCGGTGACCCATACTTTTTATTATATTTTGGAAAAAAACATGATAAAAACTACATTTTGACAAATTATCAAAAAATTCTATGGATTTTAATTAAGACCCCCCCCCCCCCCCCATCCACCTTAAATTCTTATAATTGATAATCAGCACTGCTGTCATTAGGGAATTGTGATTAAGTACCTACGGAACAAACATTATTTCTAATTTATCCTGCATAATGACGATCACCAAGACGCTTGATGAACCTTAATAATAGTGCAGGGATACAGGCGGTCACCTCTATCTGGTAAATGATGTCATAAAGGCACGCATAACTAACAAACATTTCCGGTGAAGGACATAACTCGAAAGTGGTCTATTGGTCGTTCATCAAATAATGTTATTTTATAATTTCAGATATTTAATGCTCATAATAGCCAGTTATTGTACAGTTTACAAGATGATGACACATTAAAACATCACCTTCCAGTCACACAAATCAGATTTCGCATATTTTCTAGTTTAGAAAAAGAAGAATATTCCCATATCTTAGTAGCTTCTTGTAAGTATATCTTAATTAATCATGTAAATGGTGCATGTGTCTCAAAAGATACTCATTTAGAGGCGGTTATATGCATAGACAAACAGAAAATAAAATGGCCATTTCAGCATTTCACATTGAACTAAAAAATAATAAAGTAGCTTACATGTTGCTTTTTCACCAATTTGCACAAACACTGGAAATTATGAGCTCTAAGCACGAAAAACATGTGAAATAATTAAGACCTGCTGAAATATATCTTGTTTGATGCTGAAAACTTAGGGGTAACATTATTAGTATGAAAATCAAGATTATAGAATTAATTGTTGGTCTTCAGCTAAGAACCAGTAATTAATAAAAATATTATGGACAAAAATGCATAAAAATTCCAGTAGAAAATAGTAAAAGGAGTTGAAAATATGACAAGTTTAGGTTTAATTTTGTTTAGGACCATTTGGTAAAACTTTTTAAATACTGCTTTAATTGTTTTATCAATGTACCATTATTTAACAGCACATAAAATAAAATAGATAGCTGGTGCTTGATATTGTCAGCAATGTTGTTATAGATCACTTTTATAATTGACACAGAAACATCCAAAATGATTTTTTTTTTGGGGGGGGGGGGGGGGGGGGAGGGGCATGGGTTGAATTATTTACATGATGTTTTTTTATGTTATAAAGTTACACCTCAGTTAAAAGCTTCAGTGATTTGGGGAACCAAAATAAAAATCTGTGTAAAGTAATTTTTTGGTAATTATACTTGTTTTTCTGATAGCATCCAGGGATCACCATTTGCTATTTATAATTTTTTCAGCGGTTAAAATAACTTTTTATATTACGGTCACATCTTGAAAATTTTTCTGTGGTGATCCCTGGCATCAATGTTTCAGCAATTTAAGCTATTGAATTGACTTTGTTTGCTCCATCTGCATATTTTGTCTCATTTTATAAACTCATTGTAAAAGCATGTGTCAAAAATATTTTTAAATGTATGGTTTAAAGATGTTTTGAGGAATCACAGTGTAGACTTTTATGACCTGATTCAATCTCATTGATATATCTTTAAATTAATTTGATTTAAACTGGAGATAATTAGGAGGTCAATTTTACGATTCATCAAGCTCAGTATCAAAATATAAATACAACAACAGTTTGACGCAGTTTTAGTACTGTTGTTAAGTAATGGATGAATTTAGAAAGTTATGAAATGGAAAAGATGGGTCAAGGGCAAAAAGCTTTTGTCAGATGCAGATTGTCAGAATAGAAAAAAACAAATTTTATTCTGGAAAATTTTGAAGTACAAGAACTGAGAGCATTCGGTCAATTCATATTATACACTTATCATACAGTGGTTGTTTGTGTTTACAGCCACTTTCAGCACTCTTGGCTATATCACGGTGGGTAGTTTTAATTAGTGGAGGAAGCTGCATGCAGTACCTGGAGAGAACCAATGACTAGTGATCAGTGTGGATGAACTTAACTTAAACCACTCTGCTACTGTGGCCTTTTTATCAAACAAATACATTTTGTTGGCCTTAGGTTAAACATTATGAAACTGGATGATTGTTTGTGATTTGGCATTAAAGTAGGATATTGATTTATTGATTTATTGGTGTTTAAAGCCACTTTCATCACTTTTAGCTATAATGTGGAGGCCAGTTTTTATTGGTGGAGGAAGTCAGTGTTCCCCTAGAGAACCACTGACCTTCATCAGGAAAACTGATAATCCTAGTCAGTTAAGATTGGAGTCAAATGCACCTGCCACATAAGGGTTTGAACTCACAACGTCAGTTGACAGGCTAGTGATACAGTAGATGAACTACTTAGACACTGAGCCACCGAGGCCCCTTACAGTATGATCTGTGATCTTTTGTGTTACATTGTATTGAATCCATATAATAAAACAGCCCTAAATCACCAATATTTAAAGTGAAAAATCTACAATAATCACTAATCTTCAGTTGAATCAGCTTGAATCTATTTTTAAAATACTGTCATCATGGAAGAAACATCACTCATCTGTATTTTCTACTTTTTGGCAAATTAAAAATGCTAATACAAGTACAAACTGACTCAAATAGAAAGTAATTTCTGATTACTATTTCAGTTAAATTCCAATAACCGAGTACATTTGATTAGAAAAAAAGTCATTATAGTGAGAGAAAAAAACGTGTCTGCCCACTTGATAATAAAACCATTGGCGACAACATTGTCTTGGATTTTGTCCAAATTGTACAAATATATTTCTTACTCGTGATTTGTCCAAATAAACCTATAGAATGTGACCTGATAATCAAGGAGGCAATTTGTACTTCCATACTTTCAATCTTTGTTTACTTCGACTTAACATCCAAATACAAAAACTTATCAGAAGTTTAATGCAGTTTTCAAAGGCAATAGAAAACTAAAAATACTGAACTAATTATCTACCCTTATCATTGAAGTGTCATTAAAGTTGTATATATTGATTTGACATCTATTGAATTATTTTCCTACATAAACAACACACAGATAAATGCTCTTTATTGATTCCAATTCTAAAAGCTGGCTAATCTTGATTGACTTTGATCATTCAAAGTTTTATCACAAATAAACAATCCATTTGTAGCTTTTGTAGACCTGTCTTGTAACAGGAAATTATACAGTTTAATTAAATGGTTGTGATCCCTTATCTAGATCAATTTGTCATGAACAAATTAAGTCATTAATTATTGATAAATGTTGTTTCAACTTTAATAGTTAAGTCCATGCCTTGCGGTCGTTAAACTTTTGAGCATGATTATTGTACTCAGACTCCGTAATCAACCAATCAAAGTACTGAAATTGGTTATTCGAGCACAAATTTTGTACTCCGAGTACTGATTAAAGTTTTATACCGTCAGCCCAGGTCTAGCTGCCCTGCAGAAAATTTTCTCAAGTTTCATATTCCTTCATTTTTTGTCCATCAACAGTTTACATTACATGCAATATCACAGACAGTTGTCTACCAGGACCCAATTGTTACATAAAAAAGATAAAAGGAACCACCAAAAATATTGGACAGTACAACAGAACAAAGCTACCAAAAACATCTAGTGACTATATATATAGCTACTAAAACACTTTTGCAGTAGATAAATTGCAGTGCATTGTATTTGCTTTATATCCACTGAATAAAATTTTTAACCAGCCGATATCTGGGCCCAACATTTTTGCTTATAATGATATTCCAAAAGACTTCTACAGATTAAAATTTTTGTAATCCACAGTGAAAATGTATAAGATCCTTTAATGATAAATTAAGGTGTTTTCTATCATTAATGTTTATTGTTACCAAAAAGAAGGATTTTTTTTTTTAATAGTTTTTTAAAATTTTGTTTATATTGCTTAATCATTGATGTGAATTAATATATTTAACAATTCCCACCAATTAAACCCACATCAAAGTCTATGTCACATGTAAATTTTATCAGTATGAATGCCGTAATTTATTTTGTGAATGATCTTATATTGCAAAATTCAAAACAGTTAAAAAAATTGAACATTTTTGTGTGTAAATATTACAAATATCAATATCATAAATTCTTTAAGGTCATACCAACATTAAAGTTCTAAATTAACAGATGTTTGTCAAAGTACTTTTGAAGACACATTTTGATCTTTTTATTAATGTTTGGAAGCAATTTGAATACATAGATCAAAATATATATAATTTTTAAAGAGGACTCTTATAATTATGAAAGAAAATATGAAAATAAATGTTTGAATAAGATATTTTCATTTTGTTAAGATACATTATTGTCATTTCTTAAAATATTGATGATTTAGATATGATGTTTACATATAGATTATTATAGCAAATGATTGATGGTATTTGTCTTAAGCCTTTTTCAAAAGCAAGCATGCATATACTGGTGAGCAAGGCTTCCAAAACGGTCATATATGCCGGACATTTGTATAATGTCCGGTAAAAGTCCGGCTGGGCAAAGCATGAAACGGTCATCTACTTTTTAGTTTTCAAGGCTTTAAGAGACGGTCATTTTAACATAATTCACGATCTTTTTGACCCAACGTTTTGCCTTTAACAGCCACACATTTCCGGTCATAGAAGTGACATGATCATTTAGTACTATCAAAACAACCCCTACTTTAATACCTTCTCATTTTAATCAAGGCTAATTAGTTGTCAAACAGCTAAAATTTACCTGTTCAGGTGACAGGTAAACTATTTTGAACCGGACATTGATCGGTCTATTCAAAGTTATTTTCTTACATTTCAGCGGTTTGCATCTAATTAATTTAATAAAAAAAAGTTTAAATTATCAGAAATACGTTTACAAATATGATTTGATGAAAAAATTAAAAAGGTGAAAATGAAAAATCGTCATAACCACGTTGTTTGAACCTAGAGACATGTCTCTGTTTGAACTAGTACAGGTTTCTGCAAATGAGCTGCGTCGGATAGAAATCGACCTTATGCAAGTGCATTTATACAGTTCCATGTGTAAGACTTAGATTGATTTTGGAACATTCAAATATGAAATAAAAGATAACTTTTGGTCTGTTTTGTAGGGTTCTTCTAACAACTCAATTTTCAAACAGTTACAGACTTTCTGTAGAGATTTTTCAACCCGAAATAGGTTAACAGATGTATTGATATTCATTTGCATAAGGTTGATTTCTATCCGATGCAGCTCAAATGATGCTTGTTTGGTTCTGTTTGGAAGAAAAATATGGCTACCAATATTATTATATTTGATTTTGACTGGCAAATCTTTAAACTCTCCATTTTTGAAACTGCAAGTTTAAATGCTACGATAAGTTAGGGGATTAATGATTTGAAGACCCTTTATTAACAGTCCTCATTTAAATGTTTATTAGATGGCAAACAGGGCAGAATTGGCTGCACATAGTTCCAATTAAAAAGAATCATCTTCTCTGAATCTACTGGCAAATTCTAAGTAATTCTGGAGGACTTGAGATCACCTCCGGTTTTTGTGGGGTTCGTGTTGCTCAGTCTTTACTTTTCTATGTTGTGTTTTGTAGACTGGTGTACGTCTTTTGGTAGTTTAATTCCATTTTTTTGCCATGGTATTGTCAGTTTGTTTCTTGGTATCTTCTGCCTCTCTTTAAAGATGTAATTGTGTCTGGTGAGTGATTCACTGTCCGAAGAGCCTCTAGCTTTAATTTATTAACACAAAGTCATAGAATTTTTTTTTTGTGAACCTCTTACAGGAGGTGTGATTTCTTTTGACAGATGCATCAGGCCATGTGAAGATTTGGCATTACACATCAGGGAAATGTTTACACACAATAAATGAAGTAAGAACTACATTAAATGTGGCATTAAATCCAGAGGGAACAAAGTTCATAACCACTGGAGATACAACAGAAATTAATATATATGATGAAGAAACAAAGAAAAAACTGAATACTTTAGAACCTAGGTAAATACATGTCTTAGCTTATTCCTAAAACTGTATTTCATAGATACAAAACAATGGAATATAATATAATACATTTCAACTTCGATTCCCAAGATAATAAAAAAAAAATAGTAGTCGAAAGTTTCTATAAGAATGATTAAGTTTTACCCCTGTCCATCTGTCCCAAAATTAGTTTCTGTTCCCAATTTTAGTTTGCCTCAACCAAATGTTATGAAAATTATACACAATGTTACTACACCAAACACAGATCAAGTTTGAATTAGAGTTATGTCCCTTTGTAAATAAAAAAAATTGCAGAATTTGTCGCATATTCACAAGCGGGGCTCTGTGTCCAATGGACACATTCTTCATTTATTTTTTTGGACTTCAACTGATCATGGTATGTAATAGATTATAAAAGATAGCAGGTTGTCATTCAATGGTATGCCAGATGCATGTTTCCTCTACATTACACTCATTTCATCAGTGGTGCTCAAATCCAAATAGTTAGAAGGTCAAATCAACTAAGAAGTTGAAGAGCATTTAAAAAACCAAAAATTCAGAAAAGTTGTGCTTAATACTGTTAAAGCAAGCTATGTCTTCGGGTTAAAAAACTATCAATGTCAAATATTACAGCTGTCAATGACATAAATTTTTGTAAGTAAAAGTGATGAGTTAAGGATGTTCGCTCCTCTGTTTCAGAATTACTTGTTTTTTAAAAGACTGTTATAAATTGATAGAATATAAATAAGGGAACTTAAAAAGTAGGGAAAAAAAATGATAGGTCTGTGTTTCTGTTTTTGAGATATAGTCAATTTAAAATTTGGCGAGAAATGATTCTCTTTAAATTTGTCATACCTTTAACATTGGCACCTTTTTCCTTTTAAAAACTCTGAAAAAATAACAAGGATTTTATAAGGTTTTCAAAAATGGCTTTTTAAATTATATGCAATAAAATTATGGAAAACAAAGTAGGGGTTAGCGGGCAAAATTTCTATTGGCACTACATCGATAAAACAAGAGGATTCAGAATATCTGACAAAAAATCAAAAATAAGAGAAATGATCATCCATAAACAGGATTTGACAGTACCAGAATTTCCACTGAGGTGACAGCCTTTCAAGGTCCTATACACGTTTGAATAAATGTATATGAAAAGCTTCTGTAAAATATAACAGAAGTACTTCAAAGGCTTAGAATATTTAAAAGATATTAAAGAAGCAAAGAAATAAATGATACACTTTACTTCAGATCTAATATGATTTATTAATTTTATCTAACATTGTCTAAGTAGAATAGTTACAATGTCCAGATTTGTTTTTGTTCCTCACATACAAATTGAATATTTGTAAAGCTGTATTTATTTTCTTTTTCAGTGATAATCGAAATAAAATGGATGGTCATCATTTTAGAGTATTTGCAGCTATATATCATCCAGAAATACCTCATGTCTTCCTAACTGGCGGCTGGGATAATACAGTTCATGTAGGTATACAGTAGTGCAATGGAACTTTTTTGGAGAAAAGACAAAAACTGTTTTTCGAAGTGTACCTTCTCTCTTTTTGGGTGGATGTTGAACAGGAGAGATTTTATTACCTCCTTTAAGCTAAAATCCTTGTTTAAAAAATCAGACCTATGACGATAAAACAGAGAGGGCATTAAGTGTTACCCGTGTTTTGTATTATATGTATATATGACTTTTGAGAAAGCACCTCAAGTAAAGTTAACTTAGTATTGTTTTGATTTTTTATTTGCTTGGGGGGAAAAATTAACTTTCACTTGTTGAAAATAAAGTTTGATACAACTATTATCTTATTTATTTTTCAGTACTGGGATGACAGACAGCCACATTCTATCAGGTTAGTACCTAAAGATCAGTCACTGTTTCATCCTGAACATGCATGAACTATTTGCCACTGGATGTTAGGCAACCAGCAATCAATCAGTCACTGTTTAAAGTATGTAAATGAAAATTATAAATAACAAAAAACTTGCCAAACATGGAAGAAATACGAATATAAAGAAATGGTACCAGGCACAACCACTGAACATGCTTAGCAACAAAATTTAACAAAACAATTCAAGATTAAAGACATCAATGATGATTAAATGGCAGCCCAATATTTTGACCTAAATGGTCTTTGTTAACAATTTTTGAAAAAAAGAATACAATGTACAACTTTCCAGACAAATTAAGAATGATTGATTAGTTCCACCTTCAGCACTCTTGGCTTTATCTTGGCTGACAATTATTGTTATTGGCGGAGGAAGTGGGAGATAACCACTGACTCTCGCGGGAAAACTGGCAATTATATTCAATTAAGATCAGAGTTGAACTCACCAGCCACTTGCAGGGCTCAAGTTCCAACCTCAGTGTTGACAGGCTAATGATACAGTAGATGAAATACTTAGACCACTGCCACCGAGGCCTCTCCGACAATATAAGGATGACTAGTTTAGAAATGTTCCTTATTTATGAGTTTATAAAAGGATGAAATATTTCAGATGAATTGTACCTTACAGTAATAAGCTCAATGCACTATTTTTACAGATACCTACATGGTCCACATATCTGCGGTGATGCCTTAGACATAGACCCTTATAACAATCATATACTCACTGGTTCATGGAGGAAAAAAGATGTCTTACAGGTAGTGTAACAGGCTTACATAACAAAATTATACAATTGAAGACATATTCTTTACTTTGCTTGCATAGAATGAATGCTATGTCCTTGTTAACAAGTAGGCAGATTCATTTCAAAATAGGTTGTTATGAAAGACCATTTATATTTGAATCAAAATAAACTTGTATTCATCTTGGTTGCAGAACATGTCATTTGTTCTCATTTACTTTGAATTTGTAGCATTAAATTTTATAATTACTTGAAAGAAGTGCTTAAATTTATGTAAGGGAGCAACCATTTAACTTCAAGGGGGGGTTATGGTTTTTTTGTCTGAGTCAGAAAAATTTTCGCGCAAAGCGTGAACATTTTTTTTAGTTTTTCGACATTATCAATCAAATTATTTTTTTCAAAATTTAACACTATAAGGTATGGGGAAAATCTGGATTCAGAATTTTTTTTTTGTCATCTGCTTGACCACAATATTTTTTTTTAATCAAATTGGGGATCAGAATATTTTTTTAGGAAAAAACCTTAACCCGCCTCCCCCCCTTGAAGTTAAATAGTCATTCCCTAAGGATTGACCATACTGTCATTAAATAAAACTATAAAAAAATGAAAATTTTCTCCCAAGAAGTAAAATGAATCCACAGTAATTTTACAAATGAAAAGGATGTTATTGCAAAGTGCACAATAAACTTCATATTTTGTTAATTTGCTCAATGTTTTGCAGATTACATATTTAAGATAAACATTATTTTTACCTGTTTAACAATATATTTCCTTCCAGATCTGGGACTTTTCTTCAGCAGAGAAAATAAAAGATGTGCCACCAGATCCTATGGGTCATACACAGGTCTGTGTTACCTTGACATTACTTTATAGTTAATAATACTATAACATGTTGAGTTATACATATGTATAAAAGTTTGCCATTTCAACTGTACACTCTCATTAGCTTTATACGTGGTTTCTTTTTGAAAGGTAAATCAAAATTTTTATACCTTTACCAATTCTGATGCAGTTATAACATCTTTTTGTTTTTATGTCAAAAAAAAAAAAGGAATTCAATTCCCCCAATCAATGGTTCTGGAATAACCTTCATCAGGTACGCTCTTGACCAGAAGTTTGGAAAGCCAAAAATATGAAACAAGAGACCAACAAAAACCTAGAAGAAAACAAAAGACAAAGACAAACAAACCAACCACAAACAGCATAAACAGAACAACTATAACATTCTTATGTCAATCTTTGTTGAGAGAATGTAACCTCAGCTTCTCACAATGACAACATTTTATGTACCGGTACTGCAAATTTAAAGACAAAATGTATCAATTAAATTCTGTCAATATTGAAGTACTAGCTACTAAGGGAACATGAAAGGATAGGATATATAATAGACATCACATAGGTTTGGATAATTACAATTCAGCAAAAAATGATATTTATTAATTAAGGGGGTACCCAACACTTTGACTAAAATAGATTTGGTTCCTTAATTTTCAAAAAAATTTGACAAAATATTTACTTTGATCTGTCGATAAAAATATAAAATTTACAAAAAAATTTACAGGAATAATTTCATTGGATATATAGCAGTTTGACAAACACTAATTTTGATGTTTTGAGAAGCTTGATTTCTCTTTACTAGTAGTATGTTATTAAAACATTCAGCTGATTTTCAAAAAGATAACTCCCTTATGTGTTCTGTACCTCTTAAGATAGTATATAACAATGTCTTAAGAAAGTAGTAAAAAGGGGAAGTCACTACAAAACAAAATATTACTTTATACATATTCTATTTTAGTTATACTGCTGTCAGTGGTTAGGCAGAGACAGTATTTTATGTGGTGGATCTGATCTTAACTTGGCCAAAGTTGTTGATAGAGGAACACTCAGTGTAAGTAGACATTCATTCAGAACCAAAATAGAAAACTGTGACCTTCTTTCACTTTGATGTACCTACAAATCACAGGAGGGTTAGGACTAGCTTTATGTTAGGTTTAGTGTTAGGTTTAAGCATGAATAAAGCTAGGCTAGGGTTAGGGGCTACGCTTATGCACAGTATAGTAATATACAGCAAGGATAACTAAAGTTAAATGATATGGCAAAAATTAGGATAGGAGCTAGGGTAATTAATAGTGTGGTGCTATATTGCAAGGATAGCTGTTAGAGCTGAAATCGCAGACATTTTTGTAAGATTGAAGCCTTAAAAAAAAACAATACATAGTGAAGTCAGTAGATTTGGCCTATTATTAAGCAGAATTTTTTATTCCCATAAAATTTTTTAGGATGAAAATTAACTAGGCTATTGTTATTGTGATATGATTAAGCAAGGATATTTTATCACAATATTGATTTTAAAGATGAAAACAAACTAGAAGGCTATGAATCATCACCAGGCACTGTTAATTATGTGTTTTGGCATATATCCTATATTTTAAATGCTACATATCTTTTTCTGTTGAATCACATAATTAATACAACTTCCAATAACAAACATTCCATTTGGAGCTACTGTGTTTAGAGACCTCTTATGTCAGTATATCATCACTATATTACTCATGAAAATGAACTAGACTTTGTGATTGGATTAAGATATATGCTAGAGGTCAGATCTTATTTGTGTTAAGTACAATCTGTTTATATCAAAATTCATTTTTTCTGTAAACTAACTTATTTGTGAATACTTGAATTTGAATTAAGCTGTTTCATGACAAGTACAATCTGATTTAAATGCGAATCCTGTGTCCAAGCTTTGTAAACCACCTCGGTGGTCTCGTGGTAGCATGTTCGCCTCGAGTGCGGGAGGTCGTGGGTTTGAACCCTGGCCAGGTTAAACCAAAAACTTTAAAATTGGTATTTGGTGCTTCTCCGCTTAGCACGCGTCATTAAGGAGTAAGAGCAAAGACTGGTTAGGCTCTGAGTCAGAATAATGTGTCCAGGTAAGGTGACATGTCAGTCTAGTACAAAGCAGGGTTAATATTCATATTACATTAACATGTTCTCCTCCTGAATATGCATATTAATTTGCTGCTGGACGTTAAGCAGCCATCTATCATCATCATCATCAAGGCTTTGCTTTCAAGGATCTGACAACACTCAGTTTTACTTTCTGTTCTGGTAACTATTACATCAGCCAAGGAAATGTCAGCCATAAACTTTTTGAAGGTGTGTAATAATCCAACAAAACCAGAGCATCTTGAAAGGTTTTTGAAGCAGAAAGTAGAATGGAGCGTTTTCAAATCCTTGTAAGCAAAGCTTGGACACAGGATCCGTATTTTAATCAGATTGAGACAAGTACTTGTCATTTTGTATTAGCCATTTTCTTACATTTCTATTCCTGTTATTTTTTCTACTAGATAGCCTCATGTAAATAAATCTTTCATGAATGAAAATTAGTTGACCTACATTATCTTAAAACTACATTGTACTTATATATCTTAAATTTCAGACTTATTGGGGAATCATTATTAAGCAATATTATATATTTGTTTTATTTCTTACAGACAATAGGTCAAGTAACAGATTTAAGCCAAGGTGTATATTGTTGTGACCATGACAACAACAGTTCTCGTCCACTCATGGCCATAGGCAGTTTAAAACAGATCTTCTTAATCAAACCTGAAAAGAGGGTTTAGTGCTATAGTGTATTGTGCTAATGTATTGTTAAAGATTTAGTTTATATTTTTATGTTTATTCCAGAAGAAAGTTTCATTTCTTATGTTGTTTCATATTATTTAAGCATAATGAAGTTTAGTATCAATTAGCGGATTTAGAAGGGGAGGGGAGGCATAGAGGGCAAACATCATTTTTGGTATGAAATTGTCCCAAAAAATATTCAGCCTATTACGCCCCACTTTCCTCGAATATTATTCAAACAATCAAAATAAAATAAATCAATATCATTTAATTGTGTATACATTATCATAATATGTATGGAAAAAAGGAGATGTGGTGTATAACTCAATGAGACAGCAACCCAATGACAAAAAAGGGCAATTTACAGTCTTCATAAAAAAGTTTCACATATTGTTAGAAATTGATTTGTATGAAACACACAATATTAATATTCCTAAGACTGATTCATCAGATATGTATCCATTGTTATTATCATGAAATGTGTTAAAATTAATAAATCTTTGTACAAATTGTACAATAAGATTATAAGTGCTATGTTGACGTTTTAAATTTTACTGCTAGTATTGTTATGGAATGCTTGTTAAATGAGATATGGGACCAACATTTTTTTCAGCAAGCTTAATTAGCTTGTAAATATGCCATTTGGAAAAAGACTTAATTGAGCAATAGTTTCAAAATCAAAATTTTTTGCTGGTGGGATTTTATACTGCTAACTATAACCAGCTTGTTTTGAAATTTCTAGCAGACAAAAACAAAACTCAAAAGATCTACATTATTCTGCGATTCCTATTTTGTATCTTAGCATGAATTTCACTTGTGACGTCGTCAGTATTGTGCAAATCTGAAGAATTTACCCATTAATACATTGAATTAAGTCTCGATGATGTTATGCATTCTTATGCAGAATAAAATGAATATGTTCATTTTATTTTTACATGAAAATAAATTTTTGGAGCCTTTTTTTTGGGATGATAAGTGATAAAAGTAATTTTTCAGAACTTATCGATGCATGAATTTGAGCTTTTATCCAGTTTGCAAGTGAGTTGGCCTTTTTACATATCAATATATTTGATCAAATAACCTCTAATGTATATTGCTGACCATTGATATTAGGAAAACACAAAAAGATTATTTTGTCGGATATTATTAGTTCATTTTGTTGGAATCTTTATGAAATGATACTTAAAATATAAGAAGATAGTATACAAGAAATAAAATAATTTCATAGAAATTTACAAATGATTTACTGAAATAAGTATTTAGCCAGCCAGAAGCTTTAAAGAATAAGAAACATGCTTGGAATTTTAATTTCTTACTTATTTTTTTTTTATTATTTTTTTATATAGAATATAGAATATGTATTATGTAATTAGAAATATTGTGACCTATCCGTCCAGTTTTCATCAATCATTCCATTTTTTATATATTTATTGACAGTTTTAAGTGCTAATGATGTCCACAGAACCACCAAACCATACATCATAAGAACATTATATACTTCACTCCTCCTGGTCTTGTGTAGATTTCGGAACTTGCGGAACTAAATAAAGCAAACATACAAACCCTGAAAGTGACAAATCAGAATTCATTTCAACAATATTTTGACTTTTTACATTTGTAATCAAAGCAAGAAGCAAATTGTTGAGACCCAACAACACAAATGGATGTTGTATGTGACTTTTAGATCCTTAGACCTTGACCACTATAGCTTCTGTTAATTAATCAGGCATAGTTAGCAAGTTAAAAAGAACTTTTCATTCGTGTGACCACACCATTCATTTTTGAACATTATTCCAAAAGTCTTATATTTATTTTACTATGCAATCCATTTTGAAATCAGCTGATAAAATGTTTTTTGATTTCTCTAGAAATTATTGTTTTTTATGTACTAATAATTGATTTTAATTGGTGCAGAAATGCATAATAAAATAAAATTGTTAATACCTCGGATTTGTATTATTCCTTACATTTGTATGTTACAATGCACTGTTGTATTTTAAAAAGCTAGCTATAGTAGAATTATGTAGCAATGGTAAATTTAGTGTGCAGACATGATTTACATCCTATATATACAATACAATACTTTATTCTTTGAAAACCAATAAAATCTAAGGTACAGAAAATGACATGCAAAAAAGAAATACAAATTATACATAATATGGTAGAGGTAAGTTAACATTTTACTCTTGGTTTAAAAATTATTGGTTGTTCCACACTGTACACAGATGAGGATCCAGGATTTTGATAAAGGGGGGCCTAAAGGACACCAAACTAGACAAATTACATCCACTTCATTTGAACTTGGGTGTATAGTTGTCTTTTTGGCAATTATACCACATCTCCTTATTTTTATAAAGTTTGGAGTGGAATAGTCTGGATTAACCATAAATGTATCTCCATAAAGCCCCCCCCCCCTTTTCCCCCTTAATCTGCCTCTGGTATATTCCAAGTTGCCTTATCCCATACTTCATTCTTTAAACCAAAAGAGAGAATCACTCACCAGAAAAGTTGTCCATATGTATGGTCATCAGTATATTAGAGGGTCTGGATGGGGCAAAAAGTGCAGAATAAAGAAATGGACCCCCCCCCCCCCCCCCCAATCCAGACCATCATATTAGAATCAATGATTTAAAGCAGTTATGTTGTACCTTTTGACAAGAAAAGCACTTTGGAAGCATGAAATTTAAAACGTGTTGTTATTTTTTTTCAACAATTTGAGCAGGGTAAGATTAGGTGTGTATGTCATTGAGATCTCATGTTGTTGAATACACCTTATCGCTATTTAGTCCAATCTGCCTTAAACAGTCACTTAGACAACTTCCTGTTTTGATCTAGTGTTGCAAAAACAAAGGTCATCAGTAATGAGCTTAGGGAGGGAAAAGTTTAGGAAGTGAACATTTTAAAATTTTGATAGATTATGATCCATTTCTTTGAAACACAAGTTAAGTCATAAAAATGCTTTGTTTGAAGTGTCTACGAGGTATAATCATGTTTCTTTAAAAAGTATTATGATCAAACAGGGCCTCAGATAGCTTCAACTGGATTGTGGCGTAATGGAAAAGTTGTGTAATTTCAGAACTTATCCGGATTGGAATAAATAGCAATAAGGTGTAAGAACATTGTGCTAATGTATAGATTTGTCCTTGATCCCTTCATCTTGTTATTATTTTACTGGGAACTGTGATTGGTCATTAAAAGGAAAAGACCAATGCTAGAGGAAAAAGCTTGAATATACAAAGGTCATGGTCACACTATCAAAGTGAGATGCGAGTATTGTATTATCTTTTTATGGACAGAACAACATGCTCCATGATGCCAAAGGTCAAGGTCATATGTTTTTATAAGTTAATTTAAAGAATACAAGAGCAAGCTAGTTTCCGTTATTTGGGTCAATAGTCATTGATGAACGAGGGTCTGGATAGGGGTCCTTCATTTCTGTATTCATTAATTTTTTAGGCCATTTTTCTCTTTTCTTTATACTGTTTGCCCATTATTCTCTATTCTTTATTGTCCTTACATACATTACACAATCTTGATGTTTATTTAAACCCACTTTGAAGGCTATATTAATCTTTAGCTATTTAAAAATTAATGTTATTGCACTTCCATATTTGAAAAACTCACCGGGTCCAAAATGCGAAACCACACACCTAACTCTGGAATGTTACCATATATTAGTTGTTTATGTGTTACGTGCCGATCTGATGAGTCAGTGCATTTTCAACTGATTTGTACAGTTTGTTCGTATGTTGTACTGTTACACCACGGTCCCATGTAAGGTTGAGCACTCTCAAACATTGTTTACCCCCCCCCCCCCTTTTCCACATTTTTATATGTGCCTGCATCTTCTCATTTACATATTAACCCCGCCACATTTTATATGCGCCTGTCTGTCATACTAGTATTTGTTTTTCTTTATAGTTTATAGTTTTGTTAAAAATCAGGCCCTTGGTTTTCGTTTGAAATGTTTCACATTTTGTCATGTCTGAGCCTTTTACATCTGATTATACGGTATGGGTTTTGTTTATTGTTTGATGCCGTATTGTCACCTATAGCTGCTTGAATTCGCTTCATTTGGACCTCCATTAGGACTCTGTTGGTATGTTGTCTCATTTGCAATCATACCACATCTTCTAATATATATATATATAATTCGTCTAAACAACAGCCCAACAATGTTAGATATGTAAATTTGCGGAAGCAAATTTTTTGTTCTTCCCTGGCCGGGATTCGAACTCATGCTACTGAGATATCGTGGCATCAAATCGCCAAGTGCACTATGCCCGACGCGCTAGACCACTCGACCACCTAGGCTCTATAATTATAAAGCTTTCGGTGGCCGGGTGTTAACTTTCCTCGTCAGTTTTTATCTAGCGTCGTAACACAGTACATGATATATAAGGCATGAAGATGGAATTGTTACAGATCAGCTGAATTATCTATTGTAAAGGATCCTACAAATTAATGTAAGATGCAGTATATATAAGTCTTAAGATTTGCACAACAATTCTAATAGAAGATGATGTTATAAAGTCGTGTTGAAAAAATATTTCGGCTTAAAAAATAGCCTTCTTCGGTGTGTATATTCAATGATTGACGCTTACCCCATTACTATTTTTTTACAAAAAGGAAAACACAATGAAGTCAGTGAAATAACTTAAATTTATTTACAAAACTAATCAAGATGAACAAAAAAGTAAGGGAAGGAAGCCATCTACCATCACCTTTTCATCCTTCCTCGTAGCTCTGAAAAAATAGAAAAAAACAAATAAAAACATATTAAGTTAAATTCAGAGAGAAAATGATGCAACAAAACAACTCAATATTCAAAAGTGTAAAGTCTAGTGTTTAGTGTTAAGTGTTAAGTGTAAACGCAATGTCATGTGTTTAGTGTTAAGTGTAAATGTCTAATGTTATGTGTAATGTATAGTGTTATGTGTAAATGCAATGTCTAGTGTTAACTATAATGTCTAATATTAAGGGTAATATCTAGAGTTGAAATTGTTCTCACTAGACGGAACGGGTAGATATTATAGATTCATCGCACAAAAAACCCTCCTGACATGCACTAAACAGAAAACGGTAAGCAAAGGAACAGTACATTTATTGTTGATTTACATCTTACAGTCACCGTGCGACCTTCAACGTGGGTCAAAAGCTAACACCCTCACAACACGTTGAGGATGACCCTAGTACCGATTTGAAAGTAGTTCTTACCTAGATACATTTTCGGAGTAAAGGTGTAGCATTTGAAAAATAAATGCATAAGAACAGACAGACTTGTTCTAAAAAGTTTTGTCTATTTCTTTATTTTCAGAACATTTGGTGAAAACAAATGTATGTTCTTGTTTTGTTGAATTGGCGTGGCAGGATTATTACTTAGCATTGCCAAAATTATTCATACACTTACCACAGATTTAGATTTTTTTTTTGAGCAAATGGATTTCTTAAAAGCTCTTCCAAGGGATCTTCCCGTGGTTCATCGCAGATTATCACCCTGTATTCTTCAATAAAAAAAATTAATGTAAAGTGTGCAGTTCCAAGTTACCTGTTCAGATTAGTTAAATCAATTAGACAGCTAATATTACCGAGATTATATCTGATATTAGACAGCTCTCAATTTATTTTAAAAGCAGACAAAATTTATCTCCTAATCTACTCCGATGTGTTTCTAAGTAATCATTGCGTCAACGATAAGAAAAGTCGTTTTTCGGCAAAGAATGAACATACCAAAGGGGTAATCAAAACAAAAGGAACACATCAAAGGGGTAATCAAAACAAAAGGAACACACCAAAGAAAGGAGATAATCAAAACAAAAGGAACACACCAAAGAAAGGAGATAATCAAAACAAAAGGAACACACCAAAGAAAGGAGATAATCAAAACAAAAGGAACACACCAAAGAAAGGGGTAATCAAAACAAAAAGGAACACATCAAAGGGGTTATCAAAACCAAAAGAAAACACACCAAGGGGACAATCAGAAATAAAGAAACACATTAAAGGAAAATCAGAACTAAAGGAACGCACCAAAGGGAAACCAGAACTAAAGGAACGCACCACAAGGGACAATCAAAACCTAAAGAACACAACAAAGAGACAATAAAAACTAAAGGAACACACCAAAGGGACATTCAAAACTAAAGGAACGCATCAAAGGGGCAAATAACAAAACCCACACACATACCAAAGGGACAATTAAAACCACAATTTGAAGAAAGACATGCAGACAATACTAGTTCTACTAGTGACACCCGACGTGTTCCTCTTGGTGAGACACAGCTGTTGATAATGTCTCATTTAGCGATGTCCTAAATACAGAAGATGAAGGTCGGGATTAATAAAAAAAAATGCCTAAATTACTAAAAAATATGTTTACCTTTGCTTCTCTTCCATAGTACCAGAAGACTTACACGAACGACAATAAGTGCGACAACTATAAAATGTTTCCATTGGAAATTTCCAAACAGCATATAAAATATAGAATAACCCTGCAAAAAAAGAAATCGTTTTGAAATTATGTCTTTTAGTTTTGACTGATTTTTATTTTTTTTTTCAAATTAGGCATTTTTTTTATTTATCCCGACCTTCATCTTCTGTATTAAGGACATCTCTAAATGCGACTTATCAACAGCTGTGTCTCACGAAGAGGAACACGACGGGTGTCACTAGTAGAACAAGTATAGTCTGCATGTCTTTCTTTGAATTATGGTTTTGATTGTCCGTTTGATGTGCATGTTTTTTTGGTTTTTTGTTATTTGCCCCTTTGATGTGTTCCTTTGGTTTTTATTGTCTCTTTGTTGTGTTTCTTAAGGTTTTATTGTCCCTTTTGGTGCGTTCCTTTAGTTCTGATAGTCCCTTTGGTGTGTTCCTTTAGATTTGATTGTCTCTTTGTTAATTTCTGGTAGTTGTGATTGTCCCTTTGATGTGTTTTCTATTGGTTTTTA